CCCCCCCCCCCCCCCCAAAAAAAAGACTTAATAAAAATCTCGCCATGGACATAAACTTGCCGCTTATACATCTACTTCTGGTAAAATGGCAGCAGTTTGGTCCAAGGCCTGTCGAGCCGAAGAAAGACAAATACAAAAAGATATACGTACAAAAGGGAAAAGAAACGGAAATGGCCATACATGACAGTGCAATCCAGAATGCTGTGTCATTTTAAACAAATACTATATCAAAATCACAACAAAAATATCTTCAAATGATGCCATCTACGGAGGGAATATTGGAGCAATACAGTCGTCATGGCCCATACTATTGAGGGGTGTTAGATGTGTGGATTTGAAGAGATATAAGTCCAACCTTGATTGTCACAAATCTATACGGCTATGTTCATCCTCTAAGACGACTGTCCAGGAAAGCACTGTTTTCCTGGAAATATGTCATGGATGGCGATGACGAATTGTAGTCACTGGGCGCGAACTACTCCCTGATCAGTACCGGCGTGGCCCGTCGGGCTTGGTAAGAATGATCCGAAGCGGGGGAGATAACATTGATCAATAAGACTTTCATTAGTTCCTTTCGTGAGATAGAGATTCTTGGCACTCCACTTGATAACTCACAACCTCCAGCTTCAGGCGACTTGATAGTCCCCACATTTCCTGATCCTACGCGTCGTATTACCTCGTACGTATGGCCAATAACATATCCCCCTTCAAGTCAAGCGGTGAACTAACTATGAAGTTACACTATGCTCAGAGCATGCGGTATATATGAGCAAATCGGCTTACATGATTACAAATCAGGGTCTGAACATATTATATGCTCAATCAAGGTTCTCTGGTGACTATTAAAAAAAAATCAATGCCCACTTGCTGGGGAGTGCTCCTATACTCACACAACATTATACCCCGCTCAGAACTTGTCATGAGGATCTCGCAATTTCTTGCAATCGCATTTTTCCTGCCACTCGGGTGGGCAAGTGCCGGTCAACCAGGGAAGGTCATCATCGATACTGATTTCAACACAATCGGGGACGATGGCCAAACACTGGCTATGGCGGCACAGTTGCATGCAAGCAAAGAAATAGAACTGGTCGGTTTGACGATCACCATTGGAAACCAGTACCAAGCCCAGGGATTGTCGGACTGCCTGAAGGCCGTGGAACGACTAGGGATCGAGTTCCAAATAGGCGTATACGCCGGCGCACAGGTGCCCTTTCTACATACCTACGCTGCATTTCAACTGGAACAGTCTCTCTTCGGCAACGCAACCCAGTATGTTGGGGCATATACGTCCACGGACTCGGGTCAGCTCGTCGCACCGCCGGATGGTTTCGCCACGCATACGGTCCCCCAAAATCAGCGGGCCGTCGACTTTATCATCGAGACTGTGCACCACTACCCAAACCAGGTAACAATACTAGCTATCGGACCATTGACGAACATCGCGCTTGCCATGCGACAGGATCCCACCATTGTCCCGCTCATCAAGCAGGTTGTCATCATGGGCGGCCAGCTTTATGTACCGGGTAACTCTTACATTGGCGCCGGCGAGACCAATTGGTGGTTGGATGCCGAGTCCGCACGTGTGGTTCTGCGCGCTGAGGTCCCTCGCAAGATTATTCCCTTGGACCTGACGGATACTGTAAACATATCAAATGATACATACGACCTGATTGCCAACCACGAGCCTGCCACGCCTATCACCGATCTATTCAAGGATATCGAACGATGGCCTTACGTCTACGATACAGTTGCTTTGGCATCTCTTGTTGACCCGACCCTAGACCTGGATGAGCGTATCTTATACGTCGACGTGGAGTGCGGTTTTAATGAGGCCTACGGCAGGGGACTTGTATGGTCAGAGGACCCGTATCCTGGGACAAATGTCACGCAATTGTCGTCTGTTATTTTTAAGATTGACAATTCTCGGTTCTTTGATCTTTACGTTGATCTACTAACACGACCAGTTCCAATCAAAAGTCACTGAGGGAAGTCAAGCACACGGGCTCAAAGGTAGGTGAAAATGGGATATCAAGATTCATGGGTCTTGTTGGGCATTGTTTTCCCACCTTCCTTTCCTCTCTTCTCTTAGCGTATACGATAGTGCATATCGATGGGGTTACTCTGTCTGTCACTGTGAAAGCAAGAATTCAAACCGGTACAAGGCGGTGAATAGTACACTTTGGAGTTTCATAATACTTATGATTGCTTTTAGGCACGCAATACGGAAATCAAAGCTTTCAATACCCATGAAGAACTTGATTTCCCAAAGGAATGCGGCCTCTTACTGATACTGTAGAACAATACCTTACCCAAGCACCATATCAACTTTCCCTTCATTATTTCGCCAAAGTCTCTCCCCTCTCCAAGACCTGTCCTCATTCTTCTCCAGCTCGTACACGATGCGTCTCTGCAGCTCTTGCCAGCTCAAATCCTCGTCTATGACCGTCTTCAGGTCCACAACAGTGGTACCGCTCCCCAAGATGCTCCACCTCTCTTTCCAGTCGTCATTCTCCCAGACTCTGTAGTCTTCGGCCATCGCGTTCCATGCCTCCTGCGGAGTCTCTTTCGCGGCCTTTTTGGCTTCTTCATATACCCTCACCGCCCTCTCATACGCATCTTTGTCACGCAGCAGGGCCTGCAAAGTGGCGATGCTGTCGGCTGCCGCAGCCTTGTCGTACAGACGGCGAATCTCAGCGTCTGACACTCCAGCCCACCCTGGACCCGCATACCGACCTGAGCGCGTACGTAGTGCCTCGAGATCCGAGACCCTGAACTCCAACTCACTACGAAGGCTAACTTGGTCATCTTCCCACCTCTTCATTGGTTCAAGTACATGTTGGGCACCTGCAAGCCGCGCTTTGAGGGCGTTCCGCTCCCACTCATTGGCAACCACGGTGCGATCTAGCCTGTAGGCTGCGTCGACGTGGTGAATCTGTTGTTGAACTATCTCCCTGGCGTTAGCCATGATGTAGTACAGTTTCCCCAGACTTGAGTAAGACTCTACGCGTTCTGTGGGCTCCGGGGTAGGTTTATGGTAGGAAAAGGCCGTCCCTCCCTCAGACCTCAGTCGGTCAAATAGGAGTGGGTCGAACTTTTCCGGCCATCCACACTTCTTGTATAGTTCCTTGAAGTTGGTGTAATAGTCGACATCCTCAGGATCCTCTGAATCGGGACTGGGTTCATACAGCCCACCCGGGATCCAAGTCAAGTCCCGGAACCTTGAGATCATATCTCGCAGGAACTCAGCCGCCGGACGCGAAGGATATTGGTCCAAATCGTTTTCGTTGAGCTTTCCCGTTTCTATGTGGGGTCGCTCGTGCAGTGCAGGATCCGCTGTGCCCCCCAGTTGCTGGATGAACCACATGTGATCTGCAAATGAAATGAGTATACTCCCTCAATCAATCTCCATCGTCTTCCATACAGTTTCTTGTGTTCAGGACCATGACACTGCCATGGTTTCCCACCTGCGTGAGCACAGCATACCATGGTCGTATGTACGGTCCGTCCTCATGATTCCAATCCCGGGTTACGACATCCTCGGCTGCACCGAACCGGAAGAACGGGTCGACGGTAGCCTGCCACCAATCCGTATCCGGGGCTCTCAAGTCGTTGAGGAATTCGCTCCAGCTGAGAAACTCGTCCCCATCGGACCCAAAATTCCAGTTTGTATGTCGGCTGGAGATTCGATACGGCAGCATTTGCCAGAGGTCCACTACATCCTTGGCAAAGCCGTAAGCTGCAGGTTTACTCGTGTCGATCTTCTGATGCCTATGCGGAGGGAACGCGACGTCCCCAGCATCGAGGTACCTCATGTCTATGAAGAGCTGAAACCACTCTGTCATCAAATCGGCGATTTCCCGGATATGAGGATCTGGTTCCTCTGGGCAGACATCGCTGTATGTCGACAGGTCGGCAGGTGTATACACATTCTCCATCCTTGTAAGTTGATTTGTTGAACAAGCGCGGAAAGGCAAGTAATTCATAGGTATTGGGCAGTACAGGGTGCATTTTATAATGGACTACTTCGTAGAAAATGGCGGTCAGTGAACTGCACTAACGCTAATCAGTGCCAAGTTATTATGCCAAGTTGAGTGGTCTCCTGGGGACGAAAAATAGGCAACCAAGTATAACTTCAGTCACCCAATCTACCAGGCCGAGGAGTATGTTCCTATGTCGGTCTTCTAGCTTAAAATCTCAGGGAACTCCCACCAGCTGCGGTCATCCGTAGTTAGAACGATGAACTGTGGAAACAGCGAAGCTAATCATGCCCAAGGACGTCATAAGTGAATATGTGGTGTTCCACCCAAGTGCTGCGCCGCTGCTCCTATTCCCCACAACCTTGAGCAAGCCTCAGATCGGCCAGCCAATAAAGCCAGATACTAGGCGTAGGCTGATGAGGCACAGCCAACAATGTCATTGCTCATAACGCGGTGCCGTCTTCCGGCCGTTGCATGAAGGACTACCTCCCTTCCACCACAAATAACTCTACCACCAATTTTGTTGCACTTATCTACTCCTCTATTCATCTATACAGCGCCATTGTCAGCGACGGACCAAAACATCAACTACCACGAAATGCCCTTTAAACTATTTAGTAAAAAGGCCAGTTCGCTTGAAGATAGTCATGACATACCGGCTCCTACGAAACAGCCCCAAACCTCTGAAGCAGAGAGGAAGCGGCTGGCGGGAGAAGGAAGTACTTACGCCCATGAAGGCACTGACTGGGAAAGACGGAATAATCAAGAAATGGGGGATGGAAAGGATACAACACAGCCAGGCAAGAAGGGAATCAGAAGCAGGCTGTTCAAAGGCCCTGGATTGGGGATTTACTGAAAGCTGCAGTCATTCGACTAGGTTGGATTTATAAGAGACTGTTTCCTATGTGGCCATAATAACATCTCCATCTGCTCCATCCATAATGCTCATGCCGCCAATACTCGGAGCAAGGCTGTCCATCTCTTGCAGGGTATACTCGACCAAATAACTCTCATCGACCAACTCCTCGGTTCTTTTGTAATGTCTCTCCGTGTACACCTTGAGTGCGTTTAGCACCTCCTTCAAGCTCTTCTGGCCCCGAGCTCCCTTGACAGATAAGTTCGAGAAGCGGGAAGCGGGATAGCTCTTTACCAGAGCCCATAATATACGTTGTGCAACTTGTGCTGTTCTTGCATTCGTGTTCCAGTCGCGCAGTCTCAGTAGCAGCAAGAACAATTGCTCATCTGAAAGGTTGGCTAGTACCTGGTCCACGGCTTTCAAACCCGTCAAGCTATCAGCTTCCGGCGTTTTCGAGTTGACGACCGAGGTGAAGAGGCCGAGCAACCGGCCAGGGTGGTTGAGCTGAAGCGCCAAGACAATTGCTTCTCGGTACGAGCCAGCATGGATGTGGTTCTGCAGTTCTTGCTCTTGTTCAACCAACTTCAGCTGGGCTTGAGTGGCAGCGACTTGTGTCTCGGATGAGGTATCTTTCCAGAATGTCACAGTAGAGTCACCACTTCCAGACACAAGCATGTTGGTTTTTGAATGGACCGCCAGGACCCAGACTCGATCCTCGTGGTTGTCCAGAGTACACTCAGTCTCGCCACTGTTGGCATCCCAAACCTTCACCAAACCATCTCCAGCGGCGCTAGCGAAGAGCGTGGGCTTCTTTCCTCGGTCTTCTTTCGCAGGAACGTTGAGCCAGACAACCTTCAGGATACTGTTCGTGTGGCCTTCAAACGTCCTTAAGCAGGTGTAGTCTGTGAGGTTCCACAGCTTCACAGTTTTATCACCACTGCCTGTGATCATTGCCCCTTTACCAGATACGGGACCTTGCTCGCCTTGGATAATAGGGGTATCTAGGGGTGCAAAGCTGACAGACCAAACGCCACGACGGTGACCCCGAAGAATACCCTGTACTTCGCCTTCCTGTGTCGACCAGATCTTCACTGTTCGGTCTTGAGAAGCCGACGCAAAGAGTTGGGACGACGGGTTTACATCGATGGCGTTGATGTCCTTGTCATGCGACTTGCGAGTATAGACAGCACGCAACGCCTTCTTGCCGCCTTGCTGTGACTCTCGAGGAATCTCCCATTTCTTGATGGTCTGATCCTGGGATCCTGTGATTAGGAAGGCGGGCGGGTGACTTAACGGATCAGTGAAGGCCTTGGAACCTTCGGCCGGCCTTGTGCGCGGGAAGGCAACAGCTCCGATGGACTCGGCGTGCCCAGTGAAAACCGCGTAGCAAGTATAAGAGTTACTCGCGGGGTCAATGCGCCACACACGAGCTGTGTTATCTTTAGCTCCGGTAGCAACCCAATGTCCTGACCAGTCCACGTCGAGGGAAATGATGATTTCCTCGTGGCCCTTGAGGAGCGCAATGTCCTGGCCAAAGTATTCAGACGACACCAGAGCATTTGATCCAGATTGAGCCACTGACACCAGTCGAATATCCTCGGAGTTCGTGGCCAGGGCCATCATTGAAGAATCGGGTAACAGGTACCGCAAATCTATGATTTCGTCGTGCGTACCCGATATCCTTTGCACCGGCTCAGGTATCTGCGCAGCACACTCTTTCGTGGGAGTCTGGAAGATGGCCAGGGTGTGGTCAACCTGAACGCACACAATAAATGGCAGCTCTGGTCTGAAGATTGCTCCAACGAAAGACTCGCCCTCGGCCTTTGGGCTTTGCTCCTTGGTGAGCTCTCGTCCAGTTTCGGAATCCCAGAATCGGAGGCAGCCGTTCGACCCAGCAGTGTAAGTCAGAGCTCCTTCGGCTGCAAACCCGGCGGCTTCGACAAGCTCAAAGCTGGGCACAACTTTGCGGACTTTCCAGGACCGCGCATCCCACCAGGTAATAGTCTTGTCCCGGCCAGCTGTCACCAAGGCGTCTTGTTCGGCTGAATAATCAATGCCCTGAACATCCGACACGTGGGACTCGAGGTTGGCCACGACACTTCTCTTGTGCAAGTCCCAGACACGGACCTTGCCGTCTTGACTACCGGAAGCAAGACGGAACCTGGCGGTCGTCGACTGGTCGTCCTCGATATCGTCCGCGGCGGTCTTGGACTTCCTCCGCTTCTTTTTCTCGTCCTTTGTGCCGTTGAGTTCGAGCACCTTCTTGGCACTTGCAGCGACTTCGAAGAAATGCAAGGCAGAGACAAGGACACTGGGTCCGCGGAACGTGTGGGTGACATAGCCGCCAACAATATCCCATACCTTGATGGCGCCATCTGTGCCGCCAGTCGCCAGGAGGGTTCCGGTGCGGTCTACTGCAAGCACGACAACAGGGGTACCGTGAGGCTTGAGCGTTCTCTGGAGCTGGGGTACGATCGAGGCATTCGATTCGGAGGATTTGAGAGAGTAGATTCGCATGGATAAAGATCGAGAGCAGACAATCAGATGCGAGCCAGACGGGGTTACTGCACACTGTTAGCTTCGCTCTCCTTGTGAAACGCATACGGACGGGGTCGCCGTACAAGTGAGAGTCGATATGAGTTCTCCGTCGCCTTCTACCCGGCCCAGGTGCTTGCCCGTCTTCAAATCCGTGAGGACAACGTCCTCGGCCAATGTGGTGGCCAGGATGCGGGCGCCATTGTCCAATGCGACGGCACCACCGGTGAAAATTGGCCGGATGACCTCGGCCGCTTCAAACGTGGTCTTGAAGGGTGACTTGCTGGCCATGGTGAGGAACGAGACACAACGAAGCAGTCTCTGCTTCTCTCTGTTGTTTTCGGAGGCCTTGGTAGCAGCGAAAAATGTCCCCAGTCGAAGCGGGATGGAATGCGCCCTCCAAATTTTTTGCTTATCTTATCGGGGTTTGCAATTGACACTCAAGACCCCTACCCCTGTCCCCTGTCCCCTGCCAAAGCTGCCTCTGCCAACCACTGGGCGCAAGTACTGGGCGCTGGGCCAGCCGCTAGGCCTGCTGCCTTAGCGTGCTGTCCAACAGAGAGCTTTCCTCTCGGCTGGCACAGCTCGCCGTACCGTACCATACCGTACCTCGAGCTGTAACTTTAGCGCCGTGAACGTTCTCATCTTCCAGCAACACCTTTACCCACGATCTAGGGTCATGAGCGGGCTTGTTCTCAAGATAGGTTCGCAGCTGGCTCCATGTGATTCCCCGACTCAGCACCTGGACCGAGATCCAAGGTTCCATTGTGCCCGTTCAACCGATTTCTATGCGCTCTGATCAGGTGGTCGATCTATCAAGATGGGGAGACTTGGACCCCTGACGTCCCAAGCATTGGTAGGTCTTGTGTGTTTTGGTTTGAGGTCGCCCTGTCGCTGATGCCATAGCACAGGGTCGTTCTCCTTACGATGACGCGGTGGAAGGCACTGGAGAGGACGACCCGCATGAACCTGAGCGGCGGTACGATGAGAAAGGTCGCATAGTCAACCCAGAAACGAAGCGCATCATCAAGAATGTCATCCGTGCACACAACGAGGTCATGCTCGTTATTGGCGTGGCAGAACCCGAGCACTCTGCCGGAGACTCGCCTGAAGTCGCCATGGCTAAGGAGCATCAGGCGTATGAGAGCGAGACGGGCAGGACACTGCTGAGCATCGGCCGCTCCCTAGGCATACTCGGCATCTGGGGTGTCCATGGCGTACGCCAGAGAATCATGGTATGCATCCATCGCGGATCCTTCCTGCCATGCACTGGGCTGATTTCCTGCTAGTTATACCAGCCATATTCAAACGTCGAGTTCTGGGAGCTGGCGCAATATGAGCGCCAACAGTACTCTCTGAAGCAATTGCTTCTCACGGGCTTGCCTTCATTCGTGGTCATGCAAGGAATACATTGGACCCGCCTCTCTGTTGATTGGGTTCTGAAAAAGCCATGGTATGTCACATTTGGATGCATATTCGTTGCCCAGCCTTTCTAATGATCGTCAGGGTTGGTGGTACCTTGATGTGGTGTCAATTTCACTTCCACCTATTCCTCACCATGCAGAGACTCAACTTGATTCCGGCATCCAAGTTGTTCCCCGGAGTGAAGTTCTTCATCCCCTTTACCAACACTTCCCCCATAGCTCCTCCTCCACCCATTGGAACTCTCAGTCCTTCGTCCGTCGGTGGATGGCTTAACAGCCTGGCCCTCAACGTGGCCCCGTATGTCGCATTCTTCTTATGCGGGCGAATCTGGAACGCTGTTCACGTGCACGTCTGGCCACACATCCAGAAGCGCCTTCCACATCCGTCCAGGAATCCAGCTTTCCATACGAGACCATTCACCATGGAACGCCATCCTACTGTGTCGGAAGAGACGTGGCAGACCGTCCCTGAATCGCCTACGCTAGGGGCAGCTGATCGCGAAATACGCCACGGGCGAAATTCAGACCCGGCTGTAGTAGGGCTAGATGCCGTTCGGGATCTTCCACACCACCAGGGTATTCACGATATGGAGTCTTTCCAAGATGTGCCTACTCTCCAGGCCCTCGAGGGTCAGGCGTCCGCTGCGGACAATGCTATTCCTTTGGGTGCAGTTCGGAGGCAGAGCACATTTTCTAGCCGAGGTGGTGATCAGGACTACGGAACAGATGAGGAGGATGCCGATATCATAAACCCGACCCTCATCAGCTTTGATGTCGACACGACAGAATCCACGGAGCAGCCAACGGGAGTCTGGTCCGCAGAACTCCGCCCAAGCAACGGGGTAGAGGGCCGCCTAGTACCCAAGGAAGAGCCTGTCTACGTCGTCAACCCGCTGACCAGTTTGCCTTCTGTTCTTGCAGCGGACATATTAACAAACCTGATCACATATGTCCTTTGCGCGCCCTTCGACGCCATGGCCATCCGCGCTGCCGCTCGAGCGTTCGCCCGCAGGAGAGGGCATCCCATGACCAACATGTATGAGATCAGTCTGTTGGACGCCTTCAGCTGGCGTGGCTGGGGTAACATCATCGGACTCGAGATCGTGAGACTGCTTATTTCAGGGGAGATCTGGGCTATGACGAGCATCTTGTCGCAGTGGCTCCACGTCACTGATGAGGAGTGGAGGGAGTTCCACTTGGAGGAGCAAGAGGAAAAGGAGCGCGAGCGCAGGAGACACGCCGACCAGGCTGCGAGTGACGCTGTTGCGCGCCTAGAGGCTGCGGCCGATGCACAGGCGTGATACAGTAGTTGCGATTGTTTCGAAAGCCGGATCAATGTTATACAGACATTATATACTGACTGCTGCTTGGGCCAAGACAGTGGACACCAGCTTCCATTTACGAAGACTCCTGCCTCCTGCATAGTCGACCAGCGACGGATATCCGGCATTGTAATCAAGTAATATGGGGAGTTGGCAGCATTCGAGGCTAAACAGTATTAGGACATGGTTCAAAAATATGAACCTTTGTTCAATGTAACCGATTGCACATGGTACTTGCATCGCTCAGGATTGATATCTTGCGAGCACCTCGCACACCTCGCAGGAGTACAAACAACACACTTATCAGCCAACAATCGTTTGGATCCGTCCACACGGTGGGTTTTTTTGGCCATTCTCTAGCTTGCAAGATGGCTTGATTATGTCTTGTACTAGTATTGAACCAGAGAATGCGGTCAGCTTTCGGTAGTATACTGGCAAAGGCTGATGTCGAGGCTGCACACGTGAGGCCTCCCCGGGTTGGAAGCAACCTCCTGTTTGCCTTCGCTCTCGTCCCTGTTTTTGCATGTCGATCGTCAACAACATTAGGCACCCATGTAGTCAACCTGCATGGCGAATCGTTTCAAGGTTAGTCGAATGCATTCCTCATCATAGCCCTTTCTTGATCAATCGTCGAATTTTGATCCTTTATCTTAGTCAACATCGGGAAAGTACGGAAGAAAGGCTATGAAATCGGGTGGGGTTCTGCACAATAGTTGACTTCCATTGGTTGCTGGTCGAGATTGAGGTTGTGCATTAATGGACCGGTAGCTTATTCGTATGCAGCGCCATGCAAGGCCGCGCTTACTAGCCCGTAACTAGTATATCTGCATGATATACACATGCAAGGGGACAAGGTAGTAGACTCTTGCGAAAAGCCAAAGGAACCACGAGCAACGGCGTGAACATCTAGACTCTGGCACTTCGGACATTCGCCGCGGGCTGATGCGACCTTCCCGCTCGGAGACTCGGAGATGTCCCGGGAGCATCGCCAAATCCATGGTGCAATGCCCTTTTATGGGTTGGATACCTTGATGGCAGTGCACGAGAAGATTAATGCGGCCAACTAATGTAATTAGATCGATCGTTTTGAGACGGAGACGGCTACAACCTAGTAGGGCCAGGAACCTTACTGAGGTGTAGCCTGGACAGACATCTTGGATGCCAAGGAACTGCGCCAGCACCCACAATGTGGGATCCCCACGGGATCGGTTCGACACCACAGTAGCTTGATGCCATGAGGGGTCCACGGGTCCCGTACGAGCGGGAGAGGGGCACGAGTGTTTCATTCCGATTCCGCGGCGGTAGCAGAGGTCGGGCCCGTCGGGCGGTCGGCGCCCAAGTGGGGGAGGACTGAAGCTGAAGAAAAGGGGAGCCAAAACTCTGAGTCGGGAAAGTTCGTAGCGATCATCGCAATCGACCAGGGGATATGAGTTCACCCTGTCGGTTTGGTCGACTACCAAGCCTACTGCACTGCACGTACATGGCTCCGTAACGGTGGGCGATCATGGACAATCATGAATAGCATCTGTCTCCATATTGCTCGGCGTTAGATGAAGCTCGCTTCTTCATCTAACGCCGAGCAGAAAGGTGATGTCAAAAGCTTGGCTAACGCACACCCACTCATTACGTCGCCTTCAAGATGAGCGCTCCTACTCGTCGTGAAACCTCAAGCACGACGTCTATGACACTGCCTCGATTCGGCACTTGGTACTCAGCCAACCTGAAGGGCAAATAATTGATCCACCGCCCGCAATTCTCTTGCCTGCACTGAACACTGGTACACTGGCCGGGTTTCCCCGCAAGAGGAGCCCAGGACTGTGGCTCTGGATACGCCATTTGCAATCATGGCAATCTCATAGGATCGAGATCCACCCCAGTGGTCGAGAGCAGCTCGCGTTCGCGATTCCAACCAGAGTCGGTATCAAGTGCAGTTTCCGACTCTGGCGTGTGACCCGAATTCCGCCGCGTTCGGGCAAGGGTCAGGACGCCCGCCAGCCTTGTGCGCTCTTCTCGTTTGATGAACGGTCTCGGATTTGCGGAGAGTGCAGGATGGCGACGTGCTCGGTGGGGCGGAGGATTGTCCAGGAAGGATGATAGCTCGCTTTTCTCACCTTGGGCTGCTCGCTGGAGCCCTAACTAGGCCGCCTTCACTCACCTCGAATTCCCAGAGAGCCCAGGAACCCCAGGTGCCTCGGCACAAATTAATTGGGGGTGTCGAAACCAGCAAGAAAGGCCGTCGGACTTTGACGCTGAGCTGCAAGTGCCATGCTCATGACCACAACAATCCAATTTATTTGGGAGGAGACAGCAGCCCTGCAACCTCGGGACGATGGATGACTACGTTGTGCGTGAAGTGTGCATACGGCAGCCCTGTGTTGTGTTTCAAGGCCTCGAACGCTCGAGGAGTGGAAGACAAAGCCGCTGCTAGGCGCTAATGGACGTAAGTCTTCTGACTCGTCCAAGCCAGCCGCTCTAGCCTTGTCGAGACAAGCCTCACGAGTCGTTGGAAAAGCGAGAGGTCATCAGCGCGTGCTTGTGTGAGATAGTGCACTGTGGTGATTGGCCACTCCACAATACCTTTGTGGAGGGGCCCTCCTTGATGGTCGCGAAGATGGAGGCGGATCCATCTGAACCTTACCTGGGGTGCGGCAGCGAAAGCCGGGAAAGGGTATCACGTCCGCAAAACCATATAAATTTTTAATCCAGGGAGCTTGCTGAAAGGTGAAGGGTACTGCGTACAGTCAATAAATTTCTGTGCACTTGCAGAATATATTCCTGAGGTAAGTAGGTACATAGTATTCGGGCCTAAGGAACTTCGAGATGAATAATTAACAGCCTTGAGGAGCGAGGAGAGGCATGTGAGCTGGGCTTTCTGTGTATCTCTTGGCGTCCCCCTGTCCGATAACTATTATCCTGGGGCTGCCAAGATTGTGCTGTGGGCACACGATGTAGTTTATGGAGACACGCATTCCAGTTTCGTCGCATTACATTTCGACTAGCTGGCAGTAAACGCAGCCCTCTGACTCCGCCTGTCAGGTACTTGGTACGTACCCTGGATGCTGTGACTACTCTGATGGATCGCGTGGGAGATCTCTATGAAATATATTAGTACCCCGTCCCCCACACTTCCCGCCTGCGTGGCTCGTTGTCTAGTTGCCTTTCCCCAGAAAGATCCTATAACACGGTCAACAACAGCAGAAATCCAATGCTGATTCCTGGCACCCGTCGGCGAGAACGCGAGAGTTCGACAGTCAAAGACTACAAGACAAGGTTTCTGACCTCAGCGGGACCGCCATTGCCGCTGACATCCTTCGGACCGTGCACAGCTTTTTCCAAGTAGCGCGTGACTGATAGATTCTGGAATCGGTACGAGCTGAACCCGTCGGCAGCTCCCCTACGAAATAAGCAGGAGGTCGATTTCTTATTACAAAGGCTCGTTCATCTAGTATCATCATTTGCGTTCGTTCTTCGCCGTATTCTGCGCACGCTGGACTTCCCAAGGCCCTTGTTGTTCGACTTACACGATGACATCGGAAAACTCGGATACGATCCGCTCGCCCGAGCCGCAGGTTACGGACTCGGAAAGCTCAACCACAGACATCGCGAATCCAGAAAAATCCGACGCAAAGAGCAGCACGCCATCGAAAAAACGAACTGCCTCGGAATCAGACCCCAATGGCGCGCCGAAAGTGACCAAAAGACGAGCCGCGCGAGCCTGCGTCTCGTGCCGGGCACGCAAGGTCCGCTGCGATGTGGTCGAGGGCGCTCCGTGCGGCAACTGCAGATGGGACAACGTGGAATGCGTCGTACAGGAGAGCCGCCGCCGAAAGTAAGTACCGACGACAACTCCAATCCCTTGGGGATCTTGTCCTACGTCGAGTCGAGATAGCCGCTGCCCTCAGTCAAAGGCCCTCATGCCCGTCATTGCGTCATTGGTGGGAGTGCAGTGCAACTCCAAGATTTCCCCAACTCTCTACGGGGCATTGAGGCTAACCCTGGTCGCATTGTCTGCAGGAAGACGGTGTTCGACCCCAGCTCCGCAACTGGTGGTCAAGCCCACGCACACCAAAAAGCCGAGGCACCCAAGCTGCACATCGCAAGCAACCCCGTCACCATCAGCCCGGCCACCGAACTGCGCCGCAAAAGCGAGGTCGCCGTCTCAGCAGCCAACGCCGCCGAAGCCGCAAATCTGGTTGGCCCGCAGGCTGGCCAATCTAATTTTGTCGATGGGAGCCTGGATGGTCACGTTCCGCATCTGATCTGTAAGTTGAGCTGATGATCCCTGCACACGGCCCCACGCGTTTTCACATGTCAAGACCGTGAACCATCAAAAAAAAGTTCATCGACTGTGTACATTGTATGAACTCATTACTGACCGCGCGACTTGCATGTGCAACAGATCAGCAGTCGACAAGCTTGCGGCCAGACCCATTGGCGTTGGCTCAGCTACAGGCCGGGAACGACGGGTCCCGGTATCCCAGCATATGGCCAAACCTACCCGCTACGACCCAGAGCAATGCCAGCACTGGGTTCAGCGAGGCGAAGACTGTTCAGTTCCTGAGCTCGCTCGAGGAGCCCGACGTATCGTCACAGTTGCCCGCCTTTGTCCGGCCGCTGCCAGCCAAGATCGCTGTCGACGATGTGAACTACCTGCACATGAAGGGAGCCCTCACGCTCCCAAGCCTGACCCTTCAGAATGCGCTATTGAGAGCTTATGTCGAATATGTTCATCCCTACATGCCTCTTATGGAGCTGCATGACTTCCTGACGGCCATCAACTCTGTAGATGGCCTTAATGGGCAAATTAGCTTATTCCTTTACCATGCTGTCATGTTTGCCGGCACAGCCTATGTAGACATCAAGTATCTCAAGGAGGCTGGATACAGCACCAGGAAAGCCGCGCGCAAAGCCTACTTCCAAAAGACCAGGGTAAGAATGTCTGCTCTCAATACCGTTGGTAGCCGTGCTGACAGCTATAGCTCCTCTATGATTTTGATTACGAAAGCGACCGTCTTATCCTCGTCCAATCGTTGCTTCTTATGACATACTGGTACGAAACACCTGATGACCAGAAAGACACATGGCATTGGATGGGTGTAGCAATCTCATTGGCACACACTATCGGGCTGCACCGCAACCCGGCCAATACCAACATGTCGCCTCGAAAACAGAAGCTATGGAAGCGAATCTGGTGGTCATGCTTCATGCGCGATCGCTTAATTGCTTTAGGCATGCGGAGACCAACTAGGATTAAGGACGAGGACTTCGATGTGCCCATGCTCGAGGAGGGCGACTTTGAGATTGGTCCTCTTGCCGATGACGTCCAAGTCATCAATCATGATTGCACGTTAGTGCGAGATGTGCTCATGCAGCAGCAGCTTGCCTCGATGTGCGTTGCCAAAGCCAAGCTATGCTTATGCATCAGCCAGATGCTGAAGGCCCAATACTCCGTGTTGGTGAGAGACACGGAACGCCCAGAAAACACAACCAACAGCACCATGATGCTGCATCCCAAGAAGCAGCTCGACAACTTGGAGACAGTCACGGAGTGCGATCTCTCTCTCATGGCTTGGGCCGAGCAACTACCGGCTTGCTGCCAATATCGTGCATTGACACAGATGGACGTCAGGGATGGCCACCGGACAATTGCTGTCCACCGCAATCTTCTCCACATGGTGTACTACACCACCATCTCTGCCCTTCACCGACCGCAGTTTCTTCATGCTTCACCTCTGCACGCACCCACAACTTCACGACAAGCTCAAGAGATGTCTCGGCTGAAGGTGCGGGATGCTGCATCACAGATCACTCGCATGGCCGCCGAGCTGCACCAGATAAAGCTCGAGAAATTCCTTCCGACCACCGGTGTGACTGTCATCCTTCCGGCCATGATCATTCATCTGCTGGAGATGAAGAACCCGCTCCCGCACGCCCGTGACAAGGCTGTGCGAGGATTCAGGCAGTGTATGAGGGTTATGGAGAGGCTTCGTGACATTTATGCTGCTGCAGACTATGCTGTCGCATTCTTGGATGCTGCACTGCGCAAGGCGGCTATCGACTTGCAAGCCTCTCATAATGTCTCGATACTGGCCGACATGGCCAAGCCCGCAACTCCCTTTGTGATTCCCGCCGCGAGTACGGAGAAGATGGCCACGCCACCACCCGAGAACGCGCCGTACATGACGCAACCGGAGGCTGACAGGTTGGGTGGAGGTAACATGTTTGCTCCCAATTCGGACATGATGGCCGGTACCTCGCCGCCGCACACCGAAAAGGATAGTATGACACCCAGTGCAAGTGGCTCGAGTGATGGTGTGCCACCGTTGGATCTAGAAATGGACTTCAACGAGAGTACGCAAGACGAGTTTGACTGGAACGCATTGACGGGGACGAATATCGACTTTGACCAGTGGCTACAGTTTCCTAGTGAGGGTACAAAGAAGAGTGCCAGTGCGGCTGCTCCAATGGCCGCTGAGGGAAATGAGAGCTTCATGGGCATGCTGGGAAACAATGGAACTGTTTCAGGAGAGGCTTTCGCTTCTTAACTCTGGTTTGGGATACTGCTTTTCTAATAATCATGTACCACGCCGGAATGATTGGCAATGATAACAGCTTAGGAGTTACGGGTTCCGGTGGCGTCTGGGGGTTTCAAAAGTTTCAAAAGGCCTGGACACACGGTCCATGGGCTTTATGGCGAGCACATTTATACCCCTGTGGAGCATGAATCAGCTAATGGGAACGGGTTGAAAGCATACGGCCAGGGTGGTCATGGCTATATCAATGAATGAGGTTAATACAAATGAAGCTACGATTATGTCCCAGTTCTGTGATTCATCGTCTGCCCATATTTGGCGCACTCGGCCGGTCCTTAGCATCCCTTCTTCACAGTTCGTCAATAAGTCGTCCTCTGTCAGAAGATAGACGAAAGTCAGGAGGCATGCTGCCCGGGTTCTCATTCATATACCTCGTCGTTTCCGCCTGTTCCTTTAGGACACGCTGGACAAAATCCGTCTTCACAGCCCAGGGGATCACGAGTCGGAAAAAGGCGCTGAAGAAGACCGACGCCACCAAGTCCATTCCAGCCTGGAACGCGGGCCGCTGGTGTGCAGGTATGACGATAAACCCGATCAGAGAGGCCAGAGGTCTGATGCTGACGAAGGATGTCAAAGTGCACCAGATGACGCTCTAAAGCTTTTGTGAGCAAACGTCCAGACAAAATCTAGACAAAATTTAGGCACGAAGGGGGATGGATATGGCCTCGAGAGGAGAATAAGAGATTCAAGGCAGAGACTTACAACTTTCAGCTCCACAACGGCCTTGCCAAAATTGCCCCGATGCTTGAACACCATGTTGTCCACGAGATGGTACACGACCTCGCAGATGATCTTGCCGACGCTGAGGTCTAGCACCCACTTGACGAACGTGTTCCACCAGCTCACACTCGAGCGCCGCACCTTGCCCTGCGCGATCCAGCGCTTGACAACCTCCTCCTCCTGGCCCTCGCCGGGCTCCTGGAGCGGCGAGACCGCCTTCTCCCGCAGAGCGTGAGGCTTCTCGTAGTGCAACTCGACGCCGCGCGGCCGCGTCGGGAGCATGCGCTCCAGTAGGAGATGCCAGTAGAACGAGAACGGCACCGTCAGTGCGTAGAGAAGAGCCTGCCGGGGAAGGCTGTGCAGGTAGAAGGGCTCCGAACTCTCTGCTCCAGCCCCTGTTGACGTGGAGAGCTGGCCCGGCGACGTGCTGTTGCCGCTGCTTATGGCAGTGGTGTTGAGACCCAAAGCTGTGTCCCGTGAGCTGGACAATTGGCTGTAGGCATCCGTCAGGTTTTTGACTGCCCCGTCCTCCCACACACTGGTGAAGGCGTCCCGCTCCATCTCATGGATGGCGACCAGGTTCAGCGCAATGAGAACGCTGGTCTGCAGCCAAGCTGCCTGGAGCTTTGAGAGCGGCATTGTGATAGTATTTGCACTCGGATACTCTCCTCTGTCTGGGGCTTGGCGGCGTTCCTGATAGACTATAATGTACGACCCTTTGCGTTGACCTCGATGAGCAGATAATACGGAGAGATTTTGGAGATCTCAACATCGAAGCCCTTCTCAAATAATCAAATTTTCTTTTTGCTTCACGTTTATGCCGTATTCCGGCAAGAACGGGGCCGTTCTGCCTTGCTGTGCCTCCTGCTCCGCTCATTGTCGAGTCCAACCCACCCTAGTGTGGATCCTTCGGTCTTTCTCTGATTTGCGTGTCGAAATACAATAGGCCTCCAAGCAACTCAGCCTTGCCGGTGGCAAGAGTTTGCGATATTGTCTTCTTCCCTTAGAGCATCTTTAGGGGAAGCCGTTAGGCATAACACGGCAAAGATTGTGCGGCTCAAAGCCATACATAAGGGTAGGTACTTTGTATGGCGAACAACCCCGTATTTCTGAAGGACTGGGTCCGTTTAAATATGGGCATGGCAAATCGCTTCACGTCCGCCTCCCAAACGCCTTTGGCAAGTTGTGCGCGAACAGATTATGCTAATTTTGAGCAGTATTGAGCTTTCGGTGAAGATTGATCGGTTCGCTTGGGCCCGCGAAACGACCCACGGGGACATCATGTTTTGAGTATCGCGCATCTGTACAGGAGTGCGACACGATGTTATCTCGGCGGCACATATGCAAATTTTTCTCCAGGTGTTATTCTTGTCGTCAGATCAATGTAGTTATACGCAATAGCATCGGTAGCACAACGATACTCCATAGTATTACCTTGAAAACATCTTCATATGACAATAGTGCGTCTTTGACTCTCGCATTGAATAATGGAGCGACGTTTACTGTACCCCTGCCACTTGAGCTATATTTGATAAGCTACTTTAACGCCTATATGCCAGTATAGCGGTTGAGGTCGTTTGGATATAGCGAGCTGATATCGGGCTCTTCTCGTCACTTGCGGTTGGGTTTTGTAGAACCACTGACATGGCAAACGAGGCTCGAAGCCAGTCTTGCTATGACCAGAAGAGAAGAGAAAGGACAGAGAAGGAACCGAAGTGTACATCTTCTTATGGGCAAAGGAGGTTTTCTAGGTCCCTCAGTCAACCCAACCTTGAGACTTGAGATGACAGGGTCCAAGTGCCTGGGTACCCCACGATTTCTCCGCACTCCGCATTTGCGACAGCCGGGTCAGAGAGGTGCCGGAACCAATCAACGTTGCTGCAGACTCGTAGCCCAGAGGACTTTGGGCTTCACCCGACGGGTATTTAATCGAAGCTGAGCCCTACGCACCCTGCATGGCTTCATGCAATACGGACTTTGACCATCGTGCCAGAACTGCCGAAGATGTCATGGTGACTGCTGGTGAGAAGCCACTGGAGCCGGACGTCGGAGAGGTCGAGCACGCCCGGCCACGGAAACGGACGTGGAGAGCGTGCGACAAGTGCTCTATACAGCGCGCAAGATGCGACGGCGCCCACCCCTGGTGAGCATATGCATATCTCCTTCCATACAATTGGATGCGCAGATCTAACCTTCTTTCTGGAATCAGCCGCCGGTGTGAAGGTGAGTCCGTTCCCCAGGTCTTCCACCCAAAGGACGCATACGCAGAAGGCTGGCTAAACATCTCAGACTATGGGTATACGTGCTCCTATGACAGGCCGGTCAAGAAACGTGGTCGCACGCGCATGTCCACGCTGGCTGAGATCAATGTTGCCACAGCTGGAAGAGAGAGTCTGGAACATGCATCAACGCGCATGCCGTCGGCTTCGACGAACTCTTCGCTTTCGTTCCTCGTTGATGCGGTGAACGATGGCAGCACCAACCCTCACCAAGCTGACTCTGCCGAAACCAGGAGTAGCAAAGATCTTGGGGAATCACATGACTGTGGTGATCTCGGTGATGATCGGTTGAGCATCTCTTCAAGGCCATCGCCCAGTTTTGTAGGGCGATCTTCGGTGAGCACCGTAGGGGTGCCCTGTCGATATCGTGTGCTTGGTCCAGTACTCCCCTATCTCGACGATATCATCTCGGTCCCAACTGCGTGTGACCTTTTCGACGTATTCCTTACAGATCCGGGAAGCTCCTTGTTTCGCTATGCTCCTCCGTATATACTCACCCGCATTTTCCGTAGGAAGTCGCTTCTAGGTGAGTGCTGGTTCCCACATGTCTATTTTACGTGGATGGTTGAGATTTGGGTCGAATACCACAAGCCACTCAGTGCAAGTTGACGTGGTTGGCGAGGCCGTGAATGTCGAGCAGCAGCCCCTTTCCCATTCCTTGAAGAACAAGAATCTGACGGTATTGCTTGTTAGATCCCACAAACCCTCGCCCAGTCTCTGCAGCATTGCTTGCCACAATCCTGTGGTGTTGCGCCCAAGCGGCGGAGGTACCATCATTGCTCTTACCGGGAGCGAGGAGGCGAACCACAAAGGCTCTGTATGACTTAGCTGTCGCCTTGATAAACGAGAGAACAGAAAACCATTATTGGATGCGCGATGCTCAAACGGCGTCGGAACTGGCTGCGGTGAACACTGGGGAGAAAGGGCCACGAGCCTCCTTACCTGCAGAAGGACACGACGATGACATTGAGAGCCTACTCGGCGCCGTAGATGATGTCTTAACCTTCACGCTTCTCTGTGTCGCAGTTTCTGGAGGTGAATTCAAAGCCGACTGCCAGGAGTGGTGGCATCGGGCCACTCGAACTTCGAGATCACTCGGCTTGCATCGCGAGGATGAGCCCTGCGCACTGCTTGGAGCAGTCTGCTTGAAGCCTCTTTGTTCTTGTCGGATGCAGTCCCGAACACCAACGTTGGCTTTCCTCGAAGCTAAGGAGGAAAGGAGGAGAGCATTCTGGTTACTATATTGCTTAGATCGGCACCTAGGCCTTTCATTCAACCGGACCCTTCATATTCCGGACTCATATGTAGAGGTCTACGGTATGTACTCTCCATGAAAGACTACTCGCGATTTCTTGAAGTTAACGCTTCCAAGCTCCTCTGCCGGAAGCCATGTGGGAAGAGCTGGACGAACTGCCCGACATCGCCCATTTCACACGCATCCTTGGCCCTCCAACAAGTATTTCCGGTACGAGCTTCTTTGAATACTTCTTACCACTTATGGTGATCCTGGGCGACATCATTGAACTGCACCACGGGCGGCAACACCCTCGATTTTGCAGCTTCGCCACACCCGATGCCGCTGCCCTCATCGAGCAAGAAATACAAAACTGCGAAGCTAGTCTAGGACTCCTCGAGTCTGAAGCCCACATGCATAGTCGCGATAACCGCCATCGTACCAACGAAGTCCACTTGGTCATGGCATACGCCACACACATTATACGAGTGCTTCAAGTCCTACTTTACAGCAAATGGGACCCTATCAGCATGCTGGACAATGACGATGGCTGGATTTCTACTGAGGACTTCTCCAGGTGCGCATCCTACGCCATCGCCGCGTCGGAGGCAGTGTCACGGATCCTCGAACTGGACCCAGAACTGGCGTTCATGCCCTACTTGTTCGGGATATACCTACTTCAGGGCAGCTTCATCCTCCTCCTGTTTGCCGACCGCATGCCGCAGCTTGGCCTGAACCAGAGCGTGGCCCAGGCGTGCGAGACCGTCATTCGGGCCCATGAAGTGTGTATTGTGACGCTGAGCACCGAGTTCCAGAGGAGTTTCCGCCGAGTTGTGAGGTCTACATTGTACAGTGTTCGGGGGATCAGCGGGGAGGAATTAGAGGAGTACAAATTGATGAGACGGCGGGTCCTCTCCCTGTATCGTTGGACCAAAGGCGCCAGGGGTTTGGGAATATGAGCAGAGTTGTTCCTCTTGAAATGCCTGAGGCGATCACTGCACCTTTGTTCAGAACGACGTACACACATACTGGATCGCGAAACATATGACTTGGCGATGGATAATCCCGAACGCCACACTAACTAGCTCGTTCAAGATAGTCGGGCAGCCCTAGACTGTACGTAGCCTCTGGGGTGCCTCCCACATGGTTTTCTCGGTCCATCAATTAGGAGCTGACCCGCTGTGTACTGTGTAGGTAGGCACCTTTGCTGCTGTCCTAGGTCCGCAACTTTGCTATTAGTTGAACCTAGGACTGGCGGAGAAGGCAATCATAAATCTCGGAAATATAGTTCGCACCGGGCCCCTCTAAATGTCTAAATGCGGGCGGCGCTTGCAAGCTGAGGCCACAAGCGCTGAATGGCGCCGCCCCTACTGCAGACTGCACTACCACGGTGCGGTAACTACGGCTGATGTGCAACTTGCATAAATCCAACAGGGGCCGGGGTGCTCTGTTGGCAGCCTTCAAGTTTCTGGTGACAGGATTAACTTAAAGGCCAACTCATACAGCTTTGCTGGCTCAAGCGTTGCACGTTTGTCAGGCCCATCCATTTCTCTGTGGGTTCCATGCAAAGAAAACGCAATCTCATGTGGGCGAGCGAGATTAGTTAGGTGCCGAGTTTGCACAATTGCAAGCAGGCTCCCCCTGGAGCCGATCCTCGCGTCCCTGGAGCAGGGTGTCTTCAATACATTGGCAAGACTGGAATTGGGGGCTCCACGCGTTGCTGAGGCGCGACGGAGTTTGATGCGACGATGGCACCGGAGAGACGGTTGGCCATGGCGGCCCCTGTCGGCATGAATGTGATAGGCTGCAGGTCGTGGAAACGGGGACGTCGTTTGGCTTCCGCGATTAACCTGTGTTTCGCGCATGAATTACGGGAGGCCAACCCCAAGCTCTTGCTCAACCCAATCTTTGTCCGGCCCATCCTCTGGCGGCGTGCGCAGCAGCAGCAGCAGCAGCAGCAGTAGGGCCCTTCGAAGTTCGGGCGGACGTGAGAATGGGACTGGGACTGGGTCGGTTGCGCCCATGAACTTTGGATCATTTCCTTCCCTCCGCTGCGTCCTACTACCCCCAGGCGCAGTCAGTCGGATGATCTGTCACAGGGACTCAGGTCAAAAGCCAGCGCATGCTGCATTACTGCATCCCGCAGTCATCAGTCTGGTTGGTGCTTGAACGGCCCTTGGCTTTGCGACCTGCCCGTCCCTCCTACATGCGGGCAGCCTCTTCTTGTTTCCGCGACATCATTCATTGCTCCCCGTAACCTTCCTATACTCTCTACCTGTCACTGCATTGATCTTCCTTCTCTGCATGGACCTTTCTTGTCACTCTTTACAGACGCTGCAAAATACGGAAAAAGGACAAAAAAGAAATCCTCAACACCGTAAGGTAGCACACGTCACCCGTTCCCATACACTCTCCCACCTTTAGCCTCATCTACCATTACCGCCGGTCCAGCAGCTGCCCGTCGCGACCGAGACACCTCCTTTGCCGAACACAGAATTTGCCAGAACTTGCCGCACAGCTCCTGGAAGGTGCCGACCCGAGCGTCCTTGTGTGGCACGACTTCCACGGCAACCAGGAATCGGCTGGTTGAGGGGCAGGCATCCAAGAGCTGGGGAAATGAAAGCCAGCAAACGCACACGAACGCTTAGACTGTCGGCGATGGATGAACATAGCTGAAGCAATCTCTCGCAACCTGCTACCACCGCTCCGCCAACTCCCGCTGGAGATGGATGTCTGAGACGAATGCTCAAAGAGACGCCCACATCGCAAACACCAGATACTAACACACAGCTAAAACCATGGCGGACCCAAGCCTGCTGCCGCCGCCTGCGAGCCCGCCCGGCCAACGAGCGACGATGCGCCGGCACCTTCGAACCACCTCCCTATCTCCCACTCGACAACGTCCCGGAGATGCGCTGCTCTCCCGCCTTTCGCCAACGTCAGCGGTCGAGGCGCTCCGGGTCCCTTCAGGTGATCTGAAGGCTTGCCTCGACGACGCCTCAGCCTCCGAGCAGCATTTCGCCATGAGGACCGCTGTCGCCTCGAAAAAGATCCACGACTGGCTGGATGAGTTGTCGGGGTGGCCCTGGCCCAAGGAAAGCACATCTGCTGGCTTTGAGATGCCTCCAGCTAAAAGACGGAAGACATCAGGACCTCCCGAAGCAAATTTGGAGCAGGGGCTAGGCCAGGGCTCACAGCCAACTGTTGAGCCGCAAGTTTCCTACCTGGGCAGCCTCCCCGCGAACGACGTCATTCACTACGAGGTCAGGGTCGAACAGATTCAGAAGGACATGGACGCGCTTGACCTGGAGGAAATCAAGTTCCAAGTGTTGCATCATCACATCATGCCTTTGTCTCGACCAGGCACCCCCTTTTCAGACGCTGGAATGTCTGTTGCCAGTTCGATATCGTATACCAAGATGGAGGATATTACAGCTGTGATCACGGCTATAACGGTGCAAGCACTGCCAAACTTGACCAGACTCTCTAGATTACTAAACACCTGGAGTGTTCGGATAATCGTGCTGAAAAAAGTGCCATCTGTGCTTGCTATGATTGCGGACGCCGAGGTTGCGCTCGAATCGGGGTGGAACGCGATTAGACTCGAAGCCACAGCGAAGGGCTCGATGGGAAACGGCAGTTCCGCCACGCTCGTACGAAAGGACTTTGAGGTTATGCATTCTGTCCTGCGACAGAAAGTGGCGCAACCGGGTCGAGATCTGGACTTCATGCTGGATGCTTTGGAAGGCAAGAGGGATACATTACCAGACGACTGGCTCGATCGAATGGATGCCGTGGAGAAGAACTACGCCGAGTGGGTGGCAACAGCCGAACGTCGCGTCCGCGAGGGAGAGTTATCTGAGATATATGGGCCCCCCAATTCAGATGCGCTTCCATCCACGCCACAGACTCCTCAGCCAAAAGTCCGGATTCAACCGCCAAGTCCGACTAAGGATCGAACTGAGACAAAAAAGCCCAGTGATGTGCGTATACTGGTTAAGGAGCCAAGTAACGACATACCTGGGTCAGTCAACCAAGTTCTTGACATCAGCAAGAGTGCGGCCCACCAGAAGGATGTTGATTCGGGAGTGGCCGTCGAGGATCCCAGTCTTGACTTTGGTAGCGAGAATGTTGGAAGTCGAGGTTCAGCTGCTGGGCGTACTGTCCCAGATCTCGACGGATCGGCTGAGAGGCACGACGGCCAGGAGACAAAGCACGCTCTGTCCGAGTTGGATCACAACATTGTTCGTGTAACACCCGCCGAGTCATTGGCACCGAGCCCTCATCTGTATCGAAAAGCAAGTCCAGATGCGGAAGCGGAATACTCATTCCTGGAATCCGTCAACGAGGAAGATGAAGAAGATGAACTTGATCTCCCCCCTGCGCGGTTCGTGCCCCGGAAAGGAAGCCACGAGTCACTTGCTTCGACCGTCCTCCACGATCCTGTCAGCGAATTGGCCTATTCAGACAATAGTCCTTTCAGGGAAGAGTCCGTTGAGCATGAGCTTCCTCGTCTACCTGATCCGGATGAGCCCTTCTCAAGCGATGCTCTAAGTCCTCCCAGCTCCCCACCATTACGATACAAACCAAGGACTACCTCTGTATCGTTCAATGAAATCCCAGAGATCTCCGAACTGCCCGAAGAAGAGGAAGTTACCCCACCCAGAAGTCCCTTCGAGCCGGCCGACGTGTACGACCCCGAGAGCTCGTTCGATTATGGCACGCAAACGCCTAGCCAGATGAGTGTCATCAGTGAAGGCGGCGACGACCTGCATCAACAGATCAGAGCAGTCCTCAAGAACATTCCGAACAAAATCCGCCTGTCTACAAAGCCGTCTGCGATCAACCTAAACCCACCAGACCTGCAGCTTCCTTCGCGGCCGAAGGCCAGAAGCTCAGAACCCTTCCGTCGAAGCGGATCCGCTCTATCGACCAGATCAACCATGTCTTCTCGTTCAGGCACCCCGTCGTGGCTTCTAGCACCCGCGAGGGCCCCGCGTCCGCACTCAAGGGCACAGGACGCGAAGACTTATTATCTCTCTCGTTCGCCCAACGAAGCTCCTATGAAGCTGCTTGTCCGTTGCGTGGGGGAGAACGGTGAGCGCGTGATGGTCCGCGTAGGCGGTGGTTGGGCCGACCTAGGTGAATATCTCAAAGAATATGCTATCCACCACAGCAGTCGCTCGAAGGGTGAGGGCAAGGTGGAAGTCAAAGACTCATCAACCTTGTCCGCAGGCAGGCTTGGTTCCAGCCCGCCTAGTAGGCCTGGATCCGCGCTTGACACTCCAATGACACCCCTTGCTGTCCGCAAGACTAGAAAGAGTGTGGGCGAAGAGGGCTCATCGAGGCTTCCAGCCACACCGATGACACAAACTACGAACCGCTCTGATACGCCATCATCCGATGCTTCCAACGGATCTTACACCTCCCGAGCTGCCACCAACCCAAACAGCAGCATTCTTGGTATGTCGGGCCCACATCCCAAGAAGGCGAGAGCGCTCAGCGAGGAGAGCCGCCAGTGGGTCGAGGATGTCAAGAACAAGGTCCGCACCGCTAGTGGCGAGCAGCGGAACGCCCAAGAGACGGCACAGACGGAGGGAAAATTCGGCGAAATGGGCAAGGTCGGAGGAACGAAAAGGTTGTTCAGGAAGAGCTTTGCTTAGGTCATGACATGGGTCAGGGACGATGAACGCCGATACGATATGATATCCACTTGAGTTGTACTTGGCGCAGCGACATTTGGGGCGCGATGATGGGCGGATAGCAGACCTCTGTCTGTATGGCTCACTTTTCCTCTTTTCACACCTTTTACACACACATTCTCTCTCTCCCCCTACACATCTCCTACTGTTGATAAGGATGACTTCGTCCGCACATACCCATAACTGTTACTCCGGGCCCGCATACGGCGCTCTACTGAATGCATATACCAATGTCAAGGAAAATTATTCCCAAAACCAAGTGTTTTATTGGTGACTGCTGCGAACCATCGCCGTAACAAAGGCGTGAGGGATGTACCTGAACGAGTACCGTGTTGCGTCCCTAGATTTTCATGTTCACGCCGGTGTTTTGGGTAGAAATGCCAAACCCTATAAGCGGATAACTTTGCAGGTCTCGAGGCCTAGGATAATATCCCGCTTCTCAGGTTGAACCGAGCATGCACGGTTGCTGCGTCTGAGATCTCCACGGTTCGTTTGAGCCGGAGACAAGTTCCCTAATCCCGGCACCTACAGGGGACTGACTGGCTTGTTGCTTAACTCCGTCGACAGCTACCTAGAGGCACTCGCTCCGGGATATGGGCTTTTTATTTTGCAACCGTTCCGCAGGAACGGTGTTTATGTTCCTCCTCTACTGATGCATTGTTCTAAACGCAACTTTTATAGTACATGACTCGTCTCACTGTGTATCCTAGGTCAACCTATACTAACCAGCGGTATCGTATAAGCAACCACACATCCAAGTCCTTAGAAGCCATGACAGACAAGCTCGTCTGCCTAATTACAGGTATAGTCCCAGCATGCCCTTCCTCAACCTAAATCCTAGACCAACCAAACCCAGCCTCACCTCTCCCCTCCCCTCCATCAGCATCATGGTCTCCTCATACCAACCCCTATTGTTCTCAGGCGCAAACCAAGGCCTCGGCTACGAAGCCGCCCGCGCCCTCCTGCAGACGCCCGGCCCAGACGGACTGAGCCGGTACCACGTGCTGCTGGGATGCCGCGACGCAGCCAAGGGCCGGGCGACGGCGGCGGAGCTGGAGGGCCTGGCCCCGGGGTCCGTGACGCCGCTGCTGCTGGACGTGACGTCGGAGGCGACGGTGGCCGCGGCCGCGGCCGAGGTGCGCGCCCGCTTCGGCCGCCTCGACGTCCTCGTCAACAACGCCGGCGTCATCAGCCAGGCCGCGAGCGCCGGGGAGCGGCTCGAGGCCGCCTGGGACGTCAACGTGCGCGGCGTCGTGCGCGTGACGGAGGCGTTCCTGCCGCTGCTCCTGCCGCCGTCGGGCTCAGGAGCAAGGCGGGAGGGACGGTTGGTTTTCGTGGGGAGTAGTGTGCGTGGTCTTCTCTTTTCCCATTCTGCCCACCGGTGTCATTCCATGCCCCTTTTGGGGGCTCCTCTTGTTTTCTGTCATCGTGGTGTTGTTCCTGCAAACTTGACGGCCACGTCTGCACCTTGAACCAACCCAGTGTTGACTATTCGGGTGGAGCCCTTCTCTGACATCGATATATCGAGCAGATGGGTTCCCTGACCGGATCCGCGGACCCTAACTCTCGTTATTACAAGTCCGTGACGGGTGCCAGCCCCATGGAGTATCGCGTTTCCAAGGCGGCTCTCAACATGGTGATGCTCGAGTACTGGTGAGTTTCCATGATCCGCCCTGGTGCAGCGGGTTCAGGACAAGCTATGGGCAGAGGAAAAAAAGAGAATCAAAGAAAGGCAGGGCTCAGGATCCAGAGCTTTCCCCCCTCGCCTTCAAAGCCCCAGTTTTCACGAGAGGTGAGCAGAAACAACTAAGCTTATGCTCTTCGCAATCTAGGAAGAAGTACGGAATCCACGAGGGCGGGCCTCTGCGCGTCTTCACGGCGGATCCGGGCCCAAACGCCACCAACTTCATGGGCGATGCCGAGCACGGCCGCCGGATGGGGCTGCCGGGACCCGAGGTTGGCGCTCAGCAGTTGGTCAAGTGCGTCACTGGGGAACGGGACGGGGGGGAGGGCAAGATGTGGGGGGCGTACGGGGAGAGTCCATGGTAAAGAAATGATAAGGGGGCCCCGGCATGTTAGGGCAACATGTAGAGGTCCAGGCAAGGTGCTATGCGCGAGAGGCTGAAATGTCGTTTTCTAAGAACTCTTTCAGCGGAGACGGGGATGGGGCGAAACATTCAGCTTGCCTGGGTAATCAAGTTCGATATGTGCTATACACTTTCTAGCTCTACCAGGCCAGCGATGATGTTCATGGCAAGCTGGCGGGACTCGCTGACACCCATATGCATTTTGACCTCTTGCCGGAGCTACAGCTAGATAAGCTTTACCAAGTAATGCATTTGAATGCTACTAAAACAAAGTCTGATGGAATAACGAATTGGCTTTGATTCTTCACGTTAGAGAACTCTCAAGGGCCACGCCATGTCCTCGATCTGAGCCTAGTCGTCACTTACAGGTCCTGCCTATGCATGAATATAATGGGCCCAGTATTCTTGCATGATAAACACAGCCATTCATCAGAATTGGAGGGACACAGTGTTGAAGACAACGATTTCACCAACAGAGCGTTAGAATCATTGTCAAGGGCACGTATGATTGGTAATCAGTCTATTTGTGACTGGTTCCGGAATCTATTGCGTTATCAAGAGGGCAGACTTGCTTTTCAAGTCCATGATTTTCATTCCCAATCCACACACATTTACCGTAAGACTCATCAGCACATGATCATTTGACACCGCCTTTCCGCTACACCTTGCACCAGCTTATTTGAAGACCTTGCCCTGGGCGTGGGGGTACTCCTTGCCGTTGACGGTGACGGGAGCATCCCACTTCCACATGGACTCGACGAAGGCGCGGTCCTCGGCGCTCTCGGGGTCGAGCTTGGCAAAGTCGTAGCTCTCCCAGTCGGGGGCGACGTCAAAGGCGTGGACGGCGTTGTCGCCACGGATGAGGAAAGCACCCTCAATGACGGAGTCGTTGTCCTGGCCGTAGACGGAAGCGCATCCGAAGATGAACTTGCGGGAAGCCTCGAGACGGGTGAAGAAGCCACCAATCAGGTTGCTGGACATGAAGAGCTTGGTGAGCTCGTCGTTGTACTTGTACTTGACGCTCCAGATGGTGTACTCGTCCTTGGGGACCTTCTCCCAGAAGTACTTCATGGACTCGGCCTCATCGTTGTTGGAGTAGAATCGCTTCCACTCGTCGATGGGGTAGGTAGCGCGGGGCAGCAGCTCGATGGGGTGCTTGGCCTTGGGCTCGGCGGGGCGGTCATCCTCGTCCTCCTCGTCGTTCTTGGGCTTGGGGGCGGCCTTGGGCTGCTCCTTCTTCTCCTTCTTGGGCTGGTCCTTCTTGGGGGCGACGTTCTCGAGGGCGGGCTTGTCGAGGAGCTCGAAGGGGTGGGCAACGTCCGAGTAGACCTTCTGGTTGTAGACGGTCTCGTACCAGCGAGAGACGTTGGGGTTCTTGGCGCGCCACTCCTTGCCGAAGAAGAACTGGAAGCCGCGGGAGATGATGCCGACGGCGAACAGGTCGGCGAGGGTGATGCGCTCACCGACGAGGAAGGTGTTGTTCAGCAGGTGCTGCTCAACGACGGCGATGGCCTTGGCGGCACCCTTCTGGGCGTCGTCGATGGCCTTCTTGTTGTAGGCGTCCCATCCCAGAAGAGGGCGGTACCAGGCACCGAGGTTGGGCAGGACCTCCATGTTGAAGAAGGACAGCCACTTCAGGATGGAGGCGTAGCTGAAGGCGGGAGGATTAGCATTTTATCGACAACAGGGAGGAGAGCAGCGGCTTGGGGCCGGCGCTGAGGGTGTACATACTCCTGCTTGGTCTTGCCGAGGAGAGTGGTCTTCTCATTCTGGGAAGTGACTACAGACAGACGCAGGTTAGCAAGGCCATCATAACCGGAAAGGTCTGTGCGATATGAAGCGACGACAGTGTAGCAAAGGTCAGAGAGTAGAACCGGTATCCTCAAAGAGTTATTCAGATAGGGATAACTGTTAGAATATTCTAGGTCATCATAGCAATGCGATCAACGATCGACGGCGCGGCGTGTCGGCGTGCGTGCACGCGCGCGCCCAGTCAAGCCGTGGCCAGCCCAGTCCATCCTCGTCGCCAAAACTAGCCGTGATGGCGAGCGAGGCTGGGCTGGACTGGCTGTTTGGTGGGTTCGTGGGTTGGTTGGGCAGTAGTGGGCCGCGGGGCAGAACAGGAAGCAGAAACGGGAAAAACAAGGGAGAAAAGCTTACGGTAGATGGCAATGGCGATGGACTCGGTCAGGACGTAGCCGTCGGTGCCAACGAAGACGGGGACCTTGGACAGGGGGTTGTACTTGAGGAACTCGGGGGTGGGCTTGGTGGTGTCGACGACGACGGTCTCGAGGTCCAAGCCGTTGGCCTTCGCAACCGCGAGGATGGCGGTGGTGCGGGGGTTGCGCTGCGGCGGCGGCAACGAGTTAGCCAACTGCACGATGCGATGGAGGGAAAGCTCTATCTCGCACAACGAGAGGCTGCAGTGCGTCTTACCTCCTTGGTGAAGATCTTGCCGAAAGACATGATTGCGGTGTTCTTGTCTTCTCTGTGGTGTTTGGGAGGGGGAGATGATGGAGGGGGGAAAGATGCCAGACAGCAGCTGGAGGACGAGAGAAAGAGGCGGGCAGAAAAAATCACCTCTCTTCTGAAATTTTCGGGCGAGGACCCCTCACTGGGCAGGCAAGAGGCGGGGGACGCTCTTTATTTTTTATTTTTTTAGTGGGCTGGCTGGGCTGGTCTCAGTGGGCAATTGGGCAGGGTGGGCGACAGGCAGTACCTACTACCTAGCTCAGGCAGGCAACGGGAACCAAATGGCGGGGTGACTCAAAGGCGGTCTGGTCTGCTATGTACACGAGTTGCAGTAAGTTACAGTACAGCGCCCAGTGGTTGGTCGCCCCAGGGAAGGTTGCCAGGCACGCCAGGTGCCCAGGCCGTCGTCGAGGCGGCCAGGCGGAGGCTGTCCATCAGCCACGGGCGTGGCGGTGCTTCCACAGGCGCCTCTGCAGCTTCAGCCACTTTTGGGGGGTCTGGCCACGGCGCGGTCCTCGGCCGGCGTGCACGGGTCTTTGCTCCCGTGTCGTCCTGGAAAAACTTGTGGTCATGGTGAGATCTCCCTCATCCTGGCACCGAGCGACACAGAGAGCGCCAGCGAGACGTCGACACCCCGGGGGAGACGCCCGCGACACACCACACGCACAACCACCGAATCGACCCTCCCAATTGACATGCCGACGGCGCGATAGCCCGCCATGTCCTCGCTAAGATACACCGTCCGCTGTCTTAGGGACATCCGGCCAACCCCCAGGCCGCAATGGCACCCGCCAGCAGCAGCGGCCACCACCGCCACGGCCACCACCGCCCTGCCCTACAGGCCGAGGATACACCAGACCGCGAGGACCCTGTCCACGACGGCGTCGAGGCCCGCCGACCTCAACAACGACATCACGAAAGAGCCCCCGCCTGGTTGGAATGAGTTCCAGGGAGCTGTCGCTGCCACTGACGCCGACGCCGACGCCGACGCCGGCTCCTATCCCGACTCCAGCTCCAGCTCCAGCTCCAGCTCGAGTTCCAACTTCGGCGCCCTCGAGGCCGCCAGCGCCGTCGCCGCCACCCCCTTCGCCCGTGCCGTTCCCGTCTCGCCCTCCTACTTCTCCCGCAAGCCCATCTTCAACGACAGCTATGTCGTCGTCCAGGACCTGGCCCGCAAGTACGCCCGCCTGCCCGTCCTGCCGCGCGACAAGGTTGCCCCGACCGCCTGGCGCACCAAGGAGCAGTACCGCCTAGCCATCGGCGAGCACGTCAAGGGCCGCGACTACGCCGAGTGCATGAAGCTGGTCAAGCGCCTCAACCAGATCCATCCCGACCTGATGCCCGCCGAAGTCCTCGCCGGCCTTGCCCCTTTTAAGCGCGAGGTCAACTTCTACCTCAACAAGCCAAAGGTCCTGCCCATCGACCGCTTCGGCCGCTCCCACGCCGTCGGCAAGCGAAAGAGCTCCATCGCCCAGGCCTGGGTCGTCGAGGGCACCGGCGAGGTCCTCGTCAACGGCAAGCCCCTCAGCGACGCCTTTGGCCGCATCCACGACCGCGAGAGCGCCGTCTGGGCCCTCAAGTCCACCGAGCGCATCGACAAGTACAACGTATGGGCCAAGGTCCAGGGCGGTGGCACCACCGGCCAGGCTGAGGCTCTGACGCTGGCCATCGCAAAGGCCCTCTGCGTGCATGAGCCCGCCCTGAAGAACCCACTCAGACGAGGTAAGTCACATCCATACTCGCCTCCTCCCCATGCCAAGAGACGGACATTGCTTTTGTGTCCCTACATCACCCGCTGGACGATATCCGCTCTCCGCCCCTCTTCATAGACCTATGCTAACGCCTTCGGCAGCCGGGTGTATTACGCGGGATCCCAGAAAGGTGGAGAGAAAGAAGCATGGCCATGTCAAGGCTCGCAAGATGCCCACATGGGTCAAGCGATAGACGGGATTCGGGTTCGAGTCGGGCCAAGTCAAGGCCGTCAAGCCGGCTTCATCACCAGCATTATCAAGTCAGGCAAACACGACATGTATTTTTTTTGGGGGGGGGGGGCATCGCACTGGGATACGGTTACGCTCTCCTGTGCAATTGGATGATGCCACGTTCTGCTTCGAGGGCACGGTGCTCATCACCAAGCCTCTAGGTCCGAACCTCTTCCTCGGACGCCCGAGTTTGGATCCTAGATAACCCATGACGGTTTCACAGCGTGGAATGAACGGCATCGCCGGGCTGAATAGAGCCCATGTTTAGAGACAATAGAGGTGTGACGATAGGGAAATCAGCTGTATACAATCTTCAATGTAGCAATATGTAACTCCATGTACCCGTATTACCGTTGAGACAAGACTGCTCAGTGCTCGTCCGAAATTGCAATATCATGCTGCCGCAGACGACCGGGGGCCCACTCAGGACACGCCGGCGAAACGGAACCGAGACTAGTTGGTAACTGGTGACCAGCTCCCCCCATTCGCGACGTTGCGTCACACACGAGGGAGGGAGCCCAGCTGCGGTGCGTGCGAATTAACTTGCTTGCGAAACGGCGTCCCACGGCCCTGTGCTGCAATCGGCGAGTCCGTTCAGCGCGGTTTGTCGCTTTGCAATCTACCTGCGCGGCGACTAGCTTCGCCCCAGACTAACAGGGCGACTAGCAAACCGGCGCGCGTCGAGCGCAATCAACCACCCGATCCGGGAAAGGCATGCTAGTTGAACACTCTCTGGCACGGGCCAGGACAGACAAGGGGGGAGAGAAGGACCATGATTTGCGGTGACCCGGGTACGGGTTAGGATGTATCAGGTATCTCGAGAGAGAAGGTTGCGAGAAAGGGGATACCGAATACTGACGTAATTTGCTTTGGGGTTTGCTCATTATGGTCTTTGCTGGCGTTCAGACGTTTCGGACCGTGCAAGCTGAAGACCGCAAAGATTACGGCTTCTGGCGGGTGACTTGATGCGACTCGGCGCGCCGTCGGCATGCGTAACAGTTCATGTGGCTTCAGTCATCCAAAAACGGACAGGTTCATCTTCTAATCTCGACCCAGCCATCCAAGCACTAGTCGACTGAATATCCAGGTACCTTTGTAACCAATATGTACACGTGATGGCAGCCATCCCGGAAGTATGTTCGCTCGCTGAGACTTTGGGGGGAGATGTGATTTAGTGACGCATCTCCTTGATGTTTCTGATGGGATAACTGACCCGCAGGCTGGAAAGGCCGTCTGATCCAAGGGGTTGAGGGCGGCTGTTGAGGGTTCCTTCACCGACTTTGATACCTGCGTAACCCCTGGCCTACTACAGTAGTATGTTCAGTCATCTAAAGTCCAGCGAGACGCTTGTCATCTTACATCCTGGACCAACCATTCAATATCACGTGTGACTGTACTTGATGGTGCTTCTCGCAACATTAGTAGACTGCAGAAAGGCTTCAGGTTGAACTTTTCTACTTGGCTAATGGGTAGATTACAAGAATACAAACAAAACAGCAATGCCCGCCTCGACCCTCGGCTTCTAGTTTCCTCCGTCGTCTGCAGGATAGATAGCTTACCTACCGACGCGGAATATCCAATCTGATCTCGTACAAATATCATGAATGTGTATGTAAGATCAGAGACTCACTACCACCTTGCAGTCACACCCGAGGGGTACTCAATAAGGTCATCGTGCGTCTGTCTCAAGAAACATGGAAGCCGAGTATTACTCATCTGCAGTAACCTTCGAGTCTTTCCGGCGACAGGCAAATAAATTGTTTCCTAACTCGGCTGCTTGACAGGGTAACTCCTCAAGCCATCAACCAGGAGTGCTCGGGCTTCATCCAAAGTTACCAAGTGGTGCCCTGTAGAGAGGATGGCGGTCACAGGCAGACAGAGCGCAGCAATATACTACTATTTATGGAACAACTCTCAGCACTCTAATAATGCACAGCGTCGGTGAAAACAAACCGGAAAGACAAAGAGCTTCGAGGCACTGTCTCTATTGAATAGATCTCCGTCAGGTGAATATATTTCTAGCCACAGGAGACCACGCTACGAGGGTATCCCACCAGCATCAGCAGAGACAGGATAAGCTACAACTCCAATATTAAGCGCATGGCTCGAAGTGAATTACATGAACCCAAGCTTCTGAGTCAATGGATATGACAACCAGCCTGTGAGCCACTCGTTTCCAACTTAGCATGAACTACACGTTGTGCATGGGGTGAGAGCAGAAGCAATGGCCTGTTCAGGAGAGGGCTCGTGAACAGCCCCCATTCTGACAATAATACTAATGAGAAGCTCAAGTCAATTCGCAAGGACACCCCATACTGATAGTCAGGAGGGCTGTAGCGGCACGCATGTCCCCCACGGGGGCGGCAAGGTCAACGGCACCCATACCTAGAGCCACAACTTGCCTAAGTGTGTGGATAACCATCTCCGTTAACTCTGAGCTCGAGCAAGTCAATACCTGGTCGCACGTTCTCGGTCACCATTTCTCTACGGCTTCCGTGCAGAGTTGCGGATGGATATTGTCGTGATTTTCCTGATTGGCGCGCGGCTGTTTCATCCACGAACGCAACAACTGCTTCCTACACCCACTTATCATCACACACCTGAAAGCACATGCTTTATTCAGATTAGCTCAAAGAGCCATGGGCGTCTAAAACGGTTTAAGCAACGGAAACAGCAGCAATGGGCATTGTCCTACGAGTGAAGAGAAGAGCTCTGTTGTCCTGTCCACTGCTGAGCCAACATCCGAATGCAAAAATTCCAGCCTGATATCGGAGTGGTTTCCGGTTCATGTCACCCTACATAGGCAGGCACCCTATGAACTGTGACGTCGGGACCGGGCGGAGTGCCGAAAGAGCAGCTCAGAAGCTGGAAACATGATGAGAACACTTCAAAGACCCGATCTGCCTTCTGTCAGCTACAAATGTCATGCTTTAAGGCGTAGTAACTAGTCTATTCATGTTCACCTTGGGTCGACCAAGCTGATCCATTGTCTATGGCTCCGAACGGAAATCACGTACACTCCTAACATATAGCACTAATCACTGGTCTTATCGCACAGCAATGACCGTACTACTCGTATCGAGCTTACCAAGCCCAGCACTCTTTTCATCGACAGGACCTCTCTTATAGCACGTGATAAGCCTGTGGATGGTGATCGTTCAGAGTGCCGACGGGACGTCGCTGGTCATCAACAAACAGCCCTGTTCCTGGCTCCTACAGAACAGCACTTGCGAGATCGTAGTCCGGGAGTCCGGGAATGAGATCGCCAGGATGGATCATTTCTGCTATGCCCTTGGGTCATTGTCCCCCGTGTTACAGGGTCCATGGATCATGCACTCAATTTCCCAGATAGGGATGCGCCAACGAGATTGTGGCGTCCTAGTTCGAGGTTAGGACCCGGGCTAACTTTAGAGATGGTCGCAAAGTTGCGATTGGGAGAACCAAAAAAAAAACAAGTAGGGCTAATGCGTAAGTCGATTTTCACATGGCCAGGAGAAGCAAGGCGTGCTGCTGCTAATAGTCACATATCAACGTGTAGGAGATGAATTCCTCGCCGCATCGAGTAAAGGAGTGGGCCCTGAAAGTAAGGCTGGCGCAGCTTGTTTCGTTTTGAATTGCTATAAATGGCGTGAGCTGCGAGTTGGTGCAGGTAGAGCACAGACGCTGCTGCATGAACGTGGCCGCTTGATAATCCACCAATTCCAGCGTGGTGTTCTTTGGAAGGCTTCTAGAAGAATTAGGAAGATGATGGCTGTTTCACAACCTTCTAGCGGCGCTAGGCAGGAGGCTTCGGTGCAGCAAGATTGTCAGCTGCGTCCGGATCCTCCTGATCTATGCCACTTTACGTCTTGGGCGAACAAGGTGTACGAGTAGCGACGCGTATTTGTCACCGACGACCCGTTTCAATGTTGTTGGAGGTACATTGCTCGCGGCACGGGCTAGGCGTGGAAACATACCAGAGTACCGACACGGTATCCCCTAGGTGTTGGTTAGTCAAAGCTGTCAGAATCGTCCATCGCTGGGCTCAATTGACTGAGACTCGCAAGCTGTCGTTGAGTCCTCAGGCTCGCCTATTTGTGTAAACGTCTTCTATAGGCGGATTTGATATGCAAACTGTCCGGATGAATGCGACTGAAGGTGGGAACAATCTAGACACTGATCATTTCTACTCAAGACCGATCAAGGCTCGGGAAAAGCTGGGTGGTCCTGCTTGACGAGTCGCTACAGATGTAACGACGATGTGTGTGTCCTGCTGACTGTGTCATGCTTGCCAGAAATGAACACTTCGTGGTTGAGCGAGGTAAAAGCACCACAATGGATACCCTCACGCCTGCCAAACCTACGTGGTGGTGATCCCGGCTGAATTCCTGAAGCATTGCGGGTCCTACAGCCTCACTGAGATGATCAACATCAATCCTGAGTCTCGTTGGCTGATGGTGCAGAACACCTCCAAGCCATTCATTCGTTGCACAGCCTCATGGCATTTGACACGATGCCGCTTCGTTGTTCACGATACTGCAACATGTTGACTTGAGAACATCGATCAGGAGTTAGATCGTCGAGATTGCTGCTGCAACGAATCCGATCAAGATCGGCTGGGGACGACCCCTGGTGTACATCCGCTTCATCGTCGTGGGGCTGTGCATCTTCGGTAGGCGTCGATATCACATCATGTCAAACTTTAGGTTCCCAATAACTTGACTTATTTTATGACCGGCGTGGTATTGCTTTCGTCTCTAAATGAGTTCGTAGTTCGTAGAACACGTGTGAGTACTGTATTCGCGAGTGCGGTATTCCAGGTGCAAAGGCGAACTCATCGGCCATGGTGAATGCCGTCCCCACAGTGGAGACAACGAGAGGCAGAGCAACCACGGACTCCAGAGATGTCGCTGAATGCGGCTTGCCCTATAGCAGGCCCGACTCCTGAGACCCTTGTCGTCCTTACACAAAAGCGAAGTGCCCGGTTGAATCAATGCGGTGCAACTCGGCTTGAGGAATTCCGGCCTCACTGTCATGTGGTGGTGTCCTCCTTCAAGCTCATGGGGGACAGAAAGCTCGCAAGAGCCCGGTTGACGTGATGTCAGTTGGAGTTCATTAGGTGGACTAGGTTACCGCCTTAGCCCGACCAAGCTGGTGATGACCATCGGACGTAATCCTGTGTCACGGTAGAGAGGATTTGCACTGACGAACGGTTCGTGATCCAGCTAGTTTGTAGCGATGACTTATTGAATGTTGACCTCATAAAACGGCCGGCAATGCCGTCTACTTTTGGGCTGGATGAGGAGCTCCTGGTTTCCTCCATCAACGGCGCCTGTGCCGATCAGGTTAGTATCAGCACTAAGGGCCACCACTCAAAATGAAGAAGGGCGTCGACCTGCATTGCTTGCATTCAACGATGCAGCAAGGGTGTTAGCTCGTTCCTCTGCCTCACGACACTCGCCTGTTTGCGGGGCTGCGCATTGGCAAAGCCGTGAATGCGACCTCAAGTCGGTGGGAGCCTCCCAGGTACCATGCCACCGACAGGTTTACGTAGTGGACACGCCAAACAATCTTGCAGCGACATTGCCGAACCACTTCGCAGGTGGCCGTGGGCAGCAGCTGCGGCTCTTGCTGTGTCCGAGCGGGATGGGATGCATTTGTATCTCTAAAACAACGACAAGGGATTCCGCGGGCCATACGGAGAATGTGCTCAGGTAGTCGGTCCGCAGGGGTTATAGTACTTGACAGCATAAACAACGATGTCAATCTGTTCCTGACGAGTCCCGAGATGCAATCAAAAACGCCATGGGGGCGTTGACACTGGAGGACCTGGGCCGGTAGTAGCCAGAGCTGTCGGGCTGCTGATCGATGAGTGGATGAGATCGAAACTTGAAGCCCTAGGTAGGTCCCCACGCGCACAAGGGTGGCCGACCCATGTCGCATTTTGACGACATGCCTCGTGATGAACCCTGCCATCTTTGGCTTTGCTTTCAAGGTCCAGGGTCCTTGAGATGTCACTTTTCAGCAAACCATCTCCCCTCATTCGAAACAGTCGCAACTTGGAAAAGTCGGAGTCCGGTACCTGGGTTCTGCAGCCCGGCCTCCCTTGGGCGCAAGTACTGCATGTACTTCCCTCGTCAACGGCCGGACGGAGGGCAGAATTTTCTCCCGACGCTCAGATAACGCGGCCACAGGGACGAGTAGGGCCGCCGCGACGTAGTGGTTGGGCACCAGTCCTCGACGCTCTATCCGCGTCCCCCTCGGACGAGAGTGGCAAGCAAGGCTGGAACGATCAGTGGCCGCTGTCAATGCTTGGATTCCTCGAGAAGCTAGTTTGGCTCGGTGCGGCATCGTCGAGGCTCCTGCGACGAAAGGGATTGGAAGACTTTATTTTAGAACCGTCCTCTGGTCTCACATCGCGCCGACCAATAGCCATGCCATGACGCAAAAGCTGCTGTTGCCCAGGCCTGTTAGCACCGTTTCGGGGCGGGTTCCGAAGTAATGTGCCGAACAGTCAATTCGCTGCTAGAGATTGCTTGCATCCAGACCCATTTCTCGTTGGCTTACCGACGAGTTGCACCGCGTCGCGTTGGTGCAAATCAGAGTACCTAGGGGGAGAGGCAAGAGCCCCCAGCACCCATCGGTTTCCCATTTCGAGCCATCAACGTTTTCCTACATACCTAGGTATCCAGCGTAGTAGGATCCGGGCCTGCGAGGGTGATGGGTTTCGGGCACGACGCAAATGCTTACTGGGATGAGGAAGCTTGAGTTTGACGGTAAGGATAGGCTTCCCAAAGAAGCCGTTAAGCCGGTCGGTCAGGAAGAAAGAAACCTACTTGAAATCTGGGGTACTCAGATCCGGACCGAGAAAGCTGCCACGAGGTAGGTCAAGCATGGTCGACGCACTCCAGAGAGGCGGCACAACGGCCGGGCTGATTACAGACGAACCGGCCTCTCTCAGTCTTGGGCTGCAAGGCCAATGACAATGTGTTCTGGCCTGGAAATGACACCGTTCGAGTCTGAGCCAGTGGCTTTTAACCTTCGGCCGTCGCTGTGCAGCACAGGCTAGCCCATCTATCACCACGAAGATGATGCGCAGGCTCTCCCCGCCCTCCGACCGATCCCAAGGATAGGCAAACCTCGACAGACCTCTCACTTGGACTAGCTAGGTAGTCAGTGCCCTGTGTAGCGTCGTTTCCTGGCGTCCCGATAACCTCCCTCCCTGGCCGATTGGGTTCCAAGGTTACCACTGCCTGTCACCTTCATCAAGGTATTCGCGTGTCTCCGTGGGCACAGATGATGTTGGGAGCATCGTCAGGTGCCAACCGCGTGCCCGCGTCCTGTCAGAGGAACCCGTGCACAGAGGAAAAGCAATCATACTTTGGGATGTCCGGGTTTCGGTTGCCTTCTGTTGCGTGAATTCGCGATCTAGAGCTCTCTGTCCGTTGATCTGTCAGGCTTCTAGTCTACTGCACACACTACCTACCTCGCATGGAACATCTGAGGCCGCTGCCAGAGGTTCTAGTCTGGTACATATGATATGTACACTGAGCGAAATCTCGAAAAGCCGCGGGCCTGTTCCTGGTTCCGCGAGGCACGCATGAGATTGGATCTGACTAGCTTTTGTGAGCTTCGGGAGCCCAACCCACCGATTTGGAAACTGGATTGCTTTTCCCTCCCCGTCCCCGAAAGACGTCGGTTGCCAGTTCATTCGAAGAGCCCTATCTGAAGATCTCCCACGTCCTCCCGTCTGGACTTGAGGCAGGGCCCCCCCCCTTCCTCAGCCACCCAACCCCTACGTTACATAGCACGCGCTTGCTTATCCCGGGATGGGGTCTTGTTAACCACACCCTGGTGTGGGAGTGATCTGCCTAGCGTCGCCATAGCTCAGGTCCGGGCATCCACTGCCTGTGCGCCAGATCCATCTTCGCTCACTCCGTCACCAGGCCAAACCGATCTGCCCAGATTGCCAAAACTAGTCAACTTCATTTTTCATGGCGCAGGGCGTCCTTAAGCCAGCTGCTAATTCCGTCCGGCTCGTCAATATTTTCCCATGTCCTACCAAGATTACAGAGGTACCTGCGCAAGAAGAACAAAGCTTCGAAACCTCCATATTACACCATAGCCCAGCTGGGAGCCCTGGATCCGGCCGACCTCACTGCAATGGCACGCTGCCCTGCATATCTCCCGCCTGCGTCCTCTTGTTGATATATTACGTGCAGAAGTACGCCACATCGACAGACATAGGGTTTTCACTTTGACTATGTAAGGAGCATCCCCGCTGAACTAGGTATCAAAAGAGGGAAGAAAAAAAAAATCTCCGGCAACTAGCAACTGCGAGCATATCCACTTCTATTACACAACGTCAGCCTGATCTTGGGTCTGCCTTTCTTTTAGGCTCTCGACTCTCACTCTCCTTTGCCTCGGGTTTCAACTAATACTTTTACGCGTCCTCAATCTTCGCTCGCCGTCTTTTTGTTTCCCTGCCTCGCATCCTCCCGTTCATAGAACCAAGGCCGATCCTAAACCCACTTGGCCCAGTCTTCGGTCATCAGCGCACGTTGGCTCGTGAGTTAAGTGGCCTCGAAAGTAGTCGACGGACTATCCAGCAATTTGAAGTATAACAGGCGAATCAGAGTTCTGTGACGGCCATTCGCACCAACAGGGCCCTCGTGAGACCCTGGTGCGGCTTTCCCTCTAGGCGAATCCACAAGGTATCTGCTTGTCGCGACCAAGTGTCTCTGCAGATCCTGCTGGGATACTCCCAGTACAAATAGTGACAACCGTTAACAAGTCGGATACACTACGACTCCCCCACTCTGGCCATTTTTTGTTTACGAATCTAGCCTAGGGAATCTAGGAGGACGAAGCCAAAATCTTGGAGTAGGGCGGAGAACATCGACATCCCTACCATATGATCAAGGCATGATTCAAAGCTTCCTAGCTGGTTGGCGTGCTTGTAACGACGACGACGCTTTCAAGAACAAACTCTCGAGGCGTGCTTCCGTCAGCGGCCATTCCTTGACAAGGCCAAAGGCTGCTCGTGCCTACCTACCCCATTAGCAATAAGAAAGCAGGCCTTCCCTGGGAGGAGCTTCAGCTATAGTTCCGCGCTTGCATCATATATTGCCGCCACTGCCAGCAGTCCTGTGCCCAGGACCTCCGTCCCATCGGGATCCCATTGCTTGCACAACCAAGCTGACCCTTCCCTTCCGCGCTCAAGTCGCATACTGCCTGCCCAGGAGACCCCAACGATCTACTTACCCGGCCCCGCGCGCGCTCTCTTCCCCGGCTACACGTCGTAGCTACGCCTCGCTCTCCCGATCTGTGGGCGCGAAATTTCTAATCCGGCTCTCGTCGCGACGTCGTCGTCCTCTACCTCCGCGATCCCAAATAGCCGGTCACGTACCGGCTATCTGAGGCAAACTGGCCTTAATCTATTCCACGCCCACTCCGTTGCCGGAGGCGCACCGGTTGGGTTCGCCGCTGCAGGCGTCTGGCGATTCTTTCGACCGTGGCATGGACGACAACGCGCGCCGGCGGAGGCAGAACGAACCGCCCATCAGCGCCACCTCCAACCCCAGGTATCCGGGCCACGACCCCAATGCGCAGAGGCGGTCTTACGGTGCGAGTGCAGGCGCGTCTGACAGGTACCGCCCTGCCCCCCTCAATACATCTCCAACGGCGGCTCGAGGCATGGGGGGCACGGCTGCGTACAGCGGTTACTATCAGGAACCGGCCGCGGCATTCTCGACCGCCATGCCACAGAACACAATGCCTTACCAGTCCGAATATGGGCAGGACACAAGGCAAACACAGAATTTTGGTGCCTATAACGCATCCATGATGTACAACGTACCGCAGGCTGGGGCGCAGAACGCCGTTTACGATACGAGTCAGCAGTTTCCCTCACGGCAGCCCGCAGCGCTGCAGATAATGCCCACGGATGTAGCCGCGCCTTATTTCCCGAGCGAACCAACCAACTCAACCCCTGCCACTGCTTTGCAGGGCCAGGCGGGATCGTCAGGCACGTCGGGAGTATATCAGCAGAGCTCGGCAGACCAGCGCGCAATGCTTCAAAACTACTCCAGTGGAATGGCGTCAATGAGCGGGATGTCACAGACAAGTCCGCCGGACCAGGTCATGGAGGATCAGGAGTATTCAGCATCCGCCGAGATGGGTGAGGCCTATGAGCAGTACCAGTCGGCACTCAAAGAAATCTTCACAAACATTCGGAATGGAGTGCTTGTGGCGGCAAGCGAATCACTTCTTAACGTATCTGACTGGCTACTTTCCAAGGTAGCTGAGCTAGGTAAGCCACTTCTAATGCTTTGCTGGTGTTGAGCGGGCACTAACGTCGAACCTCCAGGTCTTGTCGTGGACAACCCAGAGCTTCACAGCGATCGAATCAAGCTATGGAACGATTTCAACCACGCCTGGCTAGCCCTATTCCAAAAGCAAAAGGACATTGTGGAATCAGGCGTCCAGCCTCAGCGGGGGCAAACCTTGATTACTGAAGATGGCCTGAAAAAGATGGGCAAAGAGCTAGTTCGTCTTTGCGATGGCGTCGAACGACACGGGCTCGTTGACTATGAATACGGTGTATGGGAAGAGCAGATTGTGACAAGTAAGTGAGCTTTCAGGTTTTCCCCAACCCCCCTCAAGACCGGTCCGATTTGCCCTGCCTCCTCAGCCTTGCTCACCTTGTCACCTGCAGTCATCGAAGAGTGCCTAGACCTTTACGAGAACAACGCCGAAGGCGGTCCAAGTGCCAGCACTGCAGGACCTGGCCATCACGGGTCCAGATAAGCGTTGCCAGAAACGCACGCTTTGAGCCTCTCGCCGTAGAGCTGGTGGAAGCAATACTAGTCGATTTCGATGTACCATACCCTACCATCACGTGCGAGGCGTTATGCATTGGGCTTGAAGGATTTCATTTGTATCAGGCAGCGGATTCTCCGCGGTTTGTGCACTTCGTTGGAGGGTTCCCAGGGTAGCCATCACGCGGATTCCGAGCGATGATGGAGAGTATTGGCGGAGGAGTATGGGGGAACAAAGGGTTTAGCGTTACTTGCTACCTAATCGGTTGCATGAGGCAGAAATTTGCCATCGGGGCTAGCCATTCTGCGTTTGGGTTCTAATTTTACAGCCAGCAGACGAACAATGGATTTTGCCCGAAGCTTGGTCGACGAGAAGGCATGACTGGATGGAAACGGACGGCAAGGCGGAAAGCCTAGGAAAGGAATGGCATGGGATGAACAACAGGGATATATGGATTTGACCTTTTCCAGATCGGTGTACAATGTTTGAAGAGATACCCTGCTTGCCCCAATGGGAGTCAAATGGTCAAAAAAGGAATATAGAGGGGGAAAGACAACCTGCTCTCGCGAGCATCTGACTTAAAGGGGTGGTGTTCAGGTCACCTAATGCGCTGGTACTGCAAGGTATGTACAATAGCTGGGTAGTAGCTGGAGATACACCGGCATTGGATAATGTACATTTCTCACGAATCGCGCCTTGCATTATTGCTTTTAGACAGACCCAAGATTCGTGAACTTTTGCTGTCGCCATCTCTCCTCTTCAAAGTGTCGTAGTTGGCCGATTATGCAGTTGTACCCAGGTACCTAACTAGAATATAACCGGTGGCGCTGATTGGGCACTATTTGTGCCCAATGGCAAACAGCTTTGGACGGTGAAGATCGACACATTACACACCTGGGGGGTTACACGCAGGCTATAGTTAGCCGCTTCCATCTTCAGGGTCGCGACCATAAACCCTGGCACACATCACCCAGACCCTTGCGTAAGTAGGCAGTCTTCCTCATCCCCAAGACCCCGTGCACACTGGATGCGCGATTCTAGCCCAGCAGGCAGGCTTTCGGGCAGCAATCGCCCCCCTGCTTGTATTTACCTCCTCTCCCAAGTGAGGCTTCGATGAAGAAAAGTGAGTTTCCGGTTCCTATGAAGTGCAACCCGCTCGGAGCCGGGGGCCCGGGGTGGAACTCCTTCGATACTACCCTCACCCAGCTCAGGTGCGCGCGCTATGCGGGAATAGCCTGTGACAAGGATCATTATCTCCTTCAGCCCTCTTTTGGACCCTAGAAAGCAACCACTTTGATCCAAGCCTCCCCGCACTCGTGCAGATCGCCCACAGGGCCTGTCGAACCTGGCCGGCTGGAACCTATGCGATGGTTCCCGAATTCCTGGGACGGTGGCTGCCAAATCATATGATTGCTTGCTTTTGCAGGCGCTGTCATCCTGGGAAGTATGTCACAGGATCACCTTTCTCCACGATAAGTCTGGCCCTGAAGTGGGCCAGTCTCGATAGTCATCATCTTTCGCGTCAGGAGGTACGTGAGAAGAAAGCTGGCGACACGATACATCACACTCTCGAGAGCTCACTGGTCAGTATGGACGACCCCAGGCATGGCGCAGTGTACAGAGTAGAGCAACGCAAGGTAGGCTCTTGACCCAGAAAACGGCAAGTCGGCAGCCACCGAGAATAAGCGCGCCAACAGCAAGCAAGCGTTCACCACCTTCAATCGATCATCTGCACGCTGCAAGCCCTGCGAGGAATATCCAAATCTCAGACCAATCTTGCCTCGGTCCATTTCCGCGGGACCTCCCACAAACGTCTATGCAAGACCGAACTCGGGCGATTGCCTTTTACGGCCGGCAGCTCAAATTGATTGGTTCGTATCATACGCCAGCTGCAAGCCCGCAGGCGGTAGTGAGCAGCACGTTGCTGTCAAATCATGGGGGAGAGATTCCGATCCACAGGTCGGGGAGGGCCCAGAGATCTGGCTTTCTACCTAGCTGAATGACCACTCGCAGCGACTCTATCCCAGGGTCCACCGCCGCCAGGGCATGGCATGGCATGGCATGGCATAGAGGTAAGCCCGAAAAGCCCGAACTCCGTGGTATTAGGGTGTCTTCCAAGGGCCAGCCGCGGTTCAGCTGAGAACATCTCACAAGATTACTAGCCAACTTCCAAGATGACGATGTCCCCGAAGCCGGTTGTTTAGTAAACACCCCTAGTCGCCTGTCAACATGGGTACGAAAGCCGGATGTGAGTGATCATATTTTTTACGCAAACCCCTCTGCTCCTCCATGTGGCGCCCTGACCAGGGTGACGGAGATCACCTTCTCGACAGGCTGCATGCAGCTGACAGATTGAGAATGGGGTGGATCATCCAATACCCAGATGTTTTACGAATCCTGCCCTGTGTTACCCTGAATCTCGAATGTGCGACCTCGTCACCGGGCTGGCCGGTCAAGCCTTGAGGCAAGATGACTGGTGTTTGCTGAAACATTGACCTTGTCTATATAGGATTGCTATATCAAACCCTGAGCAGCCTTTCCTGGCCCCCAGCAAGCCCAGCTCCAGGCATGCTTCGTATGCAAGCATCACGCATCCTGCCGCACTTGAGGCTGAAACTCGATCTGTTGGCCAACAATCCCGGCAAGTTTCTCGTCTAGAGGGTGGCTGGATTCGGTCGGAGATATTGAGACAGATCGATGCAACCCCGGGGGGGTAATGCAATCCAAGACCGCGCCGGCAGCGAACCCCCGCGCCCAGCCCGCTTTGCCGTCCGCCTAGCGCCCGTCATCCGCTCACACCAAATCTCACATATCCGGACTATTGGAAACCTATGGCGCAGTTCACCCAGATGATGCAGCCTCGAAAAGCAAGCTCGCGCGCCCTGCAGCAGGTTTCAATAGATTGATGGCGCGTCTGCTTCCCCGGTGCGGCAATGTCCCCCAGTGGCCATCAGTGGCTGAGATGATCTGCAACCCGACAGATTGGGACCAGTCGTAGGCCCAAAGCCTCGTTTCCAAACTTTGAAACGCTTCCCGGATCCTATCCGGGAGAGCGCAGCGAGGCTGGCCTACTGGGCGGGCTAACCCGGAATTTCTGTAGCATCTCGTCATATGGCCGTTTGGGGGATCTGCAGGTTCAGTCAGGCTGGCTTCCCAGCTGCCGATGCAACTTCCCGCAGAGCTGATCCATGTCCACGATGAACGGGGGTGTCAGAATGGCCCACCTGCCCCAGCTCAGCTCAACGCAACCAGGATCCGTGGAAAGTCGACGCGACTCATAATCTAGGTGGCTGCAAGGCCAATTGAAATCCGCCCATGACTCGGATGCGGTATGCAGGCGCATTCACGCAAAGCATCTAGTCATGTGGTCTCGAACGCCTGCGTTTCCATGTTGCGTGCTGCGTATCCCGTGCAGAGCCATGGTCAGCTATCACAAACCTTGGCCTGCAACCTTAGTTGTCAATGGTCGCTGCCCCGCTAGCTTTGAATTGCAACCGACAACCGCAGGGTACTTTGAAGTTCCAGCAGAATTCTTCGCACATACAATCATGTCAGTGTGGAATATTGGCGGAGGGCATCCCGTAGACCTCGAGCATCATGATAAAATCCCAGAGGACAGTGTTTGGAGAATGATTATGGCTGTTGGCCTTGCTCATCGCTGTTGCGCCATATGGTGCTAATGTGAATACTAGTGATAATTGTGCGTGCTCTTGTGCGGCTACTATTGTTGACTTATTTCGCTTTGTTGAGATCGCCGCTTGGTCAAAGGCTCTCTAATGGGTTATACTTATTATTTAGAATGGACTAGATCGAAGGTGGATAATAACTTATATAGTCGAGCTAAGTGGTGTTAAGTCGTGCGTTTGTCTATTGATGTTCTATCATCGTGGCTGACTATTGCTAAAGAGCGCTGCTATATATATGTGTGTGACTCTCGATTCTGTCCCCATCGAAGAGGACGAGTTCTAGTCGGGCCTCAAGGCTCGCTCAGGTCAACCCAGGCCATACCTCCACAAGGCGAATACTTGCGAGGTTAGGCGATCTTCTGGTACCCATCTCCCCTGATAGATCTTCAAAGTGGTAGTCATGCGCATCCTGACCGGACGACATATTCCACCCTTTCGTGGATGAGGTAATCAGTCCAACATACGCCGTCGGTCTTCCTATAGCCGTTGCCGCTTTTGGCCAACCACGCTGTACTCTCTAGTGCCTGCTCAAATGCAGCAACGGCTTGAGACAGTTTTCTAGTTGAAATAGGCGTGAAGTGAAGAGATCATTCCAGCACCCCATTCATTCAGGGTCCATTCCAAGAAAACCGGGACTCCCCAAGCAACTTCAGGTTTTTAGGAGAGTCTCTACCGTGAGCAATTTTTGTGCTCTTGTATCGCGTTCCTTTGAGGCTCTGACGATAGTTCATGATAACTCATCCAGTCAAGTCCAACTGGAAGTCTGGGTTGAACTGGAAGGGGCGTTCCCTAATATAGCAGCTGATGTCTCGTTGTTGAGCACACTCGTTCAAATAGTCGTGAACCTGAGGAAGAACAAAACCCGCCTCATTGGTGTCACCCTCGAACTCGGGCAGCTGAATGAGGTTGTAGGGTTGACTGCGTGCCTTCTCCTTGGAATCATCGATCAGGACTGTGTTGGTCTGGTCCCACTTGAACCCAAGATGGGCCTCAGGGTGGCTGGCTGCAACTTTGGAGTCGTTCCACAAGACCTCAAGTCGCTTATAGCACTGGACTCTCTGGTTGTAGTCATCCGGGCTGAGTCCCAGCGTATCGCGACCCCAGGTAGCGACAAGCAAACTCTGGTCTTGCGGGCTGAGGATCTGCGGAACCATCCTGCGGACGTTCTCGGGCTTTGCGGACGACCAGATGGCAACCACAAAGGTCCTTAGGCAGTAGTCGAGGAAGACCCGCGCAAACGGACGCTCAACGAAGCTTGCCGATTTCTTGTGGTTCGGCCGGTGCAGCAAGGTGCCGTTGAGATCTATGACTACCAAAATCCTCCGCGGGACCAGTAGGCGCGCAGGTGGCCGGGCAGATTGGGACCTGTACTTCTTGCTCGGGTCGGGCACGCCGCCGGACTCTGCAGAAGGCACAAGGTACTTGCGCTTCTTTTTAGAGATCTTGACTGGCTTGCCTGCTTCAGCTTCCTTCCCAAGAATTGGTATCTCGACAGTGCTGACTTGGCGGGGCCGTGATTGAGGTTCGGGCACCCCCACACTGGGACCACTCTCCCCATCTGATGAGACTTCTGGATCGTGTGCCGGGTTTGCATGAGGAGATGGAGTACCTGTAGGTCGTGACTGGCCTTGCGATGCGTGTTTGTTTGTCGCGGCTAGGCTCGAGTTCTGAAGTGTGTTGTAGGAAACGGGATAGTGCCCGAGTTGACCCTGGGCTACGTGCCCTGCTGCGTGTCTCATCTTCGCCGGTATCTGGCCTCCTCGGAAGATCTGTTCTGGCTGCGGTTGCCAGCCTGGCGGCGGGATACGCACGTCGGGTGCTGGCATGAAGGACGCCGCCGCTGGATCAAAAGCCGGCGCTTTGGACCGCGTCATGCGCCTCTTGAACTCCTGTGAGCTCATAATGCGGATCTCTGCGGAATTGCCGCTCTGCGATCCTGCGACTGTTTTGCGATTGTCGTCCTCCTCGAGTGCCGCAATCGTCGAGGCCCGGCGCTTTAACGAGGAATGAAAAATGTGCTTGCGCCGGAAGGCTTGGTGCTGCCAGTGCGACTGCCTGGCGATGCCTAGGAAATCAGTTCCCGTTGCCAATGTCCGCTGCATGAGATCCTATGCCTCCTTTCAGATGAGGTTCCGTTACCAGGCTATCGTCACCGTTAAACCACCTGCTTCAGTGCCATGGGAATGAACAAGAGTGACGGGACTGTGAGTGAGGTTGCAGTCGAATGAATTTATGCAAATTACTCCACTTTATTGCACAGGTCTTATGCAGGCAGTAGTTCCCACCTGGACAGTACCTGACTAGGTACTTCGTCCCCTTGTAGGTGGGGCTAGAATGTCCTCTTGGAGGATTGCGGCGTCCTCTTTCTGAGCATTTTGACGCGACCTATCTCAATCATGTTACCAATTGTCTGGCTGCTTGAGTGAGGTGTTACGTGGAGAATTGCGCGAGGGCGATAACAGGATTTTCGTGGCCTAAGCCCGCGGTACGTTGAAGAAGGGTGTTGGGTTATGAGACGTTGTAAAGTAGGCCCAGATATATATTCACTTCAAGGCCCCGTATTTATGCCGCTGTATTCATTGGGAGAACGCCTATTATGTTTGGCTACAACAGGAATGGCCCATCAACCAAGTTCAGCCTCTGTGTTTGAATGTATCAAGCTTAGTTTGCGCAACAACCATTGCACGCCGGTGCTAAGATGGACACCCAGGACACCTGGCAAACTCATTTCTCTGTAGCATTGTGGCCAGACAACTTACAGAGCTAGAAACTGGTTGACCAACTGTCTCGCAGAGGCCAACAGCCACTCCATGATTGTTTTGGGAGAGAGGGGGGGGGGGCGGGCGCGGATCTTGGGGGCACTCATGTTTTTGTCTACTCCCCAAACCAGGTGACGGAGACCGTCTGGCCCTAAGAATCAAGATAGCTCGAACCTGTAACTCTCGTAGATCTCTTCAGCTATTGTCATGCACATGGTCCAGTCTGCACTCTTGAGCGAATATTGGTCTAGGATGAGAAAGGCTGATCGATAACTCAGCAAAGGATTGCAGGTGAGTGCCCTGCTGACTTCTTAGGTATGTGCACACTGGTGGGTCTCTACTAACTAGATATCTAAATTACTTAGCTACCTAGGAACCCTCCCTGACAAGTAGTTACGTGATGTAAGCAAAGTTGAAAGCGCGTGTTAGGCTTCAACACGCTTACGGGCCATTGTTCAGAAAGATGTATACTGAAACGCGTGTTGTAGGTCGTCTAAGTAGTTGTGCTGGCATGTCCCTGTACCCCTGTACTGAGTGATCAATGTTAGCTGTAGATAAACCAGCAGTTTGCAAGGGTTATCTTCGCTGAGTCCCTTCAAAACTCAGTGCAAATTAGTTGTCAAGCTATATATGTATATATTCTAGGGAACACGTCCTCAGACGATAAGAGTTGTATTGGCGCATAAATTTAAGAAGCCCTGACGTATTACGGTATCATCAGTAACACATACCTACCAGGGCGGTGATAGCTCCAGTTGTCGTAGTGGGGTCGTCCCCCAAAAATTGATTGGCCCATGGTTGAACCTTAGCTTTGAACTTCTGGCCGCGGATCTGTCTGCCTCGCGACATCATCTTCCCCAAACCCGCAACAACCACCGAAAATGTCGAAGCGACCGGCATCAGAGGCTTTGGATGAGCTCTCAGGGGTCGGCTCGCCCGCGTCGAAGAAGTCGCGGCTGGATGACGGGCCGACTGAGCTGTCGAATGGCAGATTGAACGGCGGAAGCGCAACCCCAGACCAACGCGACAAGGCTGACGAGAACGACGGCTTCGACGACGAGGACGACACTCCAGAAAGAGCACCGCTACGGCAGTCTGCCCCCACTGCAGGATACGACGACCTGTACCTCGACACAATAGATCGCAATGTGCTCGACTTTGACTTCGAGAAGCTCTGCTCCATCAGTCTCTCTAACATCAACGTCTACGCATGTCTGGTCTGCGGACGGTACTACCAGGGCCGCGGTCCCAAGTCCCACGCTTATTTCCACGCCCTGGACGAGAATCACCATGTGTTCATAAATATGGAGACCCAGAAGGTCTTCGTGCTGCCGGAGGGCTACGAGGTCAAGAGCAAGTCGCTAGAGGATATTAAATACGTCTCGGATCCGCGGTACTCAAAGCAGGAGGTTATGGAGCTGGATCGCAAGCCCAGAAGCGCGTGGACACTTGGTGGGAAGGAGTATGCGCCGGGCTATGTGGGAATGAACAATATCAAGGAGAACGACTACCTCAATGTTGTGGTGCAGGCTCTGTCGCATGTGCCGCCGTTGAGAAACTATCTCCTACTGGAGGACCTTTCGGCGCGATCCGAGTTGGTCAAGCGATGCAGTATCCTGTTCCGCAAGATCTGGAACCCGAGGGCTTTCAAGAACCACGTTTCGCCCCATGAGTTGCTTCAAGAGATCTCATTGCGCTCCAATAAGCGCTACACCTTGACTGCGCAGTCGGACCCGGTCGAATTTCTATCGTGGTTTTTGAACAACCTCCATCTCGGATTGGGGGGAAGCAAGACGAAACCGGGGAGCAGCATCGTTCAGCGTATATTCCAGGGAAAGCTCAAGGCCGAGTCACAGGATATCACAGCCAGAGCCGATGTTGGCGACCGCCTAAGATTCGAAGAGGCAGCTGAAGTCAAGACCGACATCAACCGATTTCTTTTGCTGACCCTTGATCTACCCGCCGCACCGCTTTTCCAAGATGAACTCGAGCGGAACATCATCCCACATGTACCTCTCACGACTATTCTGTCAAAATACGACGGTGTGAAGGCTCAGGAGCATCTGGCACAGCGGAAACGCTACCGATTGATGCACCCGCTTCCCCCCTACCTTATATTCCACATCAAACGCTTTTCGACCAACAAGTTTGTCTCGGAACGCAACCCCACGATTGTGACATTTGACGCGCGGAACCTAGACGTTTCGCCCTACGTGGAGCCCAACCCCGCGGAGCACACACCAGGAGAGCCAATCTGGTACGACCTGGTCGCCAACGTAATACACGAAGCGGTCAGGGCGAAAGAGGACGTAGCAGACTCAGGAGAGGAGAGGAAGACATGGAAAGTGCAGCTGAGGGACAAGGGGCGAGACGAGTGGGTGACGTGCCAGGATCTCTTCGTTGAGAAGACGCAGAAGGAGCTGCTTTACCTCGGAGAATCATACCTGCAGATCTGGGAGAGACGTCGTGACCCCAAGGCGAAAGGAAAGGGAAAGGCTTAGACCGTGGACTCTGTATTAAGTTGCACCCACGAAAGACAAGCCCGTTGGCTATGAGGAACCTGGTCTCTTGTAACCATAATGTATCATGATTGGCCAGAGACGAAAACCCGCAAGGTATACTACTTAATGACAGCCAGCTCCAGTTGCAACGTCTTGACAGTCAAGCATTGTGTGATTGGCTTCGGCTTGTAGAAGTGGACGCTATAAATGGTTGCATTCAAAATGGCCTCTGTGTGGCCCTGTTCACGTTGAAGGGAGTTGCTAGTTGTGACCAAACTCGATTTGGGATGTTCCTGCAGGCAATGACGCTTAGACAGCCCACTTTGAAACCCGACCCGCGCGGATCGCCAGACAACACCACAGCCCGAGCGCTTCCGCCGGATCTCTCACATCGGTCAACCTGACTTGGCGAGTTGTCTAGCTGTTCTCAAACAAATCACTCTCAATAAGCCTATAGCATACCCACGCAGCAAGTTGCTTATCTTCGTACTCGCACCCTGAACCCGGCTTCGCAGGACCAATCAATATGAACATGGGTCAGTATACACATATTACACAATACCCACAAAACACACTCACACAGTGCACCCACTCACACGCAGACTCCCTCGCTTGCGTCCAAGGCATAGCAGCATGAACTGATTCGATACCATAGATGCCATCCTCGACTCGGGCATCCTGCCGCACGTCGTGATCCGGGTCGGCATCCGGCGGCAGCTCGCGCAGCGCTTGGCCGAGATCCGGTCCGAGTCGCTGGCGGATGCTTGCGCGCGCAAGATGGAGTACATCGAACGCCTGCGCACGCAGCCCATAGCCATAGAGACGGACACGGCCAATACGCAGCATTATGAGGTATGTGTGTGTGACTGGCCCTGGTCCTTAGGATCGCCTGGCTTTCCCGCGTATGAGTGAAGACTGCGGAGGGTCAAACACCCGTAGGATATGCTTATTGACGAGTGGCATTCATGACAGGTCGGCACCGGTGTGCTGGCAGGGATGCTGGGTCCCCGCATGAAGTATAGCTCCTGCTTGTATCCCAAAGGCAGCGAGACATTGGCGCAAGCCGAGGTGGAGATGCTGAGGACGTATAGTAAGTGCTCCACCGCTGCAGAGCCTTTGACTTCTTGGGGAGTTGCCGCAGATTAGTGTGCAGCCAGAATCGAGCTGGAAGTATGGCTGACTTTTGACGCCTGCAGTCGAGAAGGCAGGACTGGAAGATGGCATGAGCATCCTCGACCTGGGTTGTGGATGGGGTTCCGGAGCTCTGTTCTTTGCAGAGATGCTCCCCAAGTCCAAGGTTACGGCCTTTTCCAACTCAAAGACTCAGAAGGAGTACATTGACTCGAAGGCCAAAGAGAAGGGACTTTCCAACCTTACCGTGATTACCGGCGACGTCGCGGACTACGAGTTTGAGAAGGAGAAGGCGAGTTTCGACCGTGTGGTCTCTATTGAGGTTGGTCTAGAGCATGTCAATAATGGCATTCCGTCGTGCTAACCTAGCGCAGATGTTTGAGCACATGAAGAACTACGAGCTGCTGATGGCCAAGGTCGCCAAGGTGCTGAAGCCGGGTGGCAAGCTGTTTGTGCACATCTTCACGCACAAGGACACACCCTACGACTACGAGGAGGGCTGGATGACGACACACTTCTTTACGGGTGGCACTATGCCCTCGGCAGATTTGCTCCTTTACTTCCAGAAGGACCTCAAGATCAAGCGGCAATGGTGGGTCAACGGCAACCACTACTCCAAGACGTGCGAGGTAAGTCGCTGGACTGGTCACCTGATACGCGAAATTGACTGACACTGCTTCCAAGCACTGGCTTTCGACCATGATCGCAAACAAGAACAAGATCTGGCCGCACTTGGTAGAGACGTACGGGGAACAAAACGCCAGCACCTGGTATAACCGGTGGCAAATCTTCTACATGGCGTGCTCGGAGCTCTTTGCGTATGAGGGCGGCGACGTCTGGGGCGTGTCACACTACTTGTTCGAGAAGCCCAAGGCTTAGTGATGTTGACGCCGTTTCTTCCTTTCCTGTGATGTTTATGTACATAGACAGCGTAGACCGGTACGGGATAGCTCCAGCTCAATTCCAAATCTAATGCGTCTTGACCGTCCGTGACGTGATGTGTCAACCATTCGAGCGTGCCTCTTCACACAGACGGTTGGCGTTGGTCGCACCACTCTCATCCGCCGCAATCGCTTCCGCTGGTGATCCTATTGGCGTTGTATTTAGTGGTCCCAAGGGTGCTTCCAGCCCATCAAGACCGGGCCTATGTATGCGTCAGTTTCGTCGCTCGGCATTCGTGGTATGTGTGGGGGTTTAAGTACCGTCCTTCTTCGCCCTGTACATCAGCTGGAGAACATGTCAGCTACTCAATCTTGATAACCCCCATGGGTAGGGCACGGTCCGAGGGGATCGCTTACAAAGAACCACATGCTTGCGCCCAGAGCCGTGGCCGTGATTCTGTAGATGGGGGCGACGTGCGGTCGGATGCCGGGACCGCCTGCCATTGTGACTGTAGTCTGTCCGAGGTGAGCAGAAGAACGTGGGGAGGCGCGACGGTCGGGCGTCGTCCACGTACTATCGAGGCTGTCGCAGCTGATTGATTGGGGATGGTGCGTGAGGGTTGAGGCTCGTCAGTCTCGCTTCTGCCGGACGAGGTCGAACAATGGATCTTGGTCGGCAGGCCTGGAGGTCGCTGTGGGCCCCCAACTCAGGCCACAGACAGCACCGCCACACGTCCATCGAGCTCCCCAAGCCCACGGCACGGGGGCCACGGCCGCAAGATGTGGCGGTGCACGCCAACGCCAAGGTTTTACGCCACGAGGCTGCATCTGTCTTTCGTGACTTGGGTATCTAACTAAAAAGTATCCCTCAGATCGGACTGGCTCCGTTTGTCCCCAGCCCATCGACATCGCCGTCGACGGAAGCGACAGGTAGAACAAGAAAGAGTTCACCTCGTCACGTTGATTGTTCGGCCAGGAACAATAGCCCGCCAGGCTACCCATGGTGTACACCTAATCTTCTGGCAATCTTGCCCTTCTCTCTGCGAACCCGCTGTTGGCTGTTCTCATCACAGAGATGCCAAACATCACTACTCTGCTCTCAACCTGAACGCTTCTGCGACGAGCATCGCGAAATCCCGCCTCGACCGCACCAGGACGACTGCGTCTCGTCCCACCGTAACCGCGAACCGACATGGCCTACAGCACGGGGAATGGCGCTCCGTCGCCCAGATCGTTCGCCGCTCAGAATCAGCGCCCCAAGGACAGCTTCGTCGGCTGTTCCAAGATTTCTGACTATGAGCTCAAGGGCAAGCTGGGCGAAGGTACCTTTGGGTGAGTGCGATCCCGCGCTTTCGTCGCATAGCCCTACGCTGCGACCCCGCCGTACTGATATGTCCATCCCTACGCAGTGAGGTTCACAAGGCGCGATCGCGACAGAACGGTACCCTGGTCGCCCTCAAGAAGATCATCATGCACAACGAGAAAGATGGGGTTCGTGACAGCTACCCGGCATCCAGCGCTACAGCGCTACGCTACATCCGACACTGACTTTGAACCCCAGTTCCCCATCACGGCGCTGAGAGAGATCAAGCTTCTCAAGCTGCTTTCCCACCCCAACGTTCTTCGATTGGTCGACATGGCTGTTGAGCATCACGCGAAAGCTAGTGAGTGATGTGCAAGACCAGCCAGCTCCGCCATCACGCCGAGTACTGACAAGCCCTCCTTCTCAGCCGACAAGCGCAAGCGCCCCATCATGTACATGGCCACCCCCTACATGGATCACGATCTTTCTGGCCTGCTCGACAATCCATCCATTACATTTACCGTTCCGCAGATCAAGTGCTACCTCAAGCAGCTGCTTCAGGGCCTGCAGTACCTCCACGAAAACCATATTCTGCACCGAGACATGAAGGCAGCCAACTTGCTGATCGACAACCGTGGCATTCTACAGATTGCCGACTTCGGTCTCGCACGACACTACGATGGCCCTGTGCCTCTGCCTGGCGGAGGAGGTGGCGAGGGTAAGAGGGACTACACAGCACTTGTCGTCACCAGATGGTACCGCCCGCCGGAGCTGTTGATGCACCTCCGACGATACACCACTGCTATTGACATGTGGGGAGTCGGGTATGATTTCCCTTTCCTTTTCCCGCCTCCCAATACTGCGAATAGCGTTTTTGCTAACCTGTTTTCAGCTGTGTATTCGGAGAAATGTTGGTCGGAAAGCCAATTCTCTCAGGCGAAAGTGACGCGCATCAACTCGACATCATCTTTGACCTTGTTGGTACACCCACAGATCAGACGATGCCCGGATGGAGACAGCTGTCTGGAGCCGAAGGGCTGAACCCCAGGGCCAGAACCGGCAACCTGCAGCATCGCTTTCGCGAGCACGGAGGCCAGGCCATATCCTTACTCAAGGAGCTTTTGAAGTTGGATTGGCGTACTCGAGTGAACGCCATTGATGCCTTGGAGCATGCCTACTTCAAGAGCTCGCCATATCCCGCTCGGCCAGAGGACATTCCACACTTTGAAAGCAGTCATGAACTTGATCGTAGGAAGTTCCACGAGCGAAGAGCTGCCCTTCCACCGGCACCCAAGGGCGGCTCGGTCGGTGCTGGTGCATTCGAAGGAGGACCGCAGGGCTTCAGTAATGGCGACGGGTACGGTAACTCTCGCATGAACGGAAGATACCCCAACCAGCACGGTCACCGCAACGGCGGCCACGAGGCTAGGAGGCCAGCCTGGAACAGGGATCGCGACCACGAACCACGAGCACCGCCTCCTGATACGCGACTGCCGCCTAGACCGCCGCCGCCTGCAAACGGATACGATGACTTTCCAGACTACAGAGATCGTGATCGTCCCCCGAGAAACCGTGGAGCCGGCGGAGGGGTTGGCGGCCCAGTTGGTGTTCCCGCCGGCGGCAACGTCGACACGTACATTCCCGCCTATAATCCGGGCGCCGCTGGATACCGATCCAGGGAGGATCGGCCGCCTCGTGAAGACCGACGAAGACGCGATGATCGTGACGACAGGCGTGATTGGGATCGTGTAGACCGAGTTAGGGACTACGACGACAGAAGCCGGGCCAGCAGAACGCGCAGTAGAAGTCGTTCGCCAGTCCGCGACCGTGGCGACCGTGACATGTACCGTCGATAGGACGATGGTCAACCAACGGAAACCAGCCGAAGGCACGGGCATCCAGGGTCAAGCCAGGGTCAGTCTCCGCCACCGCCGCCACCGTGGCAACCTCGGAGACCGCACCGCTCTGGCCTTGATCAGTCCTCCGAATATCGCGGCAGCACCCGGTCCTCTGCTGAGCACAAACGGTATGCTTCGATCAGCAACGGAAGCTCGCGGCGACCCCGGGAATCGACCGATCGCAGTTCACGGCCGAAACCCTGGCAGATGTCTTAGGATCCAGATAGCAGGGGCGCAGCCGCGAATAACACCACGGAAGAAAGCGCCAAGCAAGAACTACCTAGACACTTCAGCAAAACCATCATGCGACGTGGCAGCCGTAGCAGGAAACGTGGCGCGAGAGGACCTGCTACTGATCTGGCACGCAATCAACGACAATATCGTGACACTCCAGAACCGGAAGAAGCCCTCGAGGACTTGTCCTACTGAAAGAGCCTGATTATCTTTTGTACATACCTTTGACGCAAAATCAGCATGCGCACATTATACAGCGAAAGGCGCCTGATTGTGCCGAACCTGTATAACTACAACTGGCCTTGGAGTTGTTCGGCGAGAACGACAGGGAGTTCTGGTTGACTTTCGGAGTTTTAGTGAGGGGACATTTGTTTTTACAGCATTTTGCTAGCCCGTACGGACATGGTACATATACGTGTCTCCCTGTCACTAGCAGCAGACAGGCCCCCGGATGAGAGCGAATAGTCTTGTTCTGTATCATGGTCCGTAGTGAAAGGACGGTTTGACATACCCGGCCGCTTGATTTAATACATTATTTGATACATTCCCTGTTCTTGGATAAGCCCCGTTGCATTATCAGCATCTGAAGGCCCGCCCGAGGCGATCAACAACTACGTTGATGTTGTAGAGCGACATGCTGCCGTGAACCCTGATACAGACCCAATATCTCTAACATCACCCAGGCGCTGAAGCGGTTCTCGCCCACGTCACCGAAGCTTTCGGCGTCCACTACCTGGATAATGCCACCTGCAGAAGGGCCAGCAGAGTCTATTGAAGGGCTTTCCTGGTGCGCTAGCTAAGTACCAGCCAGATTTCTGGACACGATTCAAAACCACGAGGGTTCCGCAACGGCTCAAGACTCGGACTCGCTGCTCTCCTCGTGGATGGTCTGGGCCAGCAGTCCCCTAAACCTCCGGCTCGGCCTGAGGGGGCTCAGGCGGGTGCTCTTGGCGCGGCGGAAGGCCAGCTCGCACAGGGCGTCGGTCATGACGGGGCGGTCGCCCTGGTGCAGCTCGGGCAGGGTGTCGAAGTCGTCGGGGGTGGACGAGGCGTCCGAGGCCGCGTCGTAGTCATACTCTCCCGCCGTGGTTGTCGCCGTCGTCGCCGCCGCCGCGGCGGACTCCTGCAGCTGCTTCCGCGACGAGGCCCCATAGTTGGCTTTGGTGCCGGGGAACGACGTCGACGCCGCGGTTGACCGGTCGATCCGCAGGAGCAGAAAGAGCACCGTGCTCGTCCCGTGCACCATGCAGGCTGCTGCGATGCCTATGAGCGCAGCAACTGTGAACTGGTTCGAGGGTGAAGCAATGTTAGTAGCTGGATCTTGATCCTTTAATTTCTCTGCATCCCCCTGCACTCCAGCAGGACATCAAGTGACACGCTGCCTGGAGCCGGGCGATAATACGTACGTATACATAAAGATACTGCACTTGTCATTAGCAACAGCCTTCGTCACCGCAACGTCAAGTACGCTTCCGCCGCCGCAGTGAAATACGTCACGGAACGCACTTACCTTGAGCTTGATGGCCATCCCCACGACCCAGGCGCCAGCTCCGGCAACTACCCTACCGATTGCCCAAAGCGGCGACAGCAAGAAAAGCAGCAGGCGGTAGGCGTAGTAAAGCGGGTACGTCAGGGGCGTGGCGACGACGGACAGGGCCCGGTACAGGTAGCCGGGGACACGGACGACGACCCAGGCAAGCAGCCGGTAGAGGCCCGAGGCGAGGAGCAGGACGGACGAGTAGGCGAAGCCGAGGCCGGCGGACAGCGGCGTCTGCCAGTCCATGCCTCCACCAGCGCCAGTCTGGCCGGTGTCGGTGCCGGGGTCGGGCGCAGCCATCCTCGCGGCCAGGGTCTGCAGCGGTGCGAGCAGCTTGTACTAATCACTGACTATAGGCGGACCGGGGCTTGCATTGTTCCTCTTCTATCCTTCTGTTGATCTGTAAGGCTTGATTGGAGGCGATGGGATGCTGCTGTGTAATGTGACCCGACGAGGCGGTGGGCGCGTATCCCGGAAGCTGAATGGTTGGATGTGTAGATTGTGAATTGACTATGCTATGTACGTGGTGTCACGACGAACGTCGATGTATGACCTCTTTCTAGCTGCTGTGGCAGACGAGAAGCTATGGTGACGTGTATCCGTTGTTGGTTAGCAAGGGCGCGTTTTAAAAGGTGTCAGACAGTCAGGTGGAAACAGGGTCACGGCGACCTAGTAAATACGTCCTTTTTACGGAATTAATTTATTAATCGCGTTTTGTCAGACAGTCAGGTAGAAACAGGGTCACGGCGACCTAGCAGATACGTCCTTAAAAGGAATTAACTTGTTGATCGCGTGCGTTGTATATTATTATCTGTCTGATTCTATCTGTCGGAAATCCAGCAATCTCCCTACCAGACCTTTTAGTCACGTGATAGCTGGCTAGTAGCCACCTCCTAATCGGCCACCTCGTTTGACAACATGTCTAACACAGAATTCATTGCATCGACGAATCCAACATCGTCCCCAGCCAGCCATAGCTCTCCTATCAAACTCCTAGCACTGTTTATCAAACCGGCCAGCTTATTGCGTGTGTATTCGAAGCTTCCGGTGTTTTTAATACAACGCACCGCTTGTTCTTTAAGAGCACGATCTGTCGTTCTTTGCTTCAGAATCCGGACGAGCTGGTCATCTTCTGGCACTGCATGGATACTGTGAATTATAGGAAATGAGAATTTGCCCTCAGTGATATCCTCACAATTGCCCTTAGTGAGACTGTACCCAGCGGCCTGATGGGTTCAAGTTGTTCCTTGGGGTCGGGGTTCGTGAGGCCATGTTCGTAACACGAAGATTGGATAGGAGATATTTATACTGCAACAGTGAGAGAGTGACAGGCACTCGCGTTGCATAATGCGCAGCGAATTGTGCCCATTCAACTAAACAGCGAGATCTAGATGATAGGAGGATTTCTCGGACAACCGAAGCCCTTGTTAAGGGGTATGGCAACGGTAACGGTCGCAAAGGTTGAAGATGTTGTTAAAGTCGAGAAGTGGTTGGGCAAGCGTGCAAGATACGAGAAAGACTTAGAGGTACAAAGAGCGAGAGGTGAGGTACAGACAACGACGCAGAAATACAATACATCAGATTCGGAACCACCTAATCGGCTACCTAACCGCTAGGTCGCTGTGGATAACCCTCAACGTGACTGTCTGACAATACTCGACTCGACTGCCTCTCCAAGAAACCAAACCATTCAGACAGGGATTACCATGTTGCTCACGATCTGACAGGCTAATGTATGTAGGTAGGGTATGTATGGATTTACATATGTACACATGTACAAACGTATGCGTGTTACCAAGCATGGTGGAACGCAAGGATCGACACTCAAATTGCCTAGATAAGTATGCAGGAAGAAAAGAAATGCTTCAGACCATCTAGTCTTGTCTCTCGGCGAGACGTCCGTTCAAGGTGGAAACTGTGATTGGCAGCTGTCTGCAGCCTCTCTGTACATCCTTTGAAGAATTGCAGCATTTCACAGTGCAGTGCAGCGTCCTCACAAGATGCTAGCCCAGAGGTAACGACATACTCAAGTACCTAAGGTATATAATATGAGATATCTGCCTGGGTGCGTTGTTGGTTTGTGCCGAATTGCAGAGTGTGAGCTGGAACCGTCAGGCGGGCTGCCATTCTGCGGGTTGGGGGTTCTGGTCTTCGTTTTGGCGGGGCAGAGAGAGTGTGGGGGAGAGCAAGATCCATGGGTCCATGGATCCATGGATGGAAGTGGGCTGTCCCGGCTTCCAGTCCTGGCAGATAGATACCTTAAGTCAGGTAGCTTGGTTGTCGACCATCGTCCGTCCTCGGCACTCTCAGCTCAGTAATCCATCCGCTTGGTTCTCTTCTCCCCCATTTGACCCATTCAACCCCATCAATTCTCCCTCCTCCTCCTCCTCCTCCTCCTCCTCCTCCTCTGCTCCGGCCTCCAACGACATCGTGTACTGCCGGTGCAGAAAGTGACAAGTGAAGGGCCAGAAAGTCAAGACTGGCCTAGTCGGGGGACAGTCTACACCGGTTCAAACAAGATTCACACATAATCCAAGCTCTCGGTTGGACTCGCTCGTCCCCCCGTCCCGCCGTCCAATTGCGGCCCCATGACCACGCCGCACCCAGGCACCCGGACCACATGAACAACAACGACGCTTTTGCACCAACCCGCCCATCACGAGCCTCCCACACCCGCCAAACCCCCAAACTCTGTTGCACCCAGCCGAGACACAGCACGGCTTTCGCGTCCCAGGACGGGTAGCGGACCGCGCTGCTCACCAACCCCCACCACCGCCTTCCCTTCAGCTTCCACCTGCTCGTGCCTCGTCCTGCCCGTTGCACCGCGCATCCCAACCCCCGGCCTGGTCCTGGGTCTTGGTCCTGGTCCTGGTCCTGGTCCTGGTCCTGGTCTGGTCTGACGACAAATCTGACCGGCCGGCAAGGCACGAGAGGGCTCAGCTGCTCGCGCGCTAGACTCTCTGAGAAACTGTATCCGCCCTATCGCGGGAGTTCAGTTCCAGTCCCAGTCCGACGCCCCCCCACACAAGTCGCACCTACGCGCACCCAACCCAACCTCTGGCACCTTGCGGCACCGCTCGCCTCGCCGGCAGTGAGCAGCGCCCCCGGCGGCCTGATCCAAAGGCAAAATGGGTAACAGCCCCTCAACCTCCAAGCCGGCCACCCCTACCCAGCATCGTCACGGCCACGGCACCGTCGAGCATGCTGAGCGCGTCGACTCCCCCAGGCCCAGCAAGAAGGAGCCCAAGAACCTCATCTCGGCCCACCAGCACCAGCACCGCTCCGCCGCCTCCTCGCCCGAGGCCAGCGTTGTCTCGGCACACGGCTCGACCATAGGCCCCCGCGGCACCCACTCGAGGCCGCTGTCCATACTCAACGCCCCGGCCTCCAGCTCACCGAGCGCCCGCTCCTCCGTCTCCAAGCCCGCCTATCCCGACGACCGGCATGAGCCCTCCAAGCCCGTCGATGTGCCCACCAACTCGCACCACCCGCACAGCACCACCAACTCGCCCGCCGTCCGCTCGCCCCCCAATTACGCCGACGATCCTAGCTTGACCTCGGGCCCGACCTCGGCCAGCGTCACCGACATGTCGTATCAGATGTCGAGGCCGCCGAGACTGCCACTCCCCATCGAGGAAGAGGTTCACACCCCCGGCTCGCCCATCATTGCGCCCGCCGATATATCGTCCGGCGGGCCCATTGAAGATATCGAGGCCAGCTTGGAGAGGGAAGCCGAGCACGCCGCCGGCGCAGACCTCACGAGGAAGTCATCGGCCCTCAGCAATGCTACCGACGATGAAGATGCTGAGGAGCTGAGGGTCGACAAGACGAGAACCGTCCCCACGAGGGTCGAGTGGTTACAGGGTGGCCAGAAGGTCTATGTCACGGGAACTCCGTTTCAATGGAGTCGAAAGCAGAGACTGTTCCCTGCGTAAGTTATCCCCTCACACTATTTATTCCTTGCCCAACTGGATTCGGAAGTCTGCTATACCAGCCAGACAAGGCAGTTGGCAACACTGCTATCCCTGTATATCTGGCTCCCCTCTGCACCCTCAATTCTGTGCAATGACTGACTGTGGTGTTTGTGTAGAAAGGATAGAGAAGGCGTCTTGGAAGCAATTCTTCCCGTCTTTCCGGGAACACATCACATCAAGTTCTTGGTGGACGGCCGCATGGAGACATCTATGCACCTTCCCACGACTGTCGACTTTGGAAACAACCTGGTGAATTACATCGAAGTAAGCGGCGAGGAGGCTGCAGCGAGGACTCTCACGCTTGGAGCTACACCTCCCAAGTCGGCCTCGGAAGCAGAGGCACTGCCTTCCAGGCAGCCATCCGAGTCCAAGTTGGATGGCGAGGAGAAGCTGCCGCAGAAAAAGGTCATTGAACCCGCCGAAGCCTTCAGCGGCGCAATACCGGCCTACCTATCCGACTTTGACCAGCCCGAGGACACAAGGTCGTACCAGCTGTCCGTGGGAGCCCTCGACAAACTACCAACCCCTCCGTCTCTGCCGGGGTTCCTTAGTAAGCCCATCATGAATAATACGACACTCATGAAGGACGACAACAGTGTCCTGAACATGCCAAACCACACGATCCTAAACCACTTGGCCACGAGCAGCATCAAGAACAACGTCCTCGCGGTATCCGCCACTACGAGATATAAGAACAAGGTGCGTTTCATTATCCCAACCGTCGGGTTTGATGGGAATAGCCCGTTCTTCTTGGTGGAAGAGAAGCTAACATCCTAGCAGTATGTGACTACGATCGTTTACAAGCCCACGTCGGACGACAGCTAGCCACAGGATGTGGTGACTTGTGTGTTTTTTACGACCCAGCCGGCCACGTGATTGGCCAACACTGGAGGGGCTCTTGTGGTGAGCTTGACTTTGGATCTGAATTGCATGGTAGCAATATGGCATACGGACAGCAAGGGTGGCGTACTTTGGCACCATGTATGTCAGGAATATCGACACGGAATAAGGATCGGCGTTGATTTCAGTGAGGCGGGAACGAATTGGTGGGTGGCTCTGCTGATATATATCCCTGTGCGGTGGATTTTGGTCCATTCAGAGACCCAGCGAAATAGTCAAAGACTTGATCGCAGGACAAATACAACACATTTCAAGTATTCATCATGTCTGGTCGTATTTTACTGCTTTGATCATTGGCCTAGTGGCTAGTCCTCCCTCCACGCTATATGCACCTCGTCGGTCCTGAACCGCTGCGTGCAGGTACTGTCCTCCAGCCGGGTCTCGAACCCCGTCTCCCACGCCAGCAGGCCGGCCAGGGCGATCATGATGCCGTTGTCGATGCAGAAGCGCTCGTCGGTCGCGTAGACGCTGCCGCCGCGGTCCGCCGCCATCCGGCCCATCATCTCCTGCAGCCGCTCGTTGCACCCCACGCCGCCGACCACCAACACCTGCCGCGAGCCCACGTGCGCCATGGCCCGCTCCGTGATCTCGACCAGCATGGCGTACACGGTCTCCTGCAGCGTGAAGCACAGGTCCTCGGGCGTGATGCGCGTCTCGCCCTCCTTGAGCGCGCCGCCGGCGGCGAGCAGCTTGTCCTGCGCGAACATCTGCGCGGCCAGCACGTCGGCGGCGGCCAGGATGCCGCTGAAGCTGCAGTCCATGCCCTTGACGGCGTAGGGCAGGTCGAGCAGGACGCCGCCCTTCTTGGCCAGCTGCTCGACGTTGTAGCCCGGGAACGGGTCGTTGGGGATGCGCAGCGTGCGGGCGAAGCGGTCGATGCAGTTGCCGACGGCGATGTCGAGCGTCTCGCCGAAGATGCGGTACCGCTGCGACGCGTAGGCGATGACCTGCGTGTTGCCGCCGCTGACGTACAGCACGACGGGGTTCGACGCCCCCGTGATGACGCGCCCCATCTCGATGTGGCCCACGCAGTGGTTGACGCCGACCAGCGGCCGCTCCCACAGCAGGCTGAGGGCCCGCGCGCCCACGGCCACGCTGGTCAGCGGCGCGCCCATGCCGGGGCCCTTGGTGTAGCAGATGCACGACAGCTGGGCCGGGCTCACGCCGGCGTCCCGGAGCGCGGCCGCGCACACCGAGGCGAAGTGCGTCCGGTGGTGCTTGGCCGTGTCCTTGGGCAGGAACCCCGTCCCCGGCGGCGACACGAACGTGTGCCGCACGTTGGACAGGATGGTCGTCTGGTTCGTCGCCGGGTCGTGCGACAGCACGCCGATGCCCAGCTTGTTGGCGCTGCCCTCGAGGCCGAGCGCGTAGAGGGGCCCCGCCGCGTGCGGGGGCTGCTTTGTTGATGCGACCGTCATCGTGGTGTCACGACGTGCTGTCGGGCGAAGCGTGGAACCTTCCGTCTCGCGGGCTGGTTGCGGCTGGTGGTGTTGTGTATGAGGGACTCCGCTTCCGTAGACCGGCCGGGGCGGATATAGGTCAACTAGGCATGCGCCGGGTTACACCACTTGAGACGGAGCTTGTGGTGTAATTGCCGCGACGGGATTTCGTTTGCTGCTTCTGTGATACGTGCGCAGGGTTTGTATCTTGCTCTCTCGCCTTATTGTCTTGCTTCCCTTGGCGGCGCTGCGCTGAATGGGATGGGAGTTCGTTCGAGGCCGGTGTGGACACTGTGCCCCGCTACGAGGACTTTGACGACGGTCGCTTTTTGCAGATGTTGCTGGTGCCAGATATATCCAGAAACTACTGCTTTCTTCTCTTGGAAATGTCAGATGAGCCCTATTGATACTATACTATTCGTGGAAGTGTTCAAAATAGAACATACACAAACCAAGTCTCGCAATATCGCCATGCGAATCAATTACTGCTGGGCTGGGAACAGGGCGAACTTGAAGATTGAAGTCATCGCGGGGTCGAAGGGTCTTATCGTGGTGGGGACCTGAGTGACAAGTACCCTACAAGTTCTGGCACCCGGCATTTGGGGCCTGTTCATGGGATTTTGCCCGATAAGCGACCGCCCGGGTACTCGAGGCGGTAGTGTCTTATCGCAAGGTCCCTGGGCAACGCGCACCAAAAATCCCAAAATTTCGGCGACATCAGACGGGCGGACCCCCACAGCCCAGCCCAACCCAGCCAGCAGCGGCGCACTGAGCGTTCCGTGGGCTCCAGCTGGCGTGGCACGGAACCTGGGCCGCCCCAGCCAAGCGGCGCCCATTAGGTACACAGTAGCAGTCCAGTGCCATCAGTGCCTAGTTGGCGAGCACCAGGCGGCGCCCCACTCACAGAAGTTGAGTTTCTTGACCGTCAAGACCACAGAGACCGAAGAGAGACACTGTCCGCCTCGGCGGTTTTGTTCCTTTGCCCACCAACCTCTTTTCTCTCCTCGCAATAACCCAGCGCACTTTTCCTCCCCCTTTGCTCTCCCGTCGGCTGTGTTGTCCTCGTGCGAGTACACATACGGCGAAACATGAGCTTTCCCTCGTCCTTCCCTCGTGGGTTCGAGTTCAGCCGGGCGGAGCTCGGTTCGTATAAGTCCACCACCAAGATGAGCTTCGGCTGAGTAACCCCCGTGCCAGGTACGTGTGTACCAGCCAGCAAACCACATAACCACATCCAAACTCGCTCGCTCGCTCAGTTACGCCTCGCCTCCGGATTGTATTCCGCACCTGCTGACTACATTTTCGTCTTACAGATCACGCCTTGTTTCTCCTCTGCCACTCCACTACCGCCCTTTTTTTTTTCTCTCTGATCACCATGGCGTCTCAACCAGAGTCTCGACAGCGACGGATTCCCACCTTCCTCCTACAGAAAACCGGCTCCGGCCACGGCCAAGCAACCTCCTGCCTGCCACGCCGTTCATCCGTCCGTCCGTCCGCTCGCACGTCTCCCTCCCCAGTTTGGGTTTAAAAACGATGCAGCTTCTGTAGACTGCTCCCTACAGCCACGCACTGGACCTGAGCTGCTCCCCACAGCATAGGGGTCTTGATTTGACTTCCGGTCCGAACCTTACGGCATGGCCGGAGGCACCTCAAAGCTCTCGGCGCTACCCTAGGATGACGTGGCTGGTCACTGGACGGTATCCAGTTGCGAACAGACTGTCGAGAAGCCTCAGCAAGTACGCAATTCTGTCGGAGAAACAGTGTGGTGGCTCCAGACTCCCGCCTTTCTCACGTTGACGTCCGCCCTCTTGAGCTGCTTGGGCCAGACAACAACGGGATGGGAGCCGCGTAATTGCAGGAGCGTATCATATTCCTCCTCATTCGCACCGGGGCCTTCGAAGGGTCTTGCAGCGGCCGTCACCATTATTCTTAGGCGGCTCGGATGAACATCACGGGTCCAGCAGTTGGACACCACAGCCATGCTCGAGGGACCAGGATTGCCTTCCACGACGAATTCCCGGCACCCGGCGTATTTGGGCCGTTGATGGTATTGCGAGCATCACACGAAGATCACACAGCATGCTGGACAAAGGAAGAGAACGTTTTACTCGTTTTGCATTTATTTGTTCCTCCACTGTTGCCTCAGCAGACAACCAAAACCGCGACATTCGTCCCTCCAACTCCTGGCTATGCATTTCATCGCGGCAAAAAGGATATATATCATACAAGGCAGACCCCTCCAACACCAACCCGTCCGTCTTCCCTGCGGCGGAAACCCTTGTATATGACACTGCAGCGATGCGTTTTGTCTTATGTATATGCCACCTTTTCGGCGGCAACATGGGAGTTTCCCCCGGAAATCGCAAAAAAATTAAAACAACGTAAGTCGAGAGTGTTCAGAAGAAGGAATTGGTCGCCCCCAACCAGCCCAAGGATTACTGATGTTGCCCGGCGGCTCTAGCAAACATGGCCAGAATGTGCACATCATGCATGTCCCACCCGGATCGAAAGTCAACCTGGGTTCGATCATCAACCTATGATGAAGGCTGTGGTTGCTGTTGTGGTCGAGCCTGTGCTTGGGTTTGGGCTGGGGTTTGAGAAGCTGGCGGCGGCTGCGGGAGGCCCTGTCTATTGGCAGGGCCGCCTGGTGCCGACCCGGCTCCCTCAGGCAACTGTCTCATCCCGTACCCCCGTTGAATAGGCGGGGGTGGGTGTATCGAGGCTCGATACTTCAAGGCGCGCATGTCATTGGGGTCGATATGATAGACTGGCTGTTCGTCATCACTGTCGTCCTGGTCGTACTTCGTTCGATCAAATCGACGGGCTTCATCCTCATCCATGTCGCTTGGAGGACTAGCCAAGCGAGCCATACGATCTCGGCCGTTCCGGTCGATCTTTCTACGGTCCACCCAGAGACGGCCATCCCGACCGTGACGACGGCGGAAGCTAAAGGCACAATCCTCATCTGGAGATAGGTGCCCGGTGTTGTACCTCGAGAGCGCAGAGGCCGACGCCATGGATACTTCAGCGCCAGCCGCAGGTTCCTCGTCCAACTCCATATCCTCCGACGCACTAGTTGGCGGAGTTGGCAGGAAGGTGGGCTTGGCCAGCCTAAAGCTCTGCTCCTGTTCCTGCCTGACAGGCGGCAGCGGTTTATCTGTGAGATCGATGTGGTTCTGGTTCCACAGGTTGTGTGTCTGGTGTTTATGCTCGACATCACGCCGTAGTTCTTCCCACTTCTCATCGATCTTCTCGGAAAGCAGAGGGAGTTCTTGCTCCACAGGCTTCCCGTCGACACGAACGGCCAGCCGAAGCTGTGTGTTCTGGCCGGCACGCACAGGAGCCTGTACCTCCTGGATCTTTCGCTTCTGGGGTTTGGTGTTTATTAACATGTCCTCATCCTCCGTCTTGATACCAAGACGGATCTTCCTCTCCTTGAGCTTGGCGCGGTGCTCGAAGATTGTCCGCTCCACGTTGAGAAGCTCGCGCTTGAGTACCTCACGCTGCTGCGACATGACTACGAGCAGCCGGCCATCTTCGAGCTCCTTTCTCAGTTTCTTCAGCTTGTCGGCGATCTGCACATCCCGCTGTCGGGTCTTCCTCGTCTGCCTTACTTCACGTCTTCGGAAGCAGACGTACGGGTCCATCTCATCCTGCTCGGTGTGCGTCTCGAACTTGAGGGTGGGGTGAAGAGTCTGGTTACCCTGGGCTTGGCGCTGGGACTTCCAGTACTCATACACCACCTTGGCATGGTTTTGCATCTTGTTGACGGTGGAGTGCACCATGTGCTGCGCCATGACCTCGTACGAGACAATTGTGTTGTCAACAGCAGCAAAGGGGGCCTGCTCGGAAGCAGTGTGCTCAAAGATGTCCATGATCCTCTCAAAGTCATCTTCGGAAAGCTGGTCCTTGGCGGGCCGCTTTGCATTGTAAGTCTTCAGGTACTCATCGTCCTCAGTGGTCATGTCATAGAGGCACCCCAAGGTCTCCTCTACCGTCTCGGAGAACTTGATGTAGTTGCGAGGCTCTATGTACGGCCGCGGGTAGAGATCGTCGAAATCGACTTCACTCTTCTGCGGCGGTGGCACAGGGATCTCATTGTCCTCCTTTGCGGCGCCCACCTTTGATAAAGCGGCCTGCAAATGGTATTCCTAGCAAAGGTAAGTTAGCCATCGACATCAATTCGAATATTTATGGAGGCACTTTCACGCAGTGCAACGTAATGCAATGCCATGCATCGCATTGCATCGCATGCCGAAGAGTTATGCAAGTTTTGTTCTCCAAAAAAAATGGTCCGTGCGCAGTGTATATGCTTAGTAAGAAACGGGAATGCTCACATTTTGCTCTGCTGAGTCGACGCCATGAGTGGTATGGCCCAGGTCGGTGGTGAGGGCTTCATACTCAGTATCGTCGATTTGACCCTCGATAAGAACCGGCAGAGCGGTCTTTGGGTTCAACTTCTTGATTCTGACCTTTCGGCTGGATGACATGTTGACGGGGGGGCTGGCAGGCGGCGCGCCTGGACCTTGCGGTCGGAAAGCCGAACCACGGCGAATTTGGCCCGGGAAAAAGGTGAAACCAATTATCTAAACCATGAGAAAGATGACAGCGTGGTTGTTTTGATGGATTTGGCGTGCTGTTGTCGCCAAAGTCGATGATTATCTTGCTCGTTGTCGGCCTGGTCGTCGAAAGCTGAGGCGCGAAAACTCTGCTCTGAGCTCCACATGTGTCGTCGGAGAACCTTGGAAGGGTCAGTTTGGCTGAGGGAAAGCCCAATCAACCAGCTCGAGCCACTAACGTTTTGGCCCGGACCCCACCTGCACACCCAAAACAGCCCGCCCGCTGCTGGCTGCCCAGCTGCCCAGCAGAGTGGCGCCCCGTTTGCCAGGTAACAAAAAGGGGGCGCCTGGGGGGCTTGGGGGGCAACAAAAACATTGGATTCCAGTGGCATAGTTACATTCAATGCGAATGGCAGACTTGGGCGTCTGAGTGGTTTGTCCCATCCACCCATGGCAACAAAACGTCAAAGCGACTTCGACTACAACCTAGGCGGGTATGAAAGGCGCAGGAGCGAAACCAAGGAATACATTCTTTCATATCCGCTTTCAAGCTTGCAATTGTTCGACTTGATTGAGCTGAGATATGGCCACTCTAGAGAGACCTTTGTTGACGCTAGGGCAGCAGATGCACATACTGAGGTCGTATCTTTGCACTAGTCGGGGCACCAAGTCTGAGTGACGTCTGTACCTGGGGAAGGCCGCTGTCGCTGCCTGTGTCTTAGGCCGTAGGCTTCCAACAGTGGCAGCCTCATAGTGGGATGGATAATCTGCTCTACTGCCTTGAGGTGCTGACGGGAGCTCTCCCAAACTCTTTCTGGGTATCTTGGCCGAGCCACATTGAGACTTGGGCATAACTGAACCTTGCATTTATATAGTTGGATGCCCTCGACTGAGATAATTATCTACCTTCTCAGGGGGCCAGGGGGCCTTCGAGAGAAGATGCAACATGAAACAGGACCCCTTTCTTCAACAGCACGTGACTCGATCCCAGCGTCTCGATGGTTTTCCCAATTGAGGTCTGTCAGCTCTCACGCTGCCCTGGCTGGCCCAGGATTGCAGGGCGTTGGCAGCCGCCGCCCCTCGGGCCCCTCTACCCCACCATGCCCAAGGTAACCCCTTCACCACTGGGAGCAGTACCTGGGTACCTGATCCCCAGATTAGTCTGATCCGATACTGGGGCGCCCTCCTCTGACGACCATACCCTCAGCCTTGCCATTCACCCTCCAAACCACACCGGGCGACCGTTAAACCAACCCTCCCCGACCGACGAAATATAGCCGCGACGGACTTGCCTCGGTGCTACGGAAAATCCAGGCAGACCCAGGCGATTCCCGGCGAACGAGCACCTGCATTGGAAGCCGTCTTCCCCCAGCGCTTTCGAGAGACGGTCGGGCAGCTCCCGCCAGGAGCAGGACCAAGATGGGCAACACTACGAGTGCCGTGTTGGACAACATTGTCCAGGGGTCCAACTGTAGGCAGCCCCCCCTCGTCGGGCGCAGCGTCGGTGCCGCGCGAGAACAAGAAGAAAACTATGTGGCTAACATGGTGTTGCGACAGTCGACCGTGAGGAGGTGGACCGGCTGCGCAAGCGCTTCATGAAGCTGGACAAGGACAACTCGGGCACGATCGAGCGCGACGAGTTCCTGTCGCTGCCGCAGATCTCGTCCAACCCGCTGGCGACGCGCATGATCGCCATCTTCGACGAGGACGGCGGCGGCGACGTCGACTTTCAGGAGTTCGTGTCCGGCCTGTCGGCCTTCTCGAGCAAGGGCAACAAGGAGCAGAAGCTGCGCTTCGCCTTCAAGGTCTACGACATCGACCGCGACGGCTACATCAGCAACGGCGAGCTGTTCATCGTGCTCAAGATGATGGTCGGCTCCAACCTCAAGGACCAGCAGCTGCAGCAGATCGTCGACAAGACCATCATGGAGGCCGACCTGGACAAGGACGGCAAGATCAGCTTTGAGGAGTTCACCAAGATGGTGGAGAGCACAGATATCAGCATGAGCATGACTTTAGGTGAGTTCTAAGACAAGCCTGGCCCGAGTTTTCGTCGAGATGGCCTGGTGGATTGTGCCCCTGGCTGGGAAGAAACAACGTGGAATCGTCGGTCGTGTAGCGGAGGAGAGCTATGGCGGCATATAGACCTTTGACTAACCACCCCCATTACAGATCAGTTCTAGATATCTAGAATACGTGCGGCTATAGCCCGTGGTAATGAGATACGAAGGATTCCCGGTCGTGACTTTGCCATTGCAGCTTCCTTATGTCTTGTGCCGTGACATACGTGTGACACTAGGTTGTGACGCTATTGACAGGATCTGCGACAAGATAGCTTGGATTTTCCCAGACCCGGTGCCTGTGTATAGGCAACATGAGGTCCAGGCCTCTCCGATTGCGATGATACCCTCAAGGGATACCAGCCTCTATTTGGTCCTTCTAGAATGGAAATAAATCTATTCCGCTCAACAGCATATTTGCGTGCATGGGAAATGAACGGTCAGCATGCTCGATCATGAAAACTTCCTTAATATTCCAAAAATCAATAACGCTATCTATTGGGTATCATTGTCTATCATGCCTCGTAAAATTGCTCCATTCTGTCCCTTCATTTCGTCACCTGCCTCAGCTTTGACACCTTCCGCGCCGGCGTAGAGTCGCCGAAAGGCGTGCGTGGAGTCTGTCCTCCACCGCCACCAATCTTGCCCCAAAGCCGCTGCGCGGCGGGCGTGAGTCCTCCGCCGATGCGAGGACTACTAGGAAACTTGGGTACCGGTGTGCTGTCGACTTTGCCAGTCATCCCAACCTTGCTCGACGTCCTCTTCGACTCTGAAATCTTGTCTACCATGCGGTGGTGGAGTGCTTCCCTCCTGCTTTGATGCTTTATCACGAAAGGGTTCGGCGTCGCATCGCCGGGGCCAAGATCGATCTTGGGCGCCCTTGGAGCCTCGTGCTCGGGCTCCTCGTCGTCCACAAAGGCGTACCTGTTCACGCGCGGCGTCTCGCTGCCAACAATGCTGGAGGTGGCCACACTCCCGGTTCGTCTCCCTGCAATGGCGTCTCGTACAGCCGAGAGAGACGGCGAGCCCGGCTCTGACTCCTCGTCGCTGACCTTTGGCGGCGCTAATCTTGTGTTCTGGTAGTTCACGGCTTTCGGCGCCGCTCTGGAGATAGCTTCGGATTTCTGAGCGACAGTCTCCATCGAGTCCTCCACGCTGTCCGGCTCAAACATGAGCGAGTTGTTGGGAAGCGCCTTCCAGCTGTCGGGCTGCGCCGGTCGTTCGTCGCGGTCCCGGATGGCTAGCCTATCCCGCTTGAATCCGTCATCAGTCAGGCTCCGCGTCTCGGCGAGCTTGGCCTCGACCTGCTTCTGTTTCAGCTGCATCTTCGAGGGCAGCTTGTTGCCCGCCCACAGCCATGCGTATTTCTCGGCCCTCTTGCTGTTCTGCCTGTCCAGCAGCTTGTAGAAGCTCTCGTTGTCTTCGCTCGTGTACTTGGACTGGAAAGCGCCCAGACTCATACTGGTGTCCACGTCCGGTTTCTCGGGCGGCGCGGACGGGACGGTGGAGTCACCAGACACAGAAACGGGCGTGTCCCCGACGAAGCCGCGCGGCGTCTGCGCTCCGGGGGCGAGGGACGTTCCGCGCCTCGACTTGTGCCGGCCCGGCGTCATGACCTGGTGCAGCCGCCTGCCAGCGCTGCTGATCCATTCCTGGTCCTTCGATTCCAGCGCGTCCAGATACTCCTGCTGCGTCTCGCTCTCCAGAAGGCCCGGGAAGAAGTCGCGGGCGATGATTTGCGACAGCGCGTCGGTGTAGGTGTCTTCGTCGAGGACCTTCTTCGGGCGCTTGATCCGCTTCGGCGCCGGCGGCGGAGGCATCAGCTCCATCTCGCTTCGCTTGCGCACCAGCGCGGTCGACGCGGCTGGCCTCGACTCCATGGTGGCAATGGTAGAATGTGTTGTGTCGTATGAGAAGGAAAGATAGCGGTCGTCAGAGTTGGTGCTACAATAGGTACCAACGTGGGGCCTTGACTGGACTGCCGGTCGTGCACAGCTGCACGGCGTGCTGTCAGCAACGCCACTGTGTCTTAGGCACCTTCACGTCTACTTAGAGTTCCAAGGTTACTGCACCCGCCCTACATACACAACGTAATTTCCAAAATACACTATCACTAGGGGCTTATCTAGGTCATGATGCCCAACAGTCAGCTAATTCATATTCGTCACGGGTCGAAACCGGGTTCCCGTAATATCCTCATTGAATCTCTGGCCGAGCGGGACGTCGGACTTCTCAAGCCTGGGCACAGAGATCCATTGGACGACACGTCCACTTGGACTGAGCTCCAGCCGGGGTTATTCAGCTTTTTGGAACCAACATGCATAAACATGAAACTGACTATATTCACTTCAAAGAACAACTCATGCATCTTGTCATTGCCGCGGCCACTTGGCCAGCAACCCACGCTGATCAGGCCTATCAAGAGCCTCTCTTTGTCGCAATAGCCGCCAGAGCGCTTTCATTCCTTGCTAGGTCGGGTCGTGAGCTCCACCGTTAGCCGCCTCTGGGTATAGCTCACCAATGATGGCACGCGGCGGCTAGAAACGAGAGTTGAAGAACAGCCGCCGGAGCATCCTGGTATTCCACTTCCCATTGCTAGCAAAACAGATATAGACTCTGGATCCCTCTGAGATCCCAGCCCTGAGTTGACCATGTCCTGGTTGTGTTTGAGACGAGAGATTCTGCCATGTTCGGGTATCAGCTTGTGGGACGCAAGCAAGAAGCGGCCACGCCAAGATGGAAACCGTGGACAATGCGAGCACCAGTGCTGCTGGCTTTCATTGCGGCGTCACTCATAATGGCAGTGGTCATCGAGGTTCTCGCACAAAAAAGCCAACGAGACGGCGCTCTTGCTCGATCACCCTCCATCGACGATATACCGTACCTGCCCAAGCTTGCATCCCTTTATCTGCCGACTATACTTGCGGTACTATACGGCACGTTTTTCGCCATCATCGACCATGATATTCAGCGTTTGCAGCCTTGGCTTGAATTGTCCAAGGCTGAGGGGGCCACTGCAGAAGATTCGTTGCTTCTCGACTATCATTCTGTGCTCGCACCTATGGTGCCTATCAAGGCAGTCCGTCAACGGTAAGCCTTGGTGCGGTCCATCAGTACTTTGAAATGCTGACTTATGGAGACACTAGCTTGTTCTGTATACTGGAGCTATTACGATTATCATTTTCGGCGCCAGCACCCCGTTGCAGAGCTCGATTTTCGGTGCTGGGTCTGCGTCTTTGACGCAACCAACTTTACTCTCGAGTCCCAGCGCACTTGTCCCTGTCCAAAAGCAGGCTTCTCTCCTCGATGCGACCATCATTCACGAAGGCTTCGCGATCTCCTGGCTGAACCAAACATATCCATCTTCGATGACATCTGGATCGGCGGTCTTACCTTTCTATCCTGTTGAGCGTCCACAGTTTGCAACAAGTTCCATTTGGCAAGGGTGGACTTGGCAATTACGCACCGACTTAAAGTGTGAGCCTGGAATCTACAGGAAAGGAAATAGGACAAGCTCTTTCGACAACGGCCGAGGATGTGTTGTGCCGGCTGAAGTAGCGGGTGGGGTCTCTTCGAATGGGGGAAAGAATTTGATAACCATTCACTACACCAGCTGGTACAATAACGCAGAACTAACTGGCTACATGGAGAGTCCGACATGCGGCTCAGATTTCAGGAACCAATTCATCCTTACGACTCTTTTAGATACCGCCGCGCCGGGAAACCCCTCAGCCCAATTCTGCGAGCCGGTATACTATAAGAAGAAAATCACTGTCGCCATCTCTGGAGAGACACTTAAACCAGACCTCTCTACTTTGGAAGAGGTTGGACCTGATATAGAACTCACTAATGAATAGTTCAACCGCACCGCGTTTGGTTATCTGTTAGGAAACGGAAATGCCGGCAGCGAGAATCCTTGGGCCATTGGAATACCCGGCAACAGCACCTATCGACCAATGGTATCAGGTAATGCAGAGATATGGCGATTTTCTAGACCCGTCTATAACAAACATGGTGGCATTCGCCCTGGGACTGGGTAATTATACAGCAAAGCAACTTGAAGACACGGATATTTTAGTCGCTGCTTTCTCCGCAGCACATAAGGCCTTGTTCTCGATTGCCATCTCGAAACTAGTCATCAACAGTACCGACTACCAAACCGGCATATCAACATTCAACGTATCAGGTATATTGGTCAGTAGGCCAATTTCCGCTGCTGTCGAGGGTCTACTTTTGTTGATCGCAGGAATGACCGTCCTGATATTGATCCAGTGCCGAAAGGCACATTTCAAATTGTCAAGGGATCCTGATAGCCTGGGAAAGATGATACTAATATTTAAAGAACATGAGACCGTCCTGAGACAATTCTCGCTATTGGACCAGCTCTCAGCGGATGGGTTGAGGGAATCAATTGGCTGTAAGCGGTACAGACTCAGCGACTGTGGAGACGCAATTGAGTTCGTGTCTGACGAAGAAAAGGGTGAACCAGTTCATCCGAAGCTTGGAGTTCTACAACACACCGCCCAAGATCCGCAGCCTAAGCCTCTGAGGCTTACCGAACTGCGGCTCGGGACTGGTGTGTTGATTGTTACAGCATTGGCAGCTGGGATGGCAATATTGATTTATCTCAAATCTCAAGAAGTCTCGCTCGGAGGTTGGTTCAGCCCACAATAAATCCAAGAGGCATTGGATAAAGGCATGTGATAAGGCTAACACTTGACCAGGTCTTCCACGGCCGTCTGAGAAGTTTGAGGTGCTGCAGATACTCGAGAACTATATTCCGACCATATACGCGACTTCTCTTGCACCGTTCTGGGCCCTTCTGACCCGTACTTTCTGTTTTGTTCAGCCGTTTCGAATGCTTCAGAGAGGAGGGCTCCAGCCACGGAGCACCATCGAGTCCAAATATACAGCGTTGCTTCCCCAGCTAAATATCGGGAGGGCCATCCGATCGAGACATTATATACTAACATGTCTTTGTTCTGCGACTCTGCTAGTCGACATTTTCGCAGTTGCACTTGGCGGTATTTTCAATGAGTCAACTGTTCAAGTCCAGTACCCGGTTCTGTTCAGTCAAGAACGGCAATTACTACCCGTAAGAGAGACTCTAATACCAGACAGACGAGGTGCCTACGTGTCTACAGGATACGGCGATCATTTTGAAGTTCTCTTCAACAATCTCTCGATCCATACTGACCCTCCTTCCTGGACTACCCCTGTTGCTTATTTCCTCCCATTCTCTGAAAACACAAGCGTACACGGCTCCACAGATGAGTTACGGGCAACAACAAAAGGCATCTCCGCTGAGCCAAATTGCGCAGCCCTTTCGACCAGTCCAACTTCCAATCCAGGTGTGGATGTTGTAGTAAACGCAACTACTCAACGGTTATCCCTGACTTATGAGCTACCTGATGGGCCGAAGATCTGTGGCCTGGCTGGTGACCTTGTCCTTGGCAACCTCGCTGGACTCAAAGCCATGGAGAGACAAGCAGGCAATTCAACTCTACATATAGGGTTGGAGGTGTTCAAAATGCTCTCCGGAGCATTTTCTCAGCCTAACAGCAGTCCAAGCGAGACTTTCTGCTCACAAAAGTTAATAGCTGCTTGGATCAGAGTAAATGTCACAGGATCCGGCAACACACAGTCTCCTGTCGCGTCGACTCTAATCCACTGTCAGCCCACAATCCTGACAGCTCTATACGACGTCACAGTGAATTCCCGAGGCCAAGTGACACATTACCGCAGGATGGGTGACTTTGAGGAGTTGATGCTTTCCCCAAACAACCGAACGTTATCCCTTCGGGATGAGGTCATGTCCAGTTTTCAAACAGGGTACACGGGTACTTTCCACAACACAACATTCAACACGAACTGGATGAGCGCCTTCTTAAGCTACGTGCTGAACTCGACATCACACATCGACCCACTGGAGGCGGTACCAGCTGCAGATGTTATGCTCCCAGCCCTCGAAAGCGTGTACCGCCAGCTGGGTGCGGTGATGTTCGGGTTGAACCCGAGCTTTTGGAACTCCACGCCAGATGGAACGGCCCTGGTTCAGGGGCACGTAGTAAGGAAAGAAATCAGGATATTCATGTCCAGAGAAGCGGTCTGGGTCAGTGTGGCGATCCTGGGCACCTACATCGTCGTCGCTCTTTTCGTCTACGTCAAGGGTCTCGGGGTCACGTTTCCACGCATGCCGTCAACCATTGGGTCTGTCCTCACTTATGTAGCAGCCAGCCAGGCAGTGAGGGAGTACGAGAATCCAACTGCAGGGTATCAGAAGAGTGGCAGAGTGAGGACCTACACGTTTGGCACATTCATCGGGTGTGATGGGAAGCCGCACGTCGGTATTGAAGCCGATCCGTTTGTGCTCCCACTCAAGAAAGAACCTCGACGCCTAGCATTCAGCCAAAAGAACCAGTATGATCACCCAGCGTGGATTTAATACGCTATGGCCGACATGAATATGTGGTCTAAGAACAACTTTCGACTCTAAGCCCACATATGACCAATGATTGGAACGGGCTCTTGGCAAAATATATCAAGCGCGGCTCTCGGGGCAAATAATGTCTTGAAGCGATTGTATTTAATGCAATAACCGTAAATGAAACAGTTCTCGTACGTGCCCGTAAATGTGATCAAAACTATGTACAAAAGAATGGCTGGTATCCTAAACACCAACCCATGCCCCGTTGCTGCCCATAAATCCAGTCTTCCTCAGCTTTATGCCTTGAAGGATCGCATCTTGCGGCCCGCTGCGATCTTGAGTTCTGATGACTGTCCCGCGGTACAAGTGGTACCGGCAGCCATCGACATGACAACAGACCACTGGCCGGAAGCACATTGTTGGAAAGAAGACCCATTGACGCAGTTCCACGCGCCCTCGGTCGAGCAGGCCCCTGTCAGCTGTCCACTTTGCGAGCCCGATCCCGATCCGCTTCCGGCCGATGCGGTGGCGGCAGGTGAAGTAGCCACGCTCGTGGCTTGAGCTGCTGTGGTCGTTGCTATAACTGAAGACGCAGCGGCAGTCGTCTTGGTGAGGAAAACGCCACCAGGAACGGATGTTGCTATTGACGTGGCGACACTTGTGGGGGCAGCAGTGGCACTCGAACCGCCACCAGATCCAGATCCAGTATCACCAGGGGTTACGCTCGTGCAGACAAATTCGCCGAAAAATTGCCAGTCAGTACCTTTGTTGACCTCGACAGAGTCACCAGGCTGAGGAATCCAAGCATCCTTTCCTGCGCCGTTCTGAGTGTTACAATTGTTCTCGCTGGCGATGTTGGCGACGAAGAGGTCGGGTAGCTTGTCGAAGTTGCTCTTGTCACCGCCAGAGCCAGTAATCTCGACAGCGCCACACTCCATGTAGTATTCTCTGTTGCCAATGCGGTTGAGCCAGCTCCATGCAATAGTACCCTTTCCGGTGGGAATGTCGGACGGAATCGTGAAGTCGTATGTAAAAGGGTCAGGAGTCTCGGCAGTACCGACCATGTTGCCCTCGGTGTTGCGGGCAGGACAACCACCCTGGATGGTATGGATGACTTTGAAGACACTGTTCTTGGTGGGTTCGGTATCGTATGTGATTGAAATTTGGCATGATCCTCCACCATGGACGGCTGAACCCTGTAGTTGCAGTGTCTGATTTGATCCCTGGGGATACGAGTTGGTAGGGCCGGTGTAAGCTTCGTTAATACGACGACAGGGGAAGTCAGAGCCCGCTGCGTCCAAAGGACGGCCATAGCCATCTGCGTTAGTTGCCGTGGTAAAGTCGAAAGGCTTGGGGTTGACGAGAAGCATGTGGCAGTTGGCGACGGCGAGGAAGCCAGTGGCAGCGGCGATCTTTGCGCTGAACATTTTGAAAGATTGTAGTGATATCCGTACCAGACGAATAGCAAAAGTTTTTGTGCGTGTGCGTGTGCGTGTGCTTTCCAAAGGTGGTTTTACTTGGACTATAAGAACGCGCAGAATTAGCCAATGTCACACATATTACCCTCCCTTAAATCAAAACCCAATATTATATTTCTTGCCTCCGCGCACAAAGCTCGTTGTTGCCGTCGCATGTCGAAGTCACAAAGCTCCGGCCAGTTGATGCCACTTGATTCTGACATCACCTGACAGGAGGAGATGTCTTCAACAAAGGCCAGGTCTGAGATTCTTGGGGACCCCAGATCTCTCTGGGTTTGATATCGCATGGTGACAAGGCCATTGTGGGGAGCAAGCATGATCGAGGCTAGATAAAAGACGGGCTTACCAGGCTATCGCTTTGTTCGATCAAGCAACAATAGCGAGGAGAACCAGGTCACAAGAGTTTGGTTCAAGATTTGACGAATATCTTTGGACAAGCTGAGAAGCCTCTCAAAAGAAAGTAATGCACCAGGCGGGTTGGATCAAAGAGAACTGAAAAGAAGGGGTCTAGCCTCGAAGGAGTGAAGGGAAGACCTGTTGCAAGATGCCGCGAAAGACTGTTTACTGCTGGACGAGAGAATGGAAACGACCGACTGGGACTGGGACGAAACGAATGACTTTATAAGTCGATGTGAGGCAAATCAAAAAGAATGGAAGGCAGCAGTAACTGGCGACTAGTCATGCAACGTGATGGAGGCTAGAGCACGAGAGGAAGACGTGCTGCAGGAACAGGCGCTACTTTAAGCATGATTGGACCTGAGAGAAATGGAATTGAACATGGTTCCCTTGGGGTGTCCAGGTCCACTTGGGCTGCCAGGTCAGCGCAGATGTGAATCCGAGCACTCAGCAGCCAGTGGGCGCAGCCATTATGATCGCTCGCTCGGGTTTCGAAGCATGTGGAGATCGACGGAGGTTGCGCTGAGAGACAGGGGGGTTTAGACCGCAGCCGGATGCATAGTCATGATTGGCTCACTGCCATTCCAATGGCTTGTTTCGACTTGGCGCGGAATACGACTAAACATCTTTTTCGCATGCAGCCCCCTCCTGCGTTGAACGGCCGCCAATGAGTTGATCAGCCCCTGACTAGCCCACTCGTGTAGGTAGGTGTCAAACAGCCCAAAGGCCTCTCTCCGTAACGCCATGTATGTTAACTGACGTGCAGAAGGAATTGTGTCAGAGTACAACTTGAAAACTTGTCTTGACGCCGATGAGTCCAGAATAAGAACAAATATGCAACACGTGAGACCAATTTTTAGAGATGGGACCTGCAGTAGCACCCACAATATGTCGCCCCTTTTTAGTATCTGGCCAGTTTGGGGGGGGTTGCGATTGGATATGTGGTGGTCGTCGTCGTCGTATGTGGTTGTAAGAGACATGTAAGCCGGTTGCCCTTTTTGGCACCTGCAGGCCGCCAATCAGGCCGCGCAAAACCATTGACCCGAGAAACGTGGAATTCCAGAAGCATTCGCTCGAGGTCAACGATGTCACCCCCGCGTCGCTTGGCTGCATCCACAGTGACCGCTGGTTCTTCCCTTAGGTGCACTTCTCTGGCATTACTTTTCGCCATGTCTCTCGCCCGCGCGGGGTTCACAAAACACGAGAGTCGGGGCGATTCGCCGCTCGAGACCAATAGTTATCGACTCGCAATGGTAAGTCTGAGGGGGGGGAGGGGGCAGTATCAAGGAGTGTCGTGGTTCAAGCCACTCGAAGCCAAGGGGCTCCCCGAGGAACAGGGTCAGATGGGAATTTGTCGCATTCCATTGGCAGCCTTTCAGCAAGACCGGATTCTGTCCTGGCTGCCGAGGGCCATAAGAGCGAGCTAGCCAGGGTTTGGCTACCAAGTCTGCAAGTCGGGATCTTACGAGTGCCATCTTGCATTTCTACAGGGTCCTGTCGATCCCTGACGGTGACCCCTGACCAGGCACGCTCGGGGCCACGACAGGGCCGCCAGCGAACGGGATGTCACCGCTGGCTTGTGGGGTTCAGGCTAGCCCGAGCCGAATGGCGCACTCCGTCTGATGGTGAAACCAGAGCGGTTTCGATGGCTTTGCTCTCACCTATCAGGCCTGTCCAGTTGCACGAAAGAAAATGCATTCGCATACTGCCAAATGGTGTTCGGCCTTCCACACGTTAGCATGTTCATCCAGTCTTTTGGAACTTCAATCGGCGTCTGGATATTTTACTGGTTCTCGAAGCGCATGTCGTCACTCTCTATGGGCGGGAACGAACCCGATGTGACTTGCTGCGTCGTGTGCTCAACGGGCTCGTGTCCAGCATCCATGGTCGCCACTGGTTTACGGCGCTCGCCGCCCTTTGGAGGCCGCATGAGGCGATCCCTAAGGGCCACTGAATGAAGCCTTGCCTGAGCCCCAGTCTTAAGCTGCCGCCACCGCCGACGACGACCCGGGCCCCCATGTTAAGCCCGCCGCTAGCAGGCGACCGATGGAAAGCAGGGGCGGCCACGGACAAACGGGGGCTGTCGCAATCCAAGTCCTTCAACTACCGGTAACCTACATCGTACATTGTACGGAGTACTTATGGAGTGATTAGCCATTCTCATGCCTCACGACGGGGTCCCCTTGCGCATGCCAGCCCAACCGGCTCATTGCATCGGTTGCATTTGACCCAAAACCAACAGGATCTAAGTTAGCCACGCGGCTTTCTAGAATTAAGGGTATGACATAGTTGTAGAACAACTAGAGGATTGCTTAGCTGGGAGGACTCCCGGGCGAGATCAACAGTTTGGTGTCTTGACTCTCCATAGAACATCCCCCGCCGCCCCGCCCAAAAGATGGTTGCTTGAATTGCTTGAATGTCACGTATAATGAAAGGACCATGCGAGCGTGGCGCAGAGCCGGAATCACTGGCAATCCCGTCATGCCTGTCTGGGGAAATTCCAGATGATCGACAGTCCCGGTCGGGGATGCGAACCCACAGGGATGTTCTTGATGAAGAAAGCCAAGGAGCGGGTCAGAACCTTCGGATGAATATTTGCATTGACCTTGGCGGCCACAACGGCAACAGCTCCGTGAGGCCACCAGATTCCGCGCGGGCCTGCGAGTAAAAAGAAGCATTCTACCCATGACTCCTGGTCGAGAGTAGACCATGATGAGGTATTCGCTGTCGTATTGCCATTGCGTACTCGCCACACTTACTAGCCATTCTTAACATGTCATCTTACTGACATGTGAGGTCAGCTCAGACCTGTGCCACTTGGAGGCCTATTTACGCGATGTAGGACGATGATCCTAGAACTTAAAGAGGCCAAGAAGAGGTTCGAAATAGAGCCCGATGAACAGCCTTACGCCCGCTGGATGGAGGAAGACAGTCAGTAACAAAGTACATAACCCCTGAAACGCAGCTATATGCACGTAATTAGGCATTCGCAGGCCCTGTGTTAAGCCGTAAGCACTACTACGTAGTACTGGACTGACGGTGGGTGGGCTGTTGGGGGCTTTGGGGCGTGCAGTCATATCGCAATACAGCCTGCGATCAATGATTCGGGAATGACAAAGAGATTACGCGGTATTAAAACACGCAACGCTTGTCACCAGTCTGCATACTACCCAGGTCAGGGGATGACCGGTAGAGTCCACAGGCAGAATATATACTTAGATCTTCTTATCTTCTACCTCGCTCATCTGTAAGGCAGAACACAGCCCTCGTGTAAGTCGACTGGGGTTACCATCCCTCGTGCGTTGGATCATACTCCGTAAAGTAGTTGACCTCACAGAGGCTAGTTCTTGTATTATTTTTTGTTTGAGACAAATCGAATCTTCAGAAGTTAGCTTGATCGGCGTTCTATGTGAATAGTAGTAGGATTGCGCCCTTATGGCTTTCTTGCAGTCGTGTGTCGGGAATGAAGGGTGACAATGCTCCACGTTAAGCCTCTAGTCTGTCACACTTCCACCTAGTGACGACGTCTGGCCAATCATGATTCCAGCACAAGAACAGGATCGCAGGTATGGAAGATTGTGCCAGGTTTGGCATTTGGCTTTCTTGCCGACTACTGTAGTCACCCCCTGCCTTTCCTCCCTTCGATTAATGCCGGTGTTCTCTTATTATTGTCTGATGCATGTCATACTCGAATTTCCCCTTCGCCTACTTCAGGGTGTGAGAAGATCAAAGGAAAGTCGAAACATTCAACTGTTGGACCCTGAAAAATTTCCCGTGAGCAACACAGATGATTCCGAGACTCTTTGACCAAAATAGTAAGGATCCAATCAATCAAATCCGACTTCATTGAGGGACATCATGGCAATTCTCACGATACGTTGTAACACATTTTCTGAAATGAGAAAAGGTGCGTATGTTGCATTAAGTTTCTCAACATCCAAAGCAAGCTGCCGCAACTCTGAGGTGGTACCGGTTGGTGAAATCGACCGGTACAGCTGAAGCGTTCTGGTTGACTATATATCAACATCGAATGCCACTACACACATCTAGATTTGATGGCATTGACAGGGGTGACAAACTATACCGTAAGTCCAACGTCTTCTTGGACTGATACCATAAAACACCAGGGCGGCTTGCTGGAGATGAATGTTGACAAGATTTCTGCTGCACGTTGCGAGCTCTTTGTTGGTATTATCAAAAGCCAAGATCACGGCTTCCAGTTGCAGATTCGCCGCATGTTAGAGACTGCCAGGAGATACTAAGGCTCGGGTACTAGAATTTATCTTCATTTGCATTAAATTCTGTAGGCGCCTTTAGAAGAGCATGGCATATGCTTACTAGTTCGGACTTTCCTAAACGAGTCAACTCTATAAAACACACAATTATGCTGTTCTATCATACGCATAGGGTTTTCAGATACGTTCTACCATATTTCTCTTACAGTTGGACCAAGTACGCATGTTTGCAATAGGCACTTGTATTCAAGCCAGTCAGAGTTTGGTGAGATATTTGGCGTATTATCTTCAGATTCCAAGAATTGCCACCATTTTATAATGATTATATAGAGTATTCATCTTAGCGTGGATATCCCCCAAAAGCCCACAGGGTTCCAGTTCTGCCTTCCTGTTGGGTCAACCTCCTGCCTATCTGGTTAAAGGGACGCAGGCATCTGATTGGCCGGACAGACTAACCCTCGTCCGCCATGGCAATGTATCGGACTTGAGTCCCACTTCAAGCCCTATCCGAGGTTATCCACGTGGAAAAGGGTGTTAAGACCAGCAAATCAGTCGCACTCAAAGCTATTTTCAAACATACACTCTGGTGAAACTGTTCTTGGTGCCAGATCCGGCAGGAAGTAGTAGCGCTCGCAAAGGAGGGCACGCCTGTTTTGGAGGACATAAGACCATCATTAGCCCCACAAGGACCTTGCTGTCAAGAACATTTGCACACAATATACTGTTTCAATACAATTTCCGGTGGATTAGCTTGATTTACCGGAAAGAATCAATCAGTTTGACTGTCGTGGGTTTTTATAAATAACCAACCATCAAGTGGCAATGAAACCCACCCTGGCACTCTTCACGGCTTTCGCCTCCGCCGCTAGTCTTGGTAGGCGCGCGGATCCGACTTACTTCAGGGTGTCCAGGTTCAACGCCAGCTGCATTGCGGATAGTACGATGTGCTCGTAAGGTGCCACCTGGTTATCCTCTTACACAAATCATGATTGCCTGTCGCTCCTTTGAATACGGTTGTGCTAACGGGTACCGATATTTAGGTATGGGTTTGTCGTGGAAAATACTACAGCATGCGCTGCGTTTCTTCAGGGGTTCGACTTCCTACCGGAGGTACAACTGACAGGCTGCACAAACCCAGTCTACTCTTGGTCGATTGCCCACACGATCAAAGGTGGACTTGCACTGCGTATCACTACAGTCTCGTCATCCGATTCTTCCAAAAACATCACAGGAAAGCACTGGATCAGTAGTGACGAGCTATCGAACCCTGGGGAAGGGGCAGCCACCGACCAGAGCTATATTGGCCCGAAGAGCTTTGGTGCAGTTATCTGGTAGGAGAAGATGGAATTGTACACTAGAATTGTACACTAGCAAGCGCAGTTCGATTAAGACTCCTCACATTTGGAAGAAACCGATATTTCTGTGAAAGCGGCATTCATTGTTCACTGTTTACACCAAAGGCGCAGTAGCCCCTTAATAGTTGAGTCGAACATTCACCGCTGGAGGAATTTAGGCAATGGTGTCAATAGATTCACTACTTAGCATCGCCTGCCGCAAAGTCGGTGTATCACAAATGTATGCTTTCGTAAAACTCGCGTTTCTCGGGTGCCATATAGAAATCACGCACTCTAAATGAAACTGCGCGAATCGTCGATTAAGTTAGCAGGTATCGATATGTCTAAATTACATTTGAAGGCATTGTATGACAAAGTACAGAAAGCTTCCTATCGAGTAATTAAGCTTGGCAACACTCTTGATACTAAGTTCCAAAGTTGATTATAATTAAGGAGTCCTTAACTGCTGTATTATAGCTCGATATACTTTTATCAACTGCATATTAAGTTAAATCGAACTGTGTTCTGATAAATGTATTGCACGTCGGGGTTGCGTTCCCGTTCCCTAGGCATCAGTCGGTTTGCTAATTTCTTGCCCGCATTTAATAAAGCTTTTAACAGGCAAAATAGCCTTACTGCTTGGCAGGTCGGCGGAGGGACTTATCCACATGTGAGCAGGGGATAGCCAATACAGTATTGAGAACCGAGCAGGTCGGTACCATTACAGGCCAAGCCAGGGTGTCCCTTTTATATAAAAATTGAAAGGTGTCAAAAGATGATAAGAAACGGTACCAGTTAAAAAGCGAGAACGAACCAAATAGATGTTCAAAAAAATTAGTTTCCCCCCCCCGAAAGGCAAGTCAAATTCCACGGCTCAGGATTCCCAAGCCGTGCCTTATTAACAGAATTGTGACGTGCAGCAGTTCAGAACCACACTTATAGATTATGGCAAAACAGTGGTGGGTTTTTCGCTAGATTGAGTTCCCCAAGTTTTCACACATTAGACAGCCTATATTCCGGAGTCTGCATCTCATTGGGCCAGACCAAAATATCTGAAAAGGTTGCCTGTCATTTCAACACCAGAGTACTCTGGCTGTCGAATACGAAAACGTCTCTCTTGTGGGCTGGTTCTGGCTTCTGTTAGTCTTGGTAGATGATACTCCATCGGCTCTCCGATTGCTTCTACTCTTGACGACATTTATAGATGATGCGGCATGTCAAATATTATTAGAGACAAGGCCTGGACTCTACCTTATGCCCAAGTGTTGTCCGCCATTTTCCATTTTCCTTAGCAATTCGGTACTTGCACTACAATCTAAGTGTATTCGAGGGATACTACGCCGTTGAGAGCGAGCCTGTGGAGACGGACAGGTTTTGCCTCGCCTGAGAGGTCGTGCGGGACGCGAATAGAAATACAACATTGGCAAGAATCCATGTTGGTCGCAGGCGGGAGTTGCAACACGAAGGGATGAACTGTTCGGACTCTTGTTGAAAGCCGAGCGCCCGAGTGCCTCAAATAATGCCAGGTATTTACTAAAGTTACTATGTTTCTATGTATGTTTAAGAATATGTGTTCTTGGTCGCGGTGATTGACTAGAACATCATTGCCACGCCTTGGCTCGCCAGGAGCTGGACCATATGATCCCCCATTTGGTCACAAAATGTAAGAAGTCAGCAATGAGTGAGAATCTTTTCGGGAATAACTTTGAACTAACGGCGAGCCCATCAGCCAAGTCCTGGTCTCCTTCATGTATGCCAAGAAACGGGCAGTGGAATCGAGACCGTAGGAGTAGGCAGAGTAACTGCAAGGTACAGCCGCCCTCTATTCGTAACCGCCACCTTGCTTGCTGATCTGCAGCTCAGAAGGAACAAGCCAAGAGAATAACCTGCAGTACAGACGAGGATTGCCTTGGAGAAATGCTTAAACAATGACTCAAATCTTGTGTGCCTTGCCCCCGCATTCAACAGCGCTACAAATAGAACCAGGTTGTGTGACTAGAGCCTCCCATAGGAACCCCTGCAGAGATCCCTGCTAATTTCCCTCTTCTGGGAAGAGGATTGCGTGGACGCCATCACGACTATTGATTGCTCGGTTGTTCCCGATTGGTCACTCTGAAGCTCAAACGCTTTCAATTTGCACAGGGCGAAGGAACCCTTGGCTTTTAGTCAGCGAATGCAAATGGGGGAATCAAGGCACAAAGAAACACACCGCACCACAGCGTTGCGGCAGAGCTGGGGTAAGGCACAACCCGATGGGCCACCCCATTTCGGATCCGACTTTCATCTGCAAAGAGAACCGGTAAGTTCATTGTTGGCCTGTGAACCCCCACCGCCATGTATGTGACGCTATGGTGACTCAACTACTTGTCGTCGTGGCGTGCTTTCAAACATTCATTCTTGCACTCGGAGTTCCTTGCCAGGCCAGGATCTCGTGATCGCAAAACCCACCAACTTCGCGTATGCGCCGGTCGGCTACGGCGGGACCGTCCCGTCTAGGACCCATGATTATACCGCTTCGCATCTTACTGCCTGGGGCCGTCCGTGCCGCTGTCTTGGCAATAAGTAGTGTGATGCAAAGCTACACATACGAGATCATCAAATACCCGTAGTCTGCAGTGTTTGTGGCATATTGAGGTTTAGCTCGCCAACATCCCTCTAGGATTCCCTTACGTTTATTGAAAACCCTATGACCGTTATCATTGGCAGCCCACACTGCCGGCGACAGGGTATACCATCAATGAAGCTGACAGTTCATGCAGGCCAATGAGAAGGATGCTCGTTTAAGCACCTCCGACTGACAGGAACCCATAGAGCCTTGAAACACAATCGAGGCTGTACGCTTGGAGCATGGCACCTGCATATCTCCGAGATGACCAGGTCAGCCGTGGCGCTGGGATGGCGACGCGTTGACGTGCGGCTCTGACCCGTCGCAGGGGTCAGCCGCCGGGGTCCTTGTGAGATTCTGGCCTCTTTGAGGCAGCAGCACCCTCTACAGATACCTGGAGCATCTTGTATTATTGATGCATCTTGTTTGTCAGATATCCCATACTCTTTGTCATGTAGGTATTAACTGGATTACAAACTCCCCAGCATTGGTACCTGCAGTGGCACTCTTCTATTTCCGTTACAACCTTCTTATCGAGCTCTGCGGCCGAGGAGCTCAATATGTCACCATACATAGTCAAGAGACCCTCGTGGCCTGTTCATCATTCAATACTTGACCAGGCTTCCACCAACTATTGAATAATTTGTGATTGTAACGGTATCGGAAGTCCCTCTACCTGCATGTTGTCATCAAATAATACGGCTGGCAGGTTCGGTCTTGGAGTCCCAACGGCCTCCAGTTGGTCGTTAGTCGCTATTGGCAAGGCCGCTCGTGCACCGGATGCTCGGCCTCGCTTTGGCCGACTGAATTCCTCTTGCAGACATGGTCATGATCCTGCATACACCCACGTACAGTGGTGGAGCTGTGGTCGTAAACCACCCAAGGAGCCAGTACATGTTGCCGCCAGACTAATGCAGACAAGGTCATGAGGCTGGCTTCAGGGGATCGTGAAGGTGGTATCATCCTGGAAAGGGGTATGCTCAAGAGGTGGTGAAGTGCATTTCAGGATGTAAACGGATGAAAGTTGATGGCTCCAGCGGCAAGGATTTTTGATAAGGAGAGTTGACGAGCTGTCTATAAAATGAGCCTCGATTCCTATTCTTATGAAGGTACAATTTGGACCACACAACACTCATCACTCAGCATCCGCTGCTACGTTCCTTTACCCTTCACTCTTTTGTCAACCTTTGAGTCCTTCAAGTGCAAGATGCACAGGACAGCCACTCTTTCGAGCTTTTTAGCTCTATTCTCTTCTGTCGCTCACTCAGCCCCTTCGGCGGAGTTGTCGCCTCGCCAGACTTGCGAGTTTGACTCGGCAACAGCCAATGAATGTTGGGGAGACTATTCTTTGTCTACCAACTGGTACGAAGAGGGCCCTGATACTGGGGTTATCAGAGAGTTCTGGTGGGAAATCAGCGAGACGACTCTCTCTCCAGATGGCTTCCCACGTACTGTGATGGCTATCAATGGAACCATCCCTGGACCCCAGATCACTGCAGACTGGGGTGACACAATCGGTAGGTTGACGAAAGAGAGTTCAAAAGTTGAAGCGTTGTACTAAGCTTTGTAACAGTTGTACACGTCACGAACTCTGTGGCGAACAATGGATCAAGTATACACTGGCATGGTATCCGTCAAATGTTGGTTCTTGTGCCCCGACCCTAGCCCTCTCCACTGCTGACAATGTGGTTGAATAGGGGATCCGTTCTTTACGATGGTGTTTCTGGTATCACCCAGTGCCCTAGTGCTCCCAATGACACACAGACTTACACCTGGAAGGCAACTCAGGTAAGCTGACTAGTCAGAAATCGTGACTTTGTATACTCACAGCCTTATAGTACGGTACTACCTGGTACCACTCTCACTTCAGTCTACAGGCATGGTAAGTATTACGACCATCCACTCTCCCAGCAAGCCATCGCGAAGCTGACTGAAGAACAGGAATGGAGTTTTCGGAGGAATTGTCATTAATGGACCCGCTTCAGCTCCGTACGATGCTGACACTGGAACCTTGCTGCTCTCTGACTGGTATCATCAGACGACCGATGCTCTGTATCAACAAGCCCAGACCTCTGGACCACCACCAGCTCAGAATGGCCTACTGAACGGCACCAATACTGGAGCCGATGGTAGCGGCACTAAATTCCAGACAACTGTAACCGCCGGTGCCCGTACTCGTCTCCGTCTTGTGAACACTGCTCTGGATACTCATTTCAGATTCAGCATTGACAACCACACCATGACCGTGATTGCGGCGGATCTGGTTCCTATCAACCCTTACAATGCTACGGATATTAGCATTGGCATTGGGCAGCGATACGATGTTATTGTGGAAGCCAACCAGGATCCTGGAAATTACTGGCTGCGCGCAATTCCTCAGACCTCTTGCTCGAGCACCAACGAGAACCTCCTAAACATCACGGGCATCTTCAACTATGATGGTGTCGACGTTGCTGAGCCGGCAAGTACTATGTGGCCGTTCACAGACAGCTGTGACGACGAGAGTATGGACAAGCTCAAGCCATTTGTCGCCCTCGACGCAGGCCAGGGGGGCAAGGAGGCTGACTTCGAAGTCGGCTTGGTCGTCAACGGGGTCTTCAGATGGACAATCAACGACCAGCAGTTCTACACTCACTGGGAGTATCCTAGTAAGTCTCAAAAGTGTATAGCTTTGCAAATATGACGAGCTAACCATGAATAGCCTTGAAGCAAGTCATCGACAACAACGGCAGCTGGGCCGCTGAGCAGCACGTCAATATCTTTAACGAGACTAACGAATGGGTTTACTTCATCATAGAGTCTCAGCTTGGTATCACCCACCCCATCCATCTCCACGGCCACGACTTCTACGTCCTGGGCCAGGAGGCAGCAGCCACCTACACAGGCACCGACCAGCTCAACTTCTCGAACCCCCCGCGGAGAGACGTAGCCATGCTTCCGGCGTCTGGCTATCTTGTGATGGGATTTCCCACCGACAACCCCGGCGTCTGGCTGCTTCACTGCCACGTGAGTCTCTCAATCATCTTAACTTTGCTTGCCCTCGATCATACATGCTAACGACCGAGGCCGCAGATCGGATGGCACACGGTTGAAGGCCTTGCGCTGCAGCTAGTAGAGCGTACTTCAGAGATCGCCGCCACGGTCGATGCCGACGAACTCAATGGCGCCTGCTCTTCCTGGGTTGACTGGGCGACTGAGGTGGAGAAGGTCCAGGATGATACCGGCATCTAAGGTCTTGAGATGACGGCTCATGCTGTGCCTGACCTCGGTCAGCACATGACCAACGGTATGCAACTGTCCCTTGCGCGAAGCACTGGGTTAATTTCTTCGAACTCTGACATTTCTTCTTTATTGAATTTCTTCTCTTCGTTCACGGCATCGGACACTGCTTACCACAATGTCCTTGCATTCAAAACAACCTGTAGGAAATTTTGTGGTTCGGATAGCTGTTGGTGCTGATCCTGGTAGATTGTTGAGTTATTGCTTCTCTCCTTCACTGTATAATGTTAGTCGATGTACATACATTTCAATAGTAAATATTATGGTTTTATATGCATTTGCGCAGTAGGCTGATCATCGCATTGTTGGATGGATTATGATGTGTGTCATCTGAGCTAGTTATTTTCGTCATATTTCTCTCTTCTCCACGAGATATCGTCCACGCTTACGGTATTCCATGATCCACTGATGCTTCGTCTATCACCCCAAACTCCCCCAGTGAGAAACTGTGGGACACTACATCCGTGGTACAGGAACAAGGTATATCTGCCGGCCACTACGTGTATGAACGACGCTCAAACGGCAGCACCTTTGTCCTCGTCGTCCACCTCTGTTGGAGCAAAGTGATCCGCATCCTCGAATCCGTAATCTTCCCTAGTCCAGTTCTTCATCTTCTGCGTCCGGAACTCGTGGAAGTCCCACTCGCGATCCTCCAGGTGGGCCGGATACTTGAAGACGTAGACCTCGGTCTCCACCTCCTGGCCCTCGATGTTGCCGGCACCCTGGTCGTCACCCACCTTGGACAGGAGGCGCACCTTGACCTTCTCGCGCGTGTACTCGTCGCCCTCGAAGACGTCGAGGTGCCACATGTTGGCATCCGTGAGCCCCGTGACAAGCATGCCGCGCACCTCATGAGCGGCGTCGGGTGTTATGCCCGGGTAGTCGGCCGCCTTGACTCGCCGGCGGCAGTAGCCGTGCAGCAGCGCCGGGTGGAAGTTGTGCAACGACTTCAGGAGCTTGGTGTCCGTGGTTGAGTTGCGGTAGCAGACGGTGAAGAACACCTCAGCAGCCATCTGTTGCGTCAGAGAATTAGTGGATTGTGTCCCCCGTATCCGGCGCTGCCCCTTATCTTGGGACGAAGAGACAGAAAGTTGTGACATACCAAGGTACCTGCGATGACGTCAGTATGTGCTTGAAGATGCCAGTTTAATGCCCGGGAACGTTACCGTAGAAGAAGGCCGTGTGCGTGCCATCAGAAGTGTCGAACTCCGACTTGGAGCCCATGGTGAACTATGGCGAACGTGGATGTATAGTGAGTGAGTCGGGCGGCAGTTTTCTAGATAAGGGTCCGAGGGAGGCCAAAAAGTGATTTATTCAAAACTGATCCTGTACGCGACGCGACGGGTTGCCCACGTACCTACAAGGCCAAAATGGGAAGAAAGAAGCTGATTTATAGAAGTTTCGTATTTTGAAAGAAAACTTGACAACCACTACTGCTTTGCTTGGAGACAAGGGCTGGTGCATGACTCTACATTCCACGCTGCCTTCATGCCAACTTAGATTGGCCAGGCCGCAGCCGGCCGGCAGCTGGACAACGTTGGCTGTTCACCTCACCAATCTGCACAGGTGGTGTCTTGAGGGTTCATCTTATGCGACAGAGGGCCGGTGAGGCTGGAGGAAATCGCCCATGCGACACATGTAGATATGAATATGAGCATTCAAACAAGCCGCTGATCTGAAGTGAGTTCTAAGGCGAGGATTGAGTACCCAGTACAGAGTGCAGTAGAATGGCAGTTGGCAGGGCACGCAGACTCAGAGGTTGGCCTGATCTGATAAGATCCCCACTACTGATATCTAAGCGACTTCACTAACCTGCAAGAGTGGAGCACATTTAGTCTGGGGTAAAGCTTGGTACTATGGTATATAGTAGTTACAGTGGGAGGTGCCCTGGTTGTCTCGTGGATTCTCCAGGCCGGCGTGGTGTTTGCAGATTATCGACTGATGTTCACCTGTTCACTTGTGACGCCGAGAGCAGGGTAAAACTCACGAGCGGGTGTCGTTATAGGGGCGGGCGTACCCTGCCGATTGACAGACGCGCTGCCTTGACTGACGCAAGTACCTAGGTGCCTGGGCAGACGGTACCTAGATACCTACCATGAGCCAATAGGTACGTGCTGGGCATGTCTGTGGCCGCCCCAGTGGACCGGGCCTCACCCCCGACCTGGACGGAGAGCTCCAGGGAAAAAGTTAAGTCCGAGACTGCAGCCTAAGCCGCGGCGGGCCTAGCTCCAAAGTGATTTGTCGCGTCGAACCCCCCGCGCTGCCCTTTTCGCTGAAGCTCTGCAATCCAAATGCGACGGGCGATTTTACGTGCTCAGATGCGACTCTGCGATTTTTGGTAGCCTTGCCGTTCACCTCACCACGACGACGGCCACCTCCACGTCCTCCGACCTCACCTTCACCACCACTTTCCTACCCGTTTAATGTGTTGATGATACCCCATTCTTTCGTCTGTTAAAAAAGGCGTGGACGCTTGTGCAGGAGGAGCTACTAATCAATCTCCGTGTGCCATTTCCTTCTGCTGCCCGCTGTTGCAGCAACTCTGAGTTCCCTTGTCGACTGGATCTGCACCCGAGCCGTCTTGAAGCATCCATCGACCGAGTCGACCACGCGACACACCACCAAGCACCACCGCGGGTGCACCGGAGCCTCGGAGTGCAACAATTGTCACCCCAGATCCTGCGATAGCCCTTCGTCTGCCGACCATATCTTGACCGGCGCATGCGAAACAGGGCGGGAGTCACTGCGTGTTCGCAGTAGCCGCGACCATGTCGGCGGCCGTATTTGACGATATTGTCAGGCGACTGAGCCTCTCAGACACTGGTAAGCACCGCGGGTTAATCCCTCTTCTCTACGAGTCCGCCATCATCGAAGCAGCTGCCACTCTGCTGTGCCTGTAGCCAGCCACCTCCGGTCTTCGTAGCTAACCACTGTCGATTGCAACAGAAGCGAAGAGCAAGCTCGAGGCCGCTACCCAATTACGCGACTCGCTCGATCACTACACCAATGGCGCGGCATATCCCATCTTCCTCAAGAAGGCGATGCCGCCCATCATCATTCTTTTGAGAGGACCATGCGTTTTCCAGAGCACATCCCCGGACCAGGTACGTTCTTTTTTGGCAGCCATAGTCCCCGCGTGCACCAAGACGGCGGGCAGGAAACTGATGCTAGATTTCTACAGAGACTCCGGAACTGCGTTCTCGAGATCCTCCACCGGCTGCCGACACATCAGACCTCCCCCGAACCCTTTGAGCCATACGCCGAGGAGGTCGTCGATATCCTTATGGGCTTGGTCAAGAACGACAACGAGGACAATGCGACACTATGCGTCAAGATAATATCAGACATTATGCGCCACCAGCCCAAGGTTCTGCAGGGAAAAGTTCAGCCGTTCTTGACGCTGATACAGGAGCTGTTCGAGCAGATGGAGCGGGTTGTAAGAGAACAGCTGGACAGCAGTGCTGTTCCGTCCAACGCCCCCGGCGCGCCATCTACCCCCGGCAGCACGCAGACAAACTTTCAGTCACCGAGACCCGGCTCGCCAGTTGCTTCTGTCACCGACCTGGGCCAGGATCTGCAGCAACAGACTCGACCGCTGCTGAAGGGCATGCAGTCGTTCAAGGTCCTGTCGGAATGCCCAATCATTGTCGTGTCCGTCTTCCAAACGTACCGCACAATCATTCCCCATAATGTGAAGCTGTTTGTGCCGCTGATCAAATCCGTGCTACTGCTCCAGGCCAAGGCCCAGGAGCAGGCCCACCGCGAGGCCAAGGAGAAGGGGCAGACGTTTGCTGGGGTGAGCCCGAACATCAGGAACCGTGCCGCGTTCGGCGAGTTTATCACGGCGCAAGTCAAGACGATGAGTTTTCTTGCCTATCTTCTGCGACAATACTCGAGTCAACTGACCGACTTCTTGCCGACACTGCCGGAAATCGTGGTACGCCTGTTGCAGGATTGTCCAAGGGAAAAGTCTGCAGCGCGTAAGGAGCTTCTTGTGGCCATACGTCACATCATCAACTTCAATTTCAGGAAAATCTTCCTGTCCAAGATCGACGAGCTCTTGGAGGAGAAGACGTTGATAGGTGATGGGTTAACCGTCTACGATACCATGAGACCACTGGCGTACAGCATGCTGGCCGACCTCATCCACCATGTGCGAGACGCTTTGTCTCCCGAGCAGATTCGAAAAACCGTCGAGGTGTACACCAGGAATCTGCAAGACAATTTCCCCGGCACCAGCTTCCAGACGATGAGCGCTAAGCTTCTCCTCAATATGGCCGAATGCATCGCGAAAATGCCGAACAAAGTTGATGCCCGACACTATCTGCTCACGATACTCAACGCCATTGGAGACAAGTTTGCGGCTATGAACAGACAGTACCCGAATGCTGTCAAGCTGTCCAAACTCTATGCTCAGCAAGCCGCTGACCAAGTTCCGGAGAACTACCTCGCTGATTCCTCACAACCGCCTGAGTGGGATGAGACGGACATATTCACTGCGATGCCCATCAAGACCTCGAACCCACGAGACAGGGGCGCTGACCCTGTGGTCGACAACAAGTTCCTGTTCAAGAACCTCATGAACGGCTTGAAGAACACATTCTATCAACTGAAGGCATGCAACGCAGCCATTGCGATTGACCCCCAGAACGCACCGCAACACTGGCAGGAGGTGTCATACGGTTTCTCTGCTGAGGAGGTCAAAGTAATCGTCAAGCTGTTCCGCGAAGGCGCCTACGTGTTTCGATACTATGAGATTGAGAAGCCTGCCTCAGAGTCGGCTTACGCCTCCCCGGTCGAGTACATGGCCAACTTCTACATGGTATCGAGCAGCAAGGAGGAAAAGGACCTTCTGGAAACCTTTGCTACTGTCTTTCACTGTATCGATCCCGCAACCTTCCATGAGGTTTTCCAGCAAGAGATCCCCCGACTTTACGAGATGATCTTTGAGCACACAGCGCTATTGCACATTCCACAGTTCTTCCTTGCAAGCGAGGCTACGTCACCGAGCTTCTGCGGCATGCTCCTGAAGTTCCTCATGGAGCGGATAGATGATGTCGGATCTGCAGACGTGAAGAAGTCTTCTATTCTTCTCCGTTTATTCAAGCTTGCCTTTATGGCCGTTACGCTATTCGCCGACCAGAATGAACGAGTCCTCCTCCCACACGTCGTCGATATTGTGACGAAGTCTATCGAGCTGTCAACCAAGGCGGAAGAGCCGTTGAATTATTTCCTCTTGCTACGGTCGTTGTTTCGAAGCATCGGCGGAGGAAAGTTCGAGCACCTTTACAAGCAGATTCTGCCCTTGCTGGAGATGCTGCTGGATGTGCTGAATACCCTGCTGATGGCTGCTCGCAAGCCAACAGAACGCGATCTCTATGTTGAATTGTGCCTGACGGTCCCAGCACGGCTTAGCAACCTGCTTCCACATCTGAGCTTCCTAATGCGACCACTGGTGGTTGCGCTGCGAGCTGGCACCGATCTGGTAGGACAAGGCTTGCGCACATTGGAGCTTTGTGTGGACAATCTGACCGCAGACTACCTTGACCCTATCATGGCGCCTGTGATCGAAGAGCTTATGAATGCTCTCTTCGAACACCTCAAACCGCATCCATACAGCCACTTCCATGCACACACGACGATGCGTATACTGGGAAAGCTTGGTGGGAGGAACCGCAAATTCATGACAGATGCGCTTCCCGTCACCTATCAACGTTACGCCGATGACCCAGCAAGTTTTGATGTACGCTTGATCGGATCCAAGAGGGACAGAGCATTCCGTGCTGAGCTAGGCATTGATTGCGCCATTCGCAAACTTATGGAGGTACCAAAACCGACCAAGGCAACCGCCATCAAGCAGCACGACGGTTTCTACAAGAGACAGGCCCTCAACCTAGTCAAGGCTCAGCTTAAGTTGCGCATAGGCATGGATAATCTTCCTGATGACCTGCCAAAGCTTGTCCGCCTTCAGGCGCAAGACTTCCTGGCGCGGAAGTGTGAGCATGACCTTTCGGTTTTTAACACGTCGGAGCGTGAGAGGTCTGTTATCAAGAAAGACGAAGAGGACAAAGTCATGAAGCGTCTCATCAAAGCAGTCATGTTCGCCGAGTCATTACCGGAGTTCCACGACGAGGCGGACGTTTTCTTGGTGAACCTGTGTCGACACTTTACCATTATTGAGGTTGGCCGCGGCCTTGTTGAGCTTAAACGCGCCAACAGTCCATTTGACGTGAAGAACGGCGAAGGCCCACTCTTCATTGAGACTCGTATCTTGTGTGATGCTATTCTCGAATCCCTCGCATCTGAAGTGCCAGAAGTACGAGATGCTGCTTTCCGCGCCATCCATGCCATTTACGACTCGACTGTCACCATCTTCGGTTCTGGTACCCAGGTTGGACGACTACCTCTCTTCAACCATCTCTGCGCAGCGTTCTGTCACGGGTGCTATGAGGAAGAGTGGTTTACCAAGACTGGTGGAAGCCTGGGCATCAAGTACCTGCTCACAGAAATAGACCTCGGCGATGCGTGGGTGCTTGCGAAGCAGATGGATTTCATTCGCGCCCTGATGTATGTCATCAAAGATATGCCCCAGGACCTTCCAGAGAACACTAGGAGCTCAGCCCAGGGAACCCTTGAACTCCTTCTAAGACGCATCACAAAGAATATCAAGAAGGAAGACTGCATGCCTACGACACAGCAGCAGGGGCAGCCACCACAGAAGCCTCATCGAATGGCGCAGATATGCGCCTTCCTCAATGACGAGTTAGCTCACATGAATCGACATGTCCGTGAGACTGCGAGACAAGCCTTGGAAATCGTCGCCAAGGCGACGAGCTCTGAGATCTGGGAGATATTGGAACCTTTCAAGGAAAGGCTTCTACACTCAATATACCCCAAACCGCTGCGTGCACTGCCATTCTCGACACAGATCGGCTACATTGATGCCGTTGCATACTACATGGGTCTCAAGAATGACTTCGTGCCATTCGACGACCAGCTCAATCGACTGCTTATGGAATCACTAGCTCTAGCAGATGCTACAGACGAATCCCTCGCCGGTAAGCCCGCCGAGTTTCGAACGCACGAGTCCATTGTCAATCTACGGGTCGCTTGCATCAAAATATTAAGCAAGGCTATGGGATTCGATGATTTCGCCAAAGGCCAGAACAACCCGACAAGAACCAAGATTGTGTCCGTTTTCTTCAAGTGCCTGTATTCGGAGTCAAAGCCAACCATCGAGGCAGCGAATGAGTCTCTGAAAGCCGTCTTGTCGCATACAAACAAGCTTCCCAAAGACTTGCTGCAGCAAGGACTTCGACCGGTTCTAGCCAACCTACAAGATCCCAAGCGCTTGACGACGCATGGGCTGGAGAACCTCGCACGGCTTTTGAGACTGCTTACTACGTACTTCAAGGTCGAGATCGGTGCCCGACTTTTGGACCACATCAAGGTGCTTGCCGACGCAAACCTTGTCCAGCAGATTTCTTTCACCTTCTTTGAGCAGAATCCTCAGATGAAGGTCATTGCGGCGGTCTTCAACATCTTCCACCTCCTGCCACCGGCAGCTGAACAGTTCAAAGAGCGCCTCATTGATACCGTCCTTGACCTCGAAGAGAAGCTCCGACGAACACAGTACAGTCCATTCCGGCCGCCACTGTACAAGTATCTGAACCGGTATCCTCAAGATGTGTGGAACTTTCTCCTGGGGAGGCTTGAGGATATCAAGTACGGTCGTTTCTTGGCCCAGGTTTTGACGCACCCGGATAGCCGTCCGCTCAGAGACCATGCTGCTGCAAATGTTGAAGCCTTGATCAACGCCTGCACGGCGATTGTTGATGCGAACAAGGACACAAGATTTGTGACCGTGGTCAACACTGTCAACATCCTCGACTCGCTAAGCCAGTCTGCTGGCAAGTCCAGTTGGATGGAGCGAAAAGAGACGATGAGCTGGCTCACGAAATCTGGGAAAGAGCTAGAACAGCAGCTGCGCAACAACCAGTTGCCGCCGAGCCTGCGATTGCCTGCTGAACAGGCTGCTGATCAACTGATGGGAATGCTCACGAAATCTCTCTCATTGACCCCATCGGATCTGGACTCGCTCTTCAGCTTAGTGGATTCAGTCACATCAGAGGAGCTCCGTGCTACCCCGTCGCTGTACTCCTACATCTACGAGCACGTTATCCGTAATGATTCTGTCGACTATTGGAAGTCTGTCATCTTGCGCTGTCTCGATGTTTACGCGAGCAAGCAGGCGAGCCAAAAGACGAAGTGCTTTCTTCTTCGCAACATCGTGAACCCAATTGTCGCCATGGACGTTATGAGAACTGGGTATCAGGCAGACCAGCAAACAACTCGAAGGCTCATGGACAAACAGATCATTGATTCGATCAACGCCAAAATCTGGAAGATCAACCTTGGTGATCCGCAAGAAGATCTCGCGCATCCTGGAATCGATCACACTCGCATGGAGGTACTTCAGCTTTCCGCAATGCTTGTGAAATATCACCATGCTATCCTTCAGGATGCGCGGAAGGACATCATCAAGTTTGGCTGGACTTACATCCGACTGGATGACGTGATCAACAAGCATGCAGCCTACGTGGTCATCGGGTACTTCATTGCTCACTATGATACTCCTGCCAAGATCGTAACTCAGGTGTACTATTCGCTGTTGAGGACGAACCAGAACGAGGGTCGCGCTCTGGTCACTCAGGCATTGGAGCTCATGGCACCAGTACTCCCCAAGCGTTGCAACTCGACCCCTAGCGAACGAAATGCCGTCTGGGCTATTGCACCCCGCCGCATCCTTGCGGAAGAAGGCCAAAACGTTCAGCAAATGACGAGCATCTTTCACTTCCTCGTCCGGCACCCAGATCTGTTCTACGAGTCACGCGACAAGTTTGCTCTCCTGATCATCACTTCGCTTCGCAAGATCTCAGCCCCTCAATCTTCCTCTAATGAGAGCAAGAAACTCGCATTGAACATGATGTGGCTCATTTGGCAGTGGGAACAGCGGAGAGTCGAAGGCAAATATGCTAGCCCTGCGAGGTCTTTGTCTGAGTCTCCCAACTCGAGGAAGCGCAAGCTGGATAGTGAGCCAACCTCATCCCCCCCTGCGGCAAGGCAGACAGCTCCCGCTCGAGACTTCCAGATCCCCGACGCATACCGAATTAAGATGCTCAAGTATCTCGTGGAATTCATTGCGCAGCTCAATGAGCGGTACAAGCTTCCATCGGCCAAACCCAGAGATGCAGCTTCCAACGCTGGGCCTGCCCAACCACCTATCTCTACCGAGTTATGTCAGAAAGCAATGGCTCTCCTTTATAACCTCCTTCAGACATCATACTGGGGAGACCTTGATCTTGACTTGTTCCCTAATGTCACCGAGGTAGTGCTGGCCAGCGAGAAGACTTCCAAGATTCTCAATGCAGACCCGAGTGACAAGGACAATTATGATGAAAAGTTCATCACAAATATCGTCAACACACTGCAAGTTGTCCGGATCATCCTGAACGCCAAGAAAGATGAGTGGATCGTGAAGAACATGCCTTCAATCCAGAAGGTGCTCGAAAAGTGCTTGAAGTCTGAGAATCCGGAACTGCAAGATTGCCTACATTTTGCAGACAAGGAATATGACGATGGACGAATCCTCAAGTCGACTTTTCAACGAGTCCTTGATGCCGTACCCGAAGATGTGCCAATGGAGGATGCCGATGCTGAAGGAGAGTCCGAAGCTCCCACGTCAGAGATCGTTACTTTCATGTCGGCAATTGCCACAGAGACGCTCAATGCATCGAATTACGTGTCGGGCGTAAACATTCTGTGGTCGTTGGGCCAGCGCAAGCCATCAGTGATTGACTCTCACATACCTGCACTGATGAAAGCACTACAGCAAAAGCTGGCTCGTGAGCATGTCCAACACTACAGTGCCGTTCAAGCTCAGCAGCTGAATGCGCATGTGCGACCTCAGGAACAGCCCCGTGAGGGTCTGATGGCTGATTATGATCTCGAGATTCAGACCTCTTTGATGATCAAGGCCATTGAAGTAACGGCTATGAGGATGGAGATCCTTGGTGATAACCGTCGACCATTCCTATCTGTCTTAGCCACCCTGGTGGAGAAATCACTGCACATACAACTCTGTACCAAGATACTGGAGATGGTAGAAGACTGGGTCTTCCGATCTGAAGGGACCTGGCCTACCCTCAAAGAGAAGACTGCAGTGCTACACAAAATGCTCTCGTTTGAGCACCGTAGCGACACCACGATGTTGACCAAGTTCCTTGAGCTTGTTATTCGCATCTATGAAGACCCAAAGATCACGCGTACCGAGCTCACCGTCCGAATGGAGCATGCTTTCTTGATTGGCACTCGTGCGCAAGATGTCGACATGCGCAATCGTTTCATGACAATATTCGACCGAAGCCTAAGCAAGACAGCCACTGCCAGACTTGCCTATGTCATTACGTCGCAGAATTGGGACACACTTGCGGACTCCTTCTGGTTGGCTCAAGCATCTCAGCTGCTCCTGGGGGCTGTAGAAGTCAATGCAAACACGCAGCTTCACCAAGACGATTTCCGAACTCTGCCGGCTTCTATGGTGTTTGGAACATACTCCAATGACAGCCGTGAGCCCACGATCATGGCTGACGACAAGTATGATAACTTCATGGCCAGTCACCGCCGCTTTGTTGCAGAACTCAGTGATGTTAAGATTCGTGACATCTTGGAGCCCGTCATACAACTCCAACACATCGAATCCACCTTGGCACACGAACTCTGGGTTACTTTGTTCCCAATGTTCTGGTCCGCTACGATGAGGGAAGAGAAGACAGACCTTGAGAAGGGGCTGGTCAACCTGCTGACAAAGGACTACCATTCTCGTCAAATGGACAAGCGACCAAACGTTGTCCAGTCACTCCTCGCTGGCGCCGCAAAATCGTGGCCTGAGTGCAAGATACCGCCTCATGTCCTGAAGTTCCAGGCCAAGACGTACGACGCCTGGTACACGGCACTTGTTCAACTTGAGAACGCTGCAGTCAAGACAGATATTGAGTCTTCTACTGTTCGTGAAAGTAACCTCGATGCTCTTGTTGAGCTGTACTCGAGCTTGAAAGAAGACGACATGTTCTATGGCACATGGAGGCGACGATGCCAGTTTGTCGAAACCAATGCCGCCCTTTCCTACGAACAGAACGGCATGTGGGATAAAGCCCAAAAGATGTACGAGGCTGCACAGATCAAAGCTCGTACTGGTGCCCTTCCCTTCTCCCAGGGTGAATACATGCTCTGGGAAGACCACTGGGTTCTCTGTGCCGAAAAACTGCAGCAGTGGGATATCCTGCAGGACTTCTCTAAGCATGAGAATCTGCAGGATCTACTCCTGGAATGCGCTTGGCGCAACATCGAGATGTGGCAAAATCAAGAGCATCGCGAAAGCTTGGATCACCTCATCAAAGGTGTTATGGATGCGCCCACTGCTCGACGTGCCTTCTTCCAAGGTTTCATGTCGCTCCTCAAGTTGCACAACAATAAGAATGTCGAGTCGCAAGCTGAGTTCAGTCGCGTCTGTGATGAAGCTGTTCAACTGTCAATCCGCAAATGGCACCAATTGCCCGGACGCTTGACTGCTGCCCATATCCCCATGCTTCACAACTTCCAGCAACTCGTCGAACTTCACGACGCAAGCATCATCTGCCAAAGCCTGGCAGGGACCACGCAGCAAAACTTGGATGTCAAGTCGAATGAACTCAAGTTGCTATTGGGCTCATGGCGGGACCGACTTCCAAATGTTTGGGACGACATCATTGATTGGCAAGACCTGGTCACCTGGCGTCAGCACATCTTCGGCTTGATCAACAGCACATACCTGCAGCTACTGCCTCAGCAAGGAGGCCAGAATGCCAACGGTGCTTCTTTTGCGTATCGCGGTTACCACGAGACTGCGTGGATCATCAACAGATTCGCCCACGTTGCTCGCAAGCACAACTTGCCGGAGGTCTGCATAGCACAGCTCAGCCGCATCTACACTCTTCCCAACATCGAAATCCAGGAGGCGTTCTTGAAGTTGCGGGAGCAAGCCAAGTGCCACTACGAGAATCCAGAAGAATTGTCCAGTGGCTTGGATGTGATTAACAACACAAACTTGAACTACTTCAACGCCCAGCAGAAAGCAGAGTTCTATACCCTGAAGGGCATGTTTTTAGAGAAGCTCAAGCAAAAGGATGAGGCCGACGGTGCCTATGGTACTGCACTCTACTACGACATCAGTAAAGCGAAGGCTTGGGCTGAATGGGGCTATTTCAACGATCGCAAGTTCAAGGATGACGCGACAGATCTGAACTCAGCCAAACAGGCCTTGACATCCTATCTCCAGGCAATCGGCAGCTACAAAGATGGAAAGGCCCGCAAGCTCATTGCGCGCATTCTCTGGCTCCTTAGTCTCGACGATGCCAATGGTACGATCGCGTCCGGCTTCGAGGACTATAAGGGCGAGACCCCGGTCTGGTTCTGGATTACATTCATCCCACAGCTTCTTACCGGCCTTGGCCACAAGGAAGCGCCAAAGGTCCACGCCATATTGCTCAAGATTGCCAAGTCGTACCCGCAATCTCTCTTCTTCCAGCTGCGAACTAACAGGGAGGACATGCTTGCAATCAAGAAGAATCAGGAGGCAAAGGAGAAGCAACGCCAGCAGCATCAACGCGCTCAATCTTCGGCATCGAACGGGAAACCTTCTGGATCACCCGCCCAGGCAAAGCAAGAGAACCAACAGCCCAAGACTGAATCAACTTCTCGACCTCAGACAGCGAACGGCGAGGGCAATGCGCAGACCAAGACAGAGAGCACTGATGACAAACCCACACCTAGTGCTACGCCAGCTGCCCCCAACGCTGCACCTACCGCCAACGGGGAGCAGAAGACAGATCAGAATGCTGCCACCAATGCTGGACAGAAAAAGCCTCCGTGGGAGCTCACCGAAGAGATCATGTCGACCCTCAAGACTGCATTTCCACTACTGGCTTTATCAATGGAGAAGATGGTCGATCAAATCCAGAAGTACTTCAAGTGCCCTCCGGATGAAGATGCATACCGTCTCATCGTTGCTTTGCTCAACGATGGCTTAGCCTATGTATCCAGAATGCCGGCCTCTTACGCCAGGGACGTCAAGCTGCCATCGGGTACTGAAACCAACATCACTCGTTTCGCCGAGACAATTCTGCCCAACCACATCAAAAAGTCATTTGAAGCCGACTTTGTCCAGGTGAAGCCGACAATGTATGAATACATCCACAAGCTTCGCAAATGGCGTGACAAGTTTGAGGAGAAGTTGGATCGCAGAAATCCTAAGGATACTTTGGAGAGGTATTCGCGTGACCTAAGCGAATTCCGATACCAGAAATTCGACGATGTCGAGGTACCCGGACAGTATCTTCAGCACAAGGACAAGAACCAGGATTTCATTCGTATTGAGCGTTTCCTGCCCGACGTTGATCTCGTCCGAACCATTGGCGTTTCTCACCGGCGAATCAAGATCCGTGGCCACGATGGCAGCATCCACGCCTTCGCCATTCAGCATCCTGCCGCTCGACACTGCCGCAGAGAGGAGAGGATTCTGCAACTATTCCGACATCTCAACCAGACTTTGGCGAAGCGAAAAGAGTCTCGCCGCCGCGACTTGCAGTTCACCTTGCCTCTGATGGTGCCTCTTGCGCCACACATAAGAATAGTGCAAGAAGATACCTCTTACATGACACTTCAGGGTATCTACGAAGACCACTGTCGACGAAATGGCATGCAGAAGGATGAGCCTGTCTTGTTTACCATGGACAAACTGCGGGGACTTATTGAACCAAAGGGAGCTGTGAGTTATCAGATACGCGATGTCGGAGTTCCATTTGAAACTAACTCCTCTCAGCAAAAACAGGCCGATACCACGACAGCCCGTCTCGAGGTCTTCACCGCTATCCAGGAGAAGTGGGTGCCTCACACTGTCGCCTTGGAGTATTTCCAATCAACTTTCCCTGAGTTCTCTGAATTCTGGCTTTTCCGCCGTCGCTTCTCGTACCAGTTGTCAGCTCTCACTTTCATGACATACATCCTGTACATGACTGGACGATACCCGCACAAGTTCAACATTGCACGCAGCTCAGGCAAGATCTGGGGTTCTGAGCTTATGAGCTTCATGGCGCCCGCGAAGCCCTTCTTCCACAATCCGGAACCCGTGCCCTTCCGCCTTACCCCCAACCTCCAGACTCTCATGGGTCCTCTCGCCACCGAGGGCATCTTCAGCTGCGCAATCATGGCGATCGCACGATGCCTCACCGAACCTGAGTTCCAGCTCGAGCATGCGCTCACGCTTTTCGTCCGGGACGAGATGATCTTTTGGTTTACCAGCAGCCACAGGGCCATGCACCTCAACGAGAACCAGCTCCGCGAGACTGTCCAGACCAACTGCGACATGATTGTCAAGCGCGCTGTTAGCCTTGCGGCCAGCCCTGTCGGCAATCTGCCTGCCAATCAGACGGTTATTGACCTCATCTCTAAGGCGGTCAACCCGATGAACTTGGCACAGTGTGACGCTCTCTGGATGCCATACCTATAATGCATTTCTTCTTACTTCTCGTTGTTCTTAATATATGCATATACTTGCATGGCCGGTTTGGGGCGTTTCTCCAGCAAAGGGGTGGTCATTTCCTGCAGAAGGCTTTACAGGCGTTTGGGAGTTAAGAAAAGGAACAGGAGAGGACGGCAGTATGTGCTGATGACGAACTCATCTGTTCGATAGGAGATCGAGAGGCGGCAAGAGATATCATTGGCAGTTGGCGATGTACATCTATTCTGGTTCGCGGAAGCTTTCTCCTTGTTTAAGTAGTGTATTACGCGCCACCTTTCAGCGCTTAGTTAATGGACAAAATGAACCGTACTAGCTGTCGCATATAAAATGTGATCATATTCGTTGTCACTTTTTAGGTCGACACAGGTGCATATGTCGCTTTTTGTGGGTTTGTAGTCCGGTCCGCTAGTTTCCCTACGAAACCAGGTTCAGCTTTCAATGACCCTCGCGTGGTCTGCATCTGGCTAAACTTTATCAAGTAACTCGAGCAAGTCTCTTCAGAGATGGTGACCGAATGTCTCTGTTCCGTTCTGAAGCGATGGTAGCCTCCTCATCTATCGCATCGTTCCAAGCTTACTGGAGATTTGAGCAGTCTATCATTTCACTCATGTTTGACTTGCAGATTACATGCTGTACCTACGGGCAAATACCCCATCCTCAGAGTCAGAACCACCTCAGACGAACTCATCTGAAATCTGAATTTGGGTATGGAGCCTAAAACGAAGGAGCCTAAGATTGGCGGGTCGAAGCACCTGGAGAGATTGCTAGGGTTGCGAGAAGACGGTGCTCTGTCGACAGATGCAGTCTTCGTGTCCTTCGACCTCGAATGTGATACGGACCGACACCGACCGAGTCTATCTACCCAAAAGCCTATTATCAGTCAATTTGGTATTGCGATACTCGACACTAGAGACGTCCGTTCTCTTTCTAAATGTTCTGGTCTAGTGAGCTTGATCACAGTCCGTATGTTTCAGAGCAAGGAATTTATGAAGGGAGCACGGGAGTGCGTTTTCGCCCAGACCACTGCCATAACCCAGTACAGGATGGTTGACACCATCATCAAAAGCTTACGCATCATCGAAACTCAAGCACTGGGACCAACGCTCTGCGAAACATAGTTTTGGTGGGCCATTCCTTCAAGAGTGACCTCGATGTGCTGGGAGCTCATGGGTTAGATATCGCCAGCATTGCCCCAGTCCTGACAACGGTGGATACACATGTGGCGTCGAGATTCGTTCTCCCACCATTCCATCCAAATCTTCCGCCCGATTCACGACAGAGTTTCAAGCTCTCTGGTGTTTTGGCACAGCTCGATCGTCTTCAGGACAGGTCCGAGTTCCACAACGCTGGGAATGCCGCCCTCTATACCCTGCGCCTTATGCTCCTCCTGGCCATCAAGAGCGGGGAAAATCGTCAGGCTGAACTCAGTGAGACCGAATCGAAGAATTTGGCGATGTTATCCGATGCGGTGTCGAAGATACTTTGGTTCGGACATCTTTTGTGATGCTTTTCCGGCCTTTTGGGGTGTGGTCAATCCATGCATTGGGGACCTATGAGATGTGTTAGCTAGGTGGTTAGTTCCATCTTGGATGCTCGCAGATTCAACCCAGATTTGAATCATTCTTTGAGAAACATACACTCGAACTTTAATACTGAGAAGGGATGATCACCTCTTGTCCATCCACGGTCGCCCCGCGTTTGGAGGCTTTCAATTATACCCATGCAAGACTCTTGGATTTAGGAGAAGATGGTCGTAACAGTGTTCCATAGAGTACATGTATTAAGTTGTACAGCGTCTACAATGGTAATATTCGGAAGCAAAGCCGAGATCGAATACAACTGCCAAATGGCGTGCATAGGTTGTGCTAATAGCCAGCAAAGTGAGAAGTCACGTGACGCTTACGACGCACGGCGCAAGAATTGCAATCCAGTATCATTCAATTGACCTGCCTATGTACTCTTCGTCTATGCTCGCTTTTTGCGGGAATCATCGTTTCAGTCCCTTTCTCTTAAATTTTAATTAAACTACCCATCTGATCCTGGGGCTGCGTCCATGGCGCTCGATGCCGCAAGTTCAATCTAGATCGCTGTTGGACTGCCGCATCATCAGGGACTTGCCAACCTAAGTGCGCAGACGACCATGGGCTCCCCCCATGGGCAAAACTCAAGTTATCAGACTTTCGATGACGCATTCGAGGACAGGGAGGATACGGATCTCCTGAGAAACGACGATGGCGATCAAGATGGTCTGCTCCCCCGCCATACGGAAAGTTCTCCCAACCCAGCCCAACAGCAGACTGGCGCCATCGCTTGGATGAAAAGGAGATGGTTTATATGGCGCATGTTGGCTCTCCTCACGTTCGGGACTTTCTTAGCAACGTGCCCAGTACCTAGACAGCATGTTTCCCACGTATTGCGTCTGTTACTCATGGCAGCCACGACCGGGGTCGTCTTGGCCCGGCGCCCTTCACGCTGGGCCCTAGGCTCCAAGACGGCACTCGCTCGACGCCTGTTTGTCGCATCTCTGGGTCTTGGCATCTCTGTCTACGCCTTCTTCGGCGTTGCCGACGAAGTACATCTCGAATTCCATCTGCGGTCACTGCTGTGGATCCACGACACATGGGGCTATACACTGCATGCAGGCTATCTGACGAGGCTGTTCCTCGCCGGCGTGGCCTGGCTGATGCTGCGTGCCAGCGGGATTTACTCAACGGCGGCCGTGTTGAAGATGTGGGGTTTGTGTTTCGTCTGGGTCTATGCGGACCTCCCGCTTACTATCTTTGACCTGATGCGGCAGCGGGAGCACTGGTAAAGGTCGCCATAGACGTGTTTGGCGTATATTGGCAGAGAAGCCTGCTGGTTGGAAGCAAATGGTTGAGCGAACCTGTGGGCTCAGATATAAGCATTAGGCGAACACTAATGTTTAGTTACGAATGTAATCCATAGGGTTATACAGCATATATTGTTCGTGATGGACGACTTCCTGTGCTGATACTAATGAGCGATTTGCAGCTGCTCAAGTTATCTAGTCCCAAAACTCAAAGTTCGTTTGATGGCAGGTCTTGATTGGATTAGGGCTCTGAGACATTAGAAACCTGGTTATACGCCAGGTATCATCTCAATGCGTGACGAGCAAGCAATTTCCATGAACTTTTTCCTATACGATAATAGTTTACTCGCCATCCTGGGTAGACCCATCGCAACCCTGAGGTGTGAGTTTGTCATGGCTATCGTATTTTCGGTGCAATATTTGGAGCAGAGCGCACCCTATGATGGCTAATCCTCCAAAAAGTATCAACACTTGATATCCATACGCGTATTTCGGTGCCTCGTTGGTGGGAAATAAAGCAACTGGTATGGTCAGCAAACTCCATCGAACTCTTTTGCCTTTCTTAATACATACGAGGAAGCCAAGATGAAAAACAATATGTAAAGATATTGCCAGTTGCCACCAGTAGTTGCTTAAGATTCGGGTCTGCCCTATTGAGCTCGTTGCCCCATGCCTGTGTAAAAGGGTTAGCGCCAGCATGATTTCCTAAGTGTGATACTTACAATGACTATAGGCTGAGCTGCAGCCCCAATATAAGCTATGTAGTTGGCGAACAGGATAGCTCCCTTTGGCAGGTACCAAACAGATAGTAGGATATTACCCATCATCACCAGGAGCTCCACGGTAATGATTGCAGGAAGCCGCTGGCCCGTCGCGTCCGCAATGATGCCAAAGGTGAGCGCTGATACAATGCTTAGTGCACTGCCGGCAGTAGGCAAGATGTTTGTGTTGACGACACTGTAATCAACGGCAGCCAACCAAAGGTTGAAATAGTTTGTGCCACTCCCAGCTTGGGCAACCATCCTATACGCTCAGTCAGAACCTTTGAGACCATGTACGGGGTATGTGTGTCTTACGTATAGGGAAGGATAAATGCCCAGAGACGCCAATTTGTGTACACCTTTTTTATAGCTTTCAAGGTCAGTCTTTGGGGTGGTCGTTGACCAAGCGCTTCGATCCTCTTGATACCGTACTCCTTGTCCTTTATATGGTGATTAGTTTCGAATTCATCAAGTTTCTATGAATATTCTCACTCCGCTTTTCCAATAGAAAGCTCTGGTAGTGTGTGGCAGGTCGGGAATAGCCCACAGACCCCAAGCAGCGATGGGTAATGAGATTACACCGTCAAATATGAACAGCCCTGCAACATTCAGTACCTGGTTCTCTGCACTTGTCACGGTTCAACAGCTGGGGCTTACATCTCCATCCCGCAAGGCCCAGTTTCCCATTCATGCCAGTGTACAGAGCCGCCTGGAGATAGCCGCTGAACATGCTCGCGATGGCACTTGTCTGCTCAAAGATAGCCATGCGCTTGGACAATTGCTTTGGCCCATACCATCCTCCCAACAGCGCCGCATAGCCTGGGAACGCACAGGCTTCGAGCAGTCCCACCAGAAACCTGAGGACGTACATTGTCTCTATTCTTTTCGTCGCCGCCATAGCCATGACTAAGGAGGACCATAAGATCTCGCAGGTTGGGATCCATATCGATGGGCGCACAAACCGAAGTTGAATCATCTGCGAAGGTATAGTTCCAATGATGATACCGATATTGAAATAGGTATTCAGTAGATTGCGTTCATTGCCGTACAGCGCGAGCTAATTTTCTTGTCAACCCAGTAATTGTTTTTCAAATCAACATAGAAGTTGAATTACCTCATTATAGTTGATATCATAGGGATGCTAATTTATCGGGCGACTTACATCTTTCTGCATCCCGCTCACAAATGCGTTGCCTATTGTGAATAAGTCAGTGATCTTGACGGAATGTGCATTTTTCGAACTTACTATAATTTGTCTGATCTAGAAATTTAATGAAATAACCTAGGCAGATGTAAGAGCTGTCAATAGTGTCAGAAATATGATCCACACTTGAAAAGGTCAGACTGCTCACAATAAGTATGTATCCAACTTCTGCATATATCTACGTTCTCGGGCGTCACCATCAAGCGTATCCCAGAAAAAGCCTGCCCAGCGCCTCCACCTGGACTGACTGCCTCCACTCTGTAGCCTCGATACATCAAGTCCATCGTTTTCCCCACAGTTTAAGGACTGTGTGGTCAGGGAGACAACTCCGCCACTATCTTTGTTGCTAGCCATGGCAGAAAATTGCGAAGGGACGCTAGGTTGCAGCACTGCAATTTAATGTTTTTCAGGTTTCAATTTACATCTTTTCGGGATTCCATAATGCTTTTCAATGGTTGTCTCAATTCTGGTTCCATTTTGTTGGCAACACTTGAGGTAGATCATTGGTCATGACGCAATTTGGGTACCGCTATGGCGACTGAACGGCACAAGCGCGATGGAAGATAGTCCCTGCGAATTGGTTGATTTCGTCGGCTGCGCGTCAATAACTTGGCCGATAGGATGCTGGTATTATCGGAAGTTATCCGACGGCGAGCGATCGTGTGAGACAAGCACGGGATTGCGTGATTCATCATTAAGTGCTTGGGAGTAATCGGTTGGATAATGACATGGCTACCCCACGTTAGCCCATGGGACGGCTTAGCAAGGAGAACAAAACTCTATATAAGACATCTGATACTAAGCCAGTTTTCGATGATAAGTTTTCAAACACATGGTTGAAAAGACCAGTATTATGTTGATGGGGAGTTATTGAACTATACAAATCGCAAATATGACTAGTCTCGAGGCTCCGAACAAATTCGCTGAGCTCGGGCCCGAAAAAGAAATCCGTTTCGAAACTTCGGTAGACTATGAGAGTTCTGAAGTAAATTTTCCATCTCTTTGGAGGTATTTTCGTTGTGCTTTGCTGATCGGGTTGCTTTAGTATAAATACGCTTCATATCTACCCCACTATACTCCTGGGAAGCAACCGCCTCTTGAGGAGTTTGCGCACCAAGATGTAGGACTGCGAGCAGACCCGGAAAAGAGATCTCTGCTCACATCTCCCGGAGCAATCTTTGAGGAGATTACACCAGCAATCGGCACGGAAGTGCGGGGTCTGCAGCTGAGTGCTCTGAATAGCCAGCAACGAGACGAGTTGGCCTTGCTCGCCGCTGAACGCGGAGTCCTCGTCTTCAAGGACCAGGACTTTCCAGACATTGGACCTGAGCGACAGAGAGAGTTTGGATCACACTTCGGGCCCCTGCATATACACCAGCACGGGGGACAGATCAAGGGCTATCCGGAACTCTTGCCTGTCTACCGGGACTTCAAGAGTGGAGCTGTTGATAACGAAATCAAGAATAATGTGAGCAGCATTAAATGGCATACTGACATGAGTTACGAAATGTGAGTCCAGCGCACAGCCTTAGCTGGGAATGTTCTGATGAGAATGATGCTAACGAAGCAAAGTAACGGCATGGGCACGACCATTTTCTTTCCTTTCGAGACCCCCAAGTCGGGAGGCGACACTCTATACCTCTCCACCACGGCGGCGTACAATAGTCTGTCCAATGGCTATCGTCAGCGCTTACACGGTCTGTACGCGACACACTCAGGATTTGATCAAGCACAAGTCGCAGATCATAAAGAGAGATACATCAGAGAGCCAATCGAAACTGTGCACCCAATTGTACGAACACATCCTGTAGGTCTCCTCGGGTTGAAAATGCGCTGGTTCTTGACTGCTTACAACACGATGTTAGGTGACGAAAGAAAACTCCCTTTACGTAAACAGGCTGTATACACGCAGGATTCAGGGCTACAAAGAAGAAGAGAGCGGTATGCGACATTTGTAGTGGAGCCCACAAAGCAAGTTACTGACATGGCTGTTAGCTAATATTCTCAACTTCCTTTACAACCATATTGAACATGGCCAAGACTGGCATATTCGTATTCATTGGACCCCAGGTACAGTAGTGGTCTATGACAACCGAAACACCCAGCAGTCAGTAAACCTTCTACTTACTTTCAATGTCCCTAAACACTAATGCAAGACAAGCTCTGCATTACGAGATTTCAATGTTAAAGAGCACGAGACGAAGCGCCATATGCTTCGAATCACCCCCCAGGCTGAGCGACCGTACTTTGACCCTAATGCGGAGCCAAATATCAACGCGTCGTATGCTGCAAAAGGACATCTTGGCACCGAATAGGCATAGGTTGATTGTGTATAGGTTGCGTAGGACTAGCGCACTAATTGTAGAGCTATGCATCCCTCTGCTCGAATGCTTCAAGTTATCTAAGTAGCAGGCAACTTTATGAATTCAGTCAGCAGTTTGGCCAAACTATTATGTGACATTTCAGATACGTTACTGTTTTCCCACCAACGACACTATCTCTATGGCGAATACAAACGCCGTCATTATACGTGGAGGGTCGGTAAACCCTGGCAAATGTACGGCTAATATTGAGAAACAGTATTATTCTAAGCGCGATACCTCGAGCCTATCTATTTATGGGTTATGCTCTGCAAGCCTCGAAGCAATATTCAAGAAATTAGTTCTCAGCACGACGCCAGCAGCACTAGAAGGTACTTTCTCAGAGTGCACAGTTCCCACGTTCGCAAGCACGCAAACTGCGCAATCTCCTTCCTCTTGCCAAACCAGTCCTGCAGTGAACCCAAGCACGCTGCCGAAATGACCAATCCACTTCGTCCCTGTATCTGGGGCCATTACTCTGAACAAGCCCCGTCCGAAATCATGTGATTCTGTCGTTGGTTTCCAGTCCTTCATTAGGCCCAATGAAGTTGGACTGAGCAGTTTGCCGTCCCGGAGCGCCAAACAAAACTTCAGCATATCTGGTATGGATGAAACTAGACCTCCGGCGGTCCACTCCGTAGATAGGTTCGAGCCAGTAGTATCAATGATGTTATCCCGTACTTCTTCAAATGCATCGTTGATCCCTGCAGCGTCGCGAAACTGACTTGTGGCCGAATGATAACGCCGTGGGACTGTTGCCGAGTTTGGTGGTTCAAACCCTTCCATGTAAGTATGCTCCATACCGAGCGGCTCAAGAATACGCCGGCGTATCTCCTCCTCTGCGGGGCTGTTGGTGACAGCCTCGATTATTAAGCCGAGGAGGGTGAAGTTAGTGTTTGAATAATACCATTGACCAGGATCCGGAGCTTCTATGCGCGGTCGACGAATATAGCCCAGCGGCTCAGTCTTGCTCCATATGTGGTCGACCTTCAACCTGTCCCCCCTACCGTCTCTGATCCACACTGGGTCGTCCTCCCAGCTATCGACACCGGCCCGGTGGCGAAGCAGATCCGAGACGGTGGCGCCTTCAGCGTTTTCGATACCACGGTACACCTCTGGCCGTAGAAATCTGCCCACGGTATCCCTGAGGCCAAGCCGGCCCTCGTCTAATAGCTGCAGGATGACCACAGCTACAAACGTCTTGGTGATGCTACCAATGCCGAAGGAACTATCTTTGTCAATGGGCTTGGAACCCAGTAAGTCTGAAAGACCAGCGTGGGACTGCCACAATAAGTCTTTGGAAGAAGTGATAGCTGCCGCAAACCCAGGCACGCCGGCAGCGATGCCGTTCTCAAGCAATGCGGCCAGCTGTGCCTCAAGAGCTACCCGAGCTGCCGGCTGCGGAGCCATGACAGGCACAGTCCGAAATTCGCAAACCGCAGAAATGCAAGCCCCGAGGAGATAATGGCATACACAGAAAGACAAAGGCGCCCGTTCTAACACTAGGTGGGTATTTGGTGAAAGGGTGTAAATTTGGCCATCCGCAGGAAATGTCCAGCTTATGGCTTGCAGGGTTTCTGGTCAACGACGACCCCGCATATAATCTCTCTCACACTGGGATGAGTGCTCCTCCTACGATTACGCTCTTAACCCAGGCAACCGTTGCCTTGTCTAAACCCCATGAATGCTTAATAGCAGCGGGGGATGGAATTGGTTATATACAGTAGAACCATTTTGCCTTTCGCTGCACATAAATATATTGGAGCCACTGCAGCCAGCGTACGGTCGAATTCGGAGTTGGACGTCCGGCCCGTTTTTGCGCCGTGCTTATTAAGGGTATCCCTTGATCACGATGTACCCGACTTCTCATCAGCAAGTCAAAATTCACGTAAACACTCGGAATGCTGGATCGCGGTCTGAAATCACAGATATGATCGAAAATGTAACCTGAAGAAGCAATGTTATATAGCGCACGCTCACGGTGATTGTATGACTTGTCGCATATTTAGCTATGAGGGACCCTAGATTAATTCTTTGCTATTTTCTATTCTTTAGATGATGTATAGTAGCCAGAATACCGGGGATATCAGAAGAGGCTTACAAAGCCGTTGTAAATGGCAAAAATCGAGCCTTGCCCCTTTCCGAATCGTCTTTGTCAAGGCGTTGTGGCCGATCCGCCACGGCATGCTGGAAATCTCGGATAAACCTTTGCTTCTCAACCCTCCACCAGAAGGCCCAGCCGGCCAAGGTAAGAATGGTCAAAGGAACAGCGACAGCCCAGTATATCCAAAAGTCCGGGGACACGGCGCTGTGACGTGACTGCTGGCTGTCGTCACCGCTGCTATTAGCCTGCCAGTCAAACATACCCATGCTAAACAGCGTCTTGCCGAGAGTATAAAACGTCAGTGATCCACTTTCGTACAACAAACAAGAATGCCAAGAGGTTAACTTACTGCAACGAATGTTCCTGGAAGGTACGCTGCCGTGATGAGTGCAATGATCTTCATCGAGGTGCTGTCCTTGCCAGCCGAGGCCGCAAGCCGCGCACTGGTTTGGCCATCATCCTGGGCGATCGAGGTATATAGCTACAATGAGAATTGAGTCACGCCATCTCCGATAGACTGGGGAATGGACAAGCGAGCGACTGCTTACGGGGACTTACAATGTTCAGCTGGAGTTGCATCCGAGCTTCGGACGTCTGCGTCACCTCCAGACACGACTCGCAGTAATTGCGGACGTAGTCCAGCGTCTCGCGGAAGGTGTGCGCCGCCGCACCGCGGTACACTCCTGCCAGTCTCTTCTTGCTGCCACTGCCGTTGCCGTCAAATAGCCCCAGCAGGAACTCGACGCAGTCGATGTCCCAGCGCGGCGAGCGCTGGGCGAAGATGATCCACGTCGACAGATCGTTGATGGAGCGGGTGAGGCGCTTGGCGCTGTTGCGCTGCATATGGTCGCCCGAGTACAAGCTGTCGTCGGTGCCCTGGTCAACCGTAACCGTCAAATTAGAGCGGCTCGATGCCCCTGTACTGCGATCGACCGTGCGCCGCGAACGTCCGGCACTGGTCACTCCCACATTGCGCTCGACGACTATGACCTGCTGGGTCAGGTCGCCCATAATGTACGCCCGTACCCGAAGGGCGTGGGTGACGAGGAACAGGCAGGGCAGCAGAAGAGGATGCGCCCACAGGCTTTGGCATTCTCTGACTTGTTCGATTAACGCTCCCATCGCTGACTCCGCGGGGGAGGAGGACTTGTCGCTCTGGACCTCCTGGCAGTACTGGCCTAGCCGGAAGGCATCCCCAACGTTCAGCGCCGTTGTGATACCTGTCTTGAAGTCGTGGGAGATGGCGAACCCCCCGATGGATAACTGGCTTTTCTCGGGAGTCCGGAAAATGAGGCCTACCGAAGTTTGTGAGATCGCGTACACTCATCCGCAGCGTATTTTATGTGAATTCGGTACATGGACATACTCAACTTGGCACACTCCTCAATAGAACTTCCCTCCGGATACGTGTGACTGGAAAAGACCCCCGAATACTGCTGGAATGATGTGAAGGTAAGCTCCGGTAACCCGAGCGCCTCGCACACCCTGCCAGTGAAGAGCGCCGTAGGCGTAGCCGCGCGGAAGTTTGATGTTGGCTGCGCGAACAACACCCTCAGACCGCCCTCGAGACTTTTCTTAGTCTCGCCTGGCACGGCCGACTGGGGGGCAAAGGCACCCCGTTGCCATGCCCAGTCACCGATTTGCGACTCATCCAGCGGCGCGGCGGTGAAGTCGTGCGTGTGAACGCCGGATGTCTGAGGTGTGCCAGTGTTAATAACTACAGATTACTATTCCTGGATCAAATGTTGTGACGCTCACATCGCTATGTGTCCACGCCTCCAGATAGACAAAGTGACAGCCTTTCCTGCTACCAGACGTAGCGGACCCCGTCGGATCAGCTGCGAATGCTCTAAGCATCGCATCAAGGGCGGGAAAGAGTTGAAAATCTGGATACTTTCCCCGGTAATGCTGTTGTATTCCGAAGAGATAAACAGCCACAGCGATTTATACAGGATTATGGTAGCGAGATCGTCAGAGGATAATCAGGTAGCAACCTATCTGAGTATTCAGTCAGACGAAGTTATGGCTGAAGTCAGGCATACTATTGGTACAGCGAGGGCTAAAAATACCGGCCTATCAGACATTGCGCTGCTCCACAGGCCTGCAGGCATGCGTTCAATAGGTACCTAAGTATATGTTCAAGTATGATATCCTATATGCGAAGAGAATTCACTCTTAACGCAAACTAATTGCATAGAACTCTCCTATCGGAACATACCCTTGCGAAAGTTGCACCTACAGCAGAGCCTCCCGAGTGACCAAGGGTGCAAATAAGGTGTATTCAAAGCAGCCAAACGAGGATTTGCATCCACTAGTTGTAGCGACTTTCACGAACTCCGCGGCAATAATCCGGTTACAATAATTCATCCGATCGACTTGGGCTGCGACGCAAGGCACTAAGAAGTTGTCCATTGCATTAAAATTGTACCAACAAAACCAACTTCTATTCATCGCCGGTCGTATCTCTTCACGCTCGATAGCCGCTAAAGAGTAACACTCCACGAAGCTCCAATTTGTGCGATACCCGCCGTATCACAGCTGCCTCGGTACAGTTCTGCGCAGCCAAGTAGAGCGTCCTTTCCGTAAACCCCACTATCCAGTCACGATGAGTTCTGGTTCGGACCTGGACCACATATATACGCCCCTTCCTGTTTTCGTAGAAAAGATGACCCCTCATAAATCATCCTCGCGCTCGCAGGGCCAGCGGGGCAAACCCGCGAAAAGCCTGCCTGTGACATTCTCTGACCTTCGTACACACCCGCCGTACAAGTGCTTACCGCCACAGATCCCGATCTTCCTTCGCACCGCGACTGCTCATAGGCCTAGGCCACTCATCACTGAATCCGCCCGGGCCTGGCGCACTTCCCCTCCTTCCGAAACCACCAGCGTCACCGGCGGAGTCTGGTACAGCTAGAAAACCACCGGTGCCGTTTCCTATCATGATACTCTTGCGAGCACCATGCGCCCCTTCTCGCCATCCTGCACCTACGTCCGCGAGGCCATAGCTGCTCAAGGGGCGGTTGTTGGAAACCGTACTGCTGCTCCGTCCATGCCGAGGGCCTTGTCCCACACCGCGCCCTCCGGCGTAGCCTGGATTGTCGTAAGGGTCCATCTTCACGATGCCCCAATCGTTATCATCCTCGCCCTTGGTATACACGGCCAAGGGCTGGTTGAGAGTCAGCATCTGAGGTCCCAATCCGTTGCCCGCGGCGCCCAAATTGCGTTGAGGTTGGGCGAAGGGATTGTTGCTGCTGAATCTTGACTGGGCGCCGAACCCATTACCAGGCGGTGAAAATGCCCCACCGTTGGGGGAATGCCCGCCTGAGTTAGTCGGACTCAAGCTCGGGCTGTTGCCCATGGAGAACATGCGCATGGAACCCGAGCTCATAGGACGTTGGGGGCTGCCTCCGAAGCCGGGCGCAGGCGGTGGAAGTCCGAGCAAGAGATCCGGGAAGTTTTCATCCCGAACATACAGATCCGTCAATTGCGGAAAGCCGCTTGCAAAGAGAGACTGGGCCAGGTAGTTATAGTATCCCTGTGTCAGGCTTGCATAGGGGCTCGCTGAGGGTGCGGCCGTGATCTCATAGCGCAGAGTCCGAAGGGAGAAGTTTGATAGTGGAGGAAAGGTATGATTCAATGGGAAAGGCGCATCCACTTCGTCGATCATGGACAAGGCCTGTAAGTTAAGAGCATTCGCGAGGACGTCCTGAAGAGCCTGAGGGTGCACGCCGGTGTCGTGTAGCGAAAGAACCTTGAGTCGGGTCTGAACGTCGCGTCGCGAGAGATATGCCACCAGTCCGCCGGATGTGACCCGTGGAGTCTCCTTGAGAATGAGCTCCTCAAGCGCTGGGACAGCGGGCAGCATGTCGTTGTGTTTGAAGATATCATCGTCTACCACCCTGCTCTCCGCAACTTTGAGGGCTCGTAGATTTTGCATGGTCGATAGTACGTGGCGTAGGATCTGAGGATCCATGCTAATTCTGCCCAGCTCCAGCACCTCCAGCCTGGTCCACACCGTACCGGTGGCCAGCGCCTCCAGGCTTCGCTCGCTGCCACCGTTATACGACATCTTCCGAAGGTCGGGACATCGAGCTTGCACCTCGAGTTTGAGCGTGGCATACGAGGGGTCGTCGACAAATACACCGTCAGGAAGATCGAGGTACTTGAGATTGGGCAGAACGGCGATTGTCCGGGCCAAGTCAGACGTCTTGGACTCCCTGAGCATGTACGGCGTCTTGAAGTACTGCACCATCTTACCCAGTCGGGTCGGGTCTTCGCGGAGGGTCCGGCACAGCAGTTGAAGGCGCGCGCCCGCAGTATCCTCTGGCACGCCGTTCCGATCGAACCGAGTCTTGCGCTTGCGCTTGTCGGAAAGGTAGATCTCGCGCTCACAGTAATGGACTGCGTCGATGCGTATGCTGTGGTACCTATAGATCAAAGCCAGCCGCATTAGCCTCTGCGCCCGTCTATCATGCCCTGGTGCCAATTCCATGCCCGTTGCTTGAGATCTACTGGGAACCAGTCTCATGATCACGTAGGAATGTCTTTTATACTAGACACCAACAGGGGCGAGCTAGTCGGATCGCAGGACACTTACATGATGGGAACCGCCGCCTTCCTCCATTGCTTGCACGCCATACCCGCGTGGGAGATGTCCCTCAGATCACATAGCATGCAGGCATCCTCGAGCGCGCTCTGCTCGCACGTCTCGTAGCTCTCGTCCTGCGTGTGCGGGCACACAAAGGTGAAGACGCGCTGGAGGATCGGGGTGGGCAGCTGGAGCCAGGGCGCAAAGATGCCGTCGTGCGGCACGCCGGCGCCGAGGCCGTTCTGGTAGTGGTAGCCGGCATCATGGCTGTAACTGTTCTTGTGCGCGCCGTAGGGCTGGCTGGCAGCCGCGGACGAGTAGCGGGGGTCGCGATCGTAGTTGAAGGACTTCTCGGGCGACTTCTCCTTCTTGCTGCGCCGGAACAGCGTCTTCATGGTGAACTTCATGGCTGGATGGGCTGCGGGGCGAAGAGGCGGGGGGGAAGAGAGAGAGACAGAGACAGAGGCAGAGACAGAAAGAGAGAACCCGATTGGCAACGCTCTGCTCTTCTTGCAGATTACATTAATGTAGGGAGGTAGGTATCGGCACCTAGATAAAGGTACGCAAAGTCAGCAGCAGCTGTTGGGACAACAAGCTGGATGCGACGAGATGCCAAGACTGCGCAGGATCGCAAGTCTATGCCGTTGGTGCTGTCGGTCGGGGTGGCGGCCAAGGCGGCTCCAGGGTGCTCTCGTGGACGCGTGGGTTCGTTGTAGATCGGTGTGCTGGACTGGGGGATTTTTGGACTTTTTTTTTTCTGGACGTTCTTTCTGGAAGCTGGGCAGCCGAGTATTACTAGATTGCTCGATGCTGAAATTAGGACGTATCCCCGCGGCGGCCGGGGTGCAGCTCGGGATGGTGTGGTGGAGTCTCACTGGAATTTGGGGGACTCCTGCAGCTTGCGTCCTTCTTTCGTTGTTCGCTTGCTGTAGCGCTTCCTTGACACCCAATCAATCGATTGAGGGGGGCTGCAGCAAAAAGAGGGCCAAAGGATCAGACAATGGGGGCGGGATTGTCACTCATCGGAAAGGAGAGAAATAAAATAAGGGTGAACGGCAAGTGACCACATGTAGGTCGGAGGGTGGATGGTGAGGAGCGACAAGCTGACTGACAGATGGACGGGACAGACGGACTGACTGAGAGCCCGCATTGGAGTCGAGAAATTTGGATCGCTGCAGGCTGCCCAGGGACGGAAACGGGAGACAAAGAGACGATGGGATTCTGGCGGCCACTTGCCTCTCCCGTGCTCCGCAACCTTGTTCGCATGATGCCCCATCCAACGCGAGCTTCCTCACGACGCGATACGCCGACCTGCTCACCTTGACTTTCCGTAGCGCTTCGCCCGAGGCAGAGACCAAGGGGCGCCGGTGCCCCGCCCTGGCCGCCGTATCTGGGATGGACCCGATGACAGCTCAAGGCCCCTTCTTGCCCTTGGACAGATCGGGACGCGTTTCTTGCACATCCATGGGACTGATCTGCACCAGAGCCTGGGGTCGCCGTGTTTCACGTTCTAAGGGAATGTTTGCTGGACCATTGACGTGACCAGGGGCACCCCTACGAGCCAGCCTTGGCCTAACGGTTGGTTGAAGTTATTGAGATCTCCCTCCCAGGCCCCAAGGGCCCCTTTATTATACTGCCGTGTAAGCACCAGAGAGCGCAAGCGCTCGCCCACCTCGCCTCCTGCACTCTGCTAGTCATGGCGAATCTTAATGGGCGCCTTCCGCAACTCTATCCGTTGTCGCTCTATAAACATGTTCTTAGGGCTGAAGGCAAAACCGAGGTCCACTGCGCCAAACACGACGTCAGTCGATGCGGCTCTGGCTTATATGTACCTGTCGCCCCGGTCGTTTCGCTGTTGTGGGCCAGGCGAGACTAGTCAGTCCAATATGAGGAGTGGTGTCCGTCGACAGCGGCGAGGAAATCTATCTATATCAGGCGTATAAATAGGCAGTCAGCCTGCATCCACTGACTGTGAGGTGACCTCCCGGGGCCGCAACCCGTCAGGCCGCCCTTCCAACAGCCGGTGACATTTCCAGGCTTTCGGAAATAGCCCCCAGCTTACCATCATTCAGGATGGTGTGGACTTCATCTACCAAGCCTCCGGATATGTAAAAGTGTCGTATTGCTGCGCAGTGCAATGCAACTATGCGCTTCCTCGCGCAGCATCAGCAACATCAGCAGCACCGGAGTCATGTGCCGTTCAAATGATACGTTCTTGAGGTATACACAACGTAACCTTGCATGTTGGCGTTGTAGATAAAATTATGAACCCCTAAACAAATGCCCATACTATTAATGCATTCTGTAAGCGTGCCTACTTAAAGCGTAAATGACATACAACAAACAAACAGCGAAACGGTCCAAAACAACCAACTGCCAGCTAATGCGATTGCTATGCAATGTCGACCCGCTTGTTGCGCATCACCCAAGTTGAAATGCAACCTGTCTAATGCCTTCAAACTACCCGTTTCTCCATGTACTCTGCTTGTTCTCAGCTTTTCTTCCCCTTTCCTCGACGTTCAGTAGAACCCGACATTGGGATCGGCATCAAGCGGCATCAAGCGGCATCACTGCTGAAGGAGAGACTGATCGCGGGTTTTCCCCATACCGTGTCGTCCATCACTCCCGATAACTAATCTGTCTTGCTCATTTTCCTTCGTAGGCGTGGATTATAGGTGGCATCTCGGCGTGACTAGTTGCCGTTCAACTGGATGCCATCTAGCGGACTCGCAGGCCCAGATACCTTCTTCGTGCGGAGCGTCAGAGGGAACGGGTACTCGTCAGGGTCTTCCTCCTCACTAGATCAAATCAGCTATCAGCTCTCAGTAAATGGGGCGCGGTGTGACTTACGGAAGCTTCCAAGCTACATAGTCCTCGGTGCTCAGGCCTTCTCGGCCCTCCTGCAGACTGGCAAAGTCGCCAGGAGTCATCATGCCGCTACGGTCACGAGGAGATCCTGGTACAGAGAACGGCCGGGAGATCTTGGTCTCGACACCTGGGATGAAGTCTTCCTCCTCGTCACCTGCAAAGGAAGCGGGGTATGCGCGGCGGAGAGCCAGCTGCCGGGCCTTGACGTACTCCATGCCCATCCTCTTCCAGTCCAGCAGATCACTGAGACGCTCGGTTCTGTTTCTCTGGTTGATACGTTGGCGGCGACTCTTCTGGCAGAAGTCGAACATATGCGACGTGAGCTGGTTGACCGAGTCATCAACTCCCTTGTTGCGGCGATCGACGATGTAGATACCATAGTCGCTCGAGTTCTCGATCAACTCCTCCATATAGCAACCGAATCCGGAAAGGTTCGTCGTAATGCTGGGAACACCCATGACGGTACACTCGGCAGGGGTGTAACCCCAGGGCTCGTAGTACGATGCAAAGACGCCCATGTGGGTACCGCGGACGAAGTCGTCATAGTCGAGGGGAAGGACGGGGTTGGCCGAGTTCAAGAACTCGGGGTGGAACACAATCTTGACGCGATCCGTCGGGTGGTTGAAGAGCTGAACCCGACGAATCTGGTTTAGGATCGGGTCATCGTTATCGTTGACCATGTTGTGAGTAACAATGGGCGGCAGGCCATGTCGCTTCATGGCGAACAGACGACGTCGAATCAGAACTCTGTCTGCACTGGTGATCAGCTCCTTCTCATCGGGCATCGGGTCGCCATCGTGCCACTTGAGAGACCTCTCGTAGATTCGTCGACCAATTCCTCGCTCAATGACATCGACAGTGTCCCTCAGAGACTTGATAACGGCCTGGCCCTTGAGGGCCTCGACCGTGAGCGAAGTGGTTTGCGCGGGCATGATGATGAAGGCGACGACCGTTGTCTTGCTGCCAGCCGACTTCAGTCTGTGGTTCAGGCGTGCCAGAGACTCGATAAACATGTCCACACCCTTATTCCTAAACTCGTAGCGACCGGCCGTGAAGAAGTAGAGCGTGTCCTCGGGAACAAAATCGTAGTGGCCGTAGAAGTGGCCCCTGACGAAGTCGTGGATCTTCTCCTTGGACTGTTGGTGCAAGTTTTGGAATTCGTGCATGGCAGAGAACTTGGTGACATTGAGACCGTTGGGCAAAACACCATCAGGCTTGCGCTTTAGCAGATGTTCACTCTCGAAAGCCGTAATGTGAGAAACCGTGGTGAAGACGTCACACGCATGTGCAGCAGCGCGCTCGATGCAGTATCTGTGGTAGATTCCGCGCTTGCCGGCCTCGGCGTCGACATCGAACCATTGCAGGTTGTTGTAAAAGTCGACGGACCCAGCGCAGAGGTAGCGACCGAGTAGAGTAGCGTGGGTGGTGAAGATGGTGGTCACGTCGATGCGGCGCTTCTTGCAAAGCGGCAGGGCCACACCGGCCAACCACTCGTGGAAGTGGGCAATGACGGCTCTCGTCTTCTCATGGCAGACATACTGTGGGGGCGGGGAGTTAGCAAGAAACTCGGCGCGCATAGCTTGGCGCATCACAACTCACCTCTCCAAGGAACCATGCCACGAGGTATCCGAAAACGATGGCCTCGTTTGTCTCATCATCGTTGGGGGGAGACGGGATGCCGGCAGAGTTCCACAGGTCGGATTTCCACTCGTCCATGTACTGATATGCCGTCTTGGTGTCGATGAGCAGAACGCGGGGAGCACCTTCGATCAGCCAACGCCCATAGAGGATGCCAATGCCGCGGCTCTTCATGGCATCGATAGATTTTGCCAGCTCCGGGTTGGCGGGCTCTAGCTCTTCCACCTCGACCGCAGCCTACGTGGGAACGGGGTTAGCTTAACCCATGCCAGGACGTGAGCGACTTACCGAGTTATGGTTGAGGGGACCGATGAGGGTGTAGCGGTCGCCATATTCCGCAGTTGTGACAGGAGCTTTCGACTTGATGACCGAGTAGATACCACCGACTGGATTCACCTAGTTAGTCGACCGGGGCAGACAGAAAGATGAGAGCATGGTTGCCGGTTCAGCGCTTACCTCGGTGGGCGACTTCAGTGGCGATCTCGAAGAGAATATGGTTCTTGACCTCGCGGCTGGGCCGATCCTCGTTGTCACCCATTGTGTCGGCGGCTGTAGCTTCGAAGCTGAGGAGAGATGAACAACTGGCACGGAGAAAGCAGGTTAGCAAAACAGGTGGTGAAACGGGACGCGACGAGCTCTATCTATAGATTGGCAGAATCGGCCAAGATCAATTAAGATCAATTGGTTTCCAACAGGGATCCCCGTGACAGGCAAATCGACAAAGAGCGCCGCCGATTAGAGTTTCGAATGTCTCAGCGAGTGGCTGCCAAACCTTGAACTCCAAATGCATGACAGCAACGTGGGTGGGCAAGGAGGTGAGGGCTTACAGAGAAACGGGCAGGCCCAAGCTCCAGGAGGCGCGAGCGAGTTCACGGTACTGCGACGTCGGTCCGTCAATTGGTGAGAGCGGCAGAGTGGACGATGCGCCGGATTGTGCCAGGGAGGTCGGGATTTGGGGGACGCAACGAGATGTTCGCTTGGGAGGAGAATGAGGAGGAGGAGAAGGAGGAGAGGCGGCAGAGGTTCGTCCAAACCGAGAGCCCAAAGCAACCCCGTCGAGCCGTGAGCTACAAATTGAGCTAGCTAGCAGATCCAATGCGACCTGCACTCTGGTCTGGAGCAACGCGGAGCGAGAGAGAGAGACTTGAGAGACATGGCATCACGGTGCAGGCATGTCCAGGCAAGCTCGCCCCCAGCCCGGCCCACTTGGCGCCGCCGCCCTGCTGGTGATTGGGGGGTTGGCTACCGTGGTAGGGGCCGCGGGCACGGGCGCCAGGCGCTAATCCCATTCTCCATGGGGGTCTTTAGGCCCAATTCGGGGGGCAATCCCGCATCCCATCCCATCGAATTGTGAGAGCCTCATCACTCAGCATAGCGGGCTGCTGCAGCGTTGCGCCTGTGCATGCTATATGGCATTGTAGTTCGGCCCTGTGCCTGGGCCTGTCCGACCTGACTGTGCAGCTCCCGTGAGCAGAATCATAAACCTCTGGTCTCCAACAATGGACCCACGCATTTACTCACTCACATCGAGCGCGCAGTCAGCTCAAGGGGTTAGTCAGGGCCCGCAGGATCATCCCCGTCACTCTCTCGTGTCTCTCGTCTTTGGTGCTGGACTGGGCCCCTTGTTGCTGGCCGTTGGCCGTATCGCCGATGAACCAGGCCATTTTGCCCAGTTGTGGCTGGCAAGGTTCGCCGCAAATTGCAGTGAGCGCCCCCCAACCCCGGTCAACCTGCAAAGAAAAAGAGAAAGAACGAAAAATTCGTTGATCTCTGCAGCTCTGTGTGACATGGGCCGCCACCCGCATGGCTCGTCTCCAGAGATCCCGTGTTTTGGCGACGCCGTCCTGCCGTGGGTGGTTTGGTGGTGTCGCTGCAAGCTCGTGGGGGATCCTTGGTGGCCTAATGCTGGCCGCCGAGCCTAGCCACCATGAGCCGGACCAGGGGCCACCGGGCCCTTGGGCCAGACCGACGAATCTACTGAAATTGCAAGCAAGAATTCCCATGAGAATTTTCCTACAAGCCCAACCACACGGCAACCCCGTGTCCTTCCTGGCAACGAGGCTCGCCCGACGCCGGACCCAAGTTGATTTCGCGCGGGGGCGCCTCTATCATTTCTCCCACAGTATCTCGAACTCCCGCCCAACCCGCATCTGGGAGGGATACTGGCATGGGGTGCAGGTCAGGGTTGGCGGAGCGATGCATCCATTGCAGTTCGTTTTTCGCGGGGCACCGCAAAAGATGGCCCTTCTGTGGAGAAGAGGATCAGCTGGCCTTCCATCGTCCGTTCCGCAGTCGAGTGGTCGCTGAGCGCACTCGGCGCACTCGACTCGGCTCTACTTGACTGTGCAACCCAGCTTTGGGTATGACATCACTGTCATAGCTCCCTTGTAGAGTGGGGTTCCAATCTGTCTCGGCAGGCGGGTGAAGTTCCAGACCAGGTCGGCCCACCAACGCCTGGCGCTATCTCCTAACCGGGTAAGGACCTGTCTTCGGCGGCATCCGATGCAACCCAATCAGCGGTAACATTCTCGCTGTAATTGCGTAATGGTCACAACGGGAAGAATGCCTTCTGTTTCAACAAACAATAGGATCCTGTTACTTGACGACGAGGTCCTGTGGGGACCAACCAGATGGAAGCATTCTACACGAAAGCCAAGAACTACTATTACTACTACTCCTACTACTACATATTGATAGTCGATTGGAACTATACACAAGCCTGTCTCCTCTTGCCCCGTGTCCTGACAGCTGCAATGTCTCGGGAGGCGTGACCAGCGCTTGTCAGTCAGCGATCAGCCGTCATGCACAAAGCGGCAGCTTATCCCGAGACACGGCACCACGTGGAAATGTCATCCCATCTTTTCCCGGCTGGACTCAGCACAAGAAAACGGTTCCACATACATATGCAGTCTGTCAGCGCAGAGTATAAGCACCCGCGGGAACTATAAGCTCTCCTCTCACTTTCCACCCTGGCCACCACGCCACGCTTGAGTGGATTCCCAATTGTGCAAACAGTAAGCATGCTGGGCCGTGCATAGCCGCGAGCTTATGTGTGTAAGTGAGAAAAAGAGAGGCAGATTTGACTGTCACTATTACTACGAGCAGCCACAGAGAGTCTCGTCCCGACTTTTTAAGCTCAACACGTTTTCTGCATGTCTGTCAGCTGTGCGTGTAAGTGCACCACAGCTATACTTGCACTTGGTCCTCCCTCCACATGTTGCTTAGAAGCAGAAGCGGAACGGGCCCATGCATCAGCATCAGCAGAAGCCGACAGCTGTGTAAGGACGCGAGGCAGCAGTCTAAGCGCAGGGTCTAGATCCATCGCACTCATTGGTATCCACGCATTATCAACATCAATGGTCGTAGAATCGAAGCATATGGCAGTCGCCCATGTTACGCAAACACTGTCCAGCCCGGGACAGCGCGGGTAAGCGACACAAGGTCGACATAGAAAACAGCTCTAATTTAGGGGTATACCAAAGTAGCACTATCATATATACACAGCCTGACCTTGGCAATAGTCTTCCAAGTGAAGGGCTTAAAGACATAACGAAGAAACCCGTAGTAGTGCGTGCGTAACAAAAACGAATCTACGAAACGCCATCCCAATGCAGTTTCTGCTCCCAAAAGGATCCACGCCAATGACGCTCTTCAGATTCCCTGAACCTTCCTGTACGATGGCGGCTTCATTGTTCTCCTAATCAACTTGCCCGCATAAGGGGGTATCAGCGAGATAGCCGCGATGGCGAAGACGCGCCAGACGAAGCCCCTGAATTGAATATTTTAGCACGGTTGATGACTTATGGACAGGGTTAGATGTTTACTCACCAGCTCAAAAGGAAATCTAGATCAAAGTACCCGCCGAGGAAGGGCACCGAGGCAGCATAGACGAGGAATGTTCCAACAATGCTCAGGATCATAACGGGGTGCCAGGTCGTGATCTCAATGCCGACCATGAGCAGTTCATTGAGAATAAGAACTGTGTAGCTGACTGCGACCATCCTCGGCCCGTCGACTTCGGTAAGAATCTGGGAAAGGCCTTGTATCATACCGCCCTGGTAAATGGAGACTAACACCCAAACGAAGAAGGTGCGGTACGAGAGAGACCGGCCAGATGTGAGTTCTTTGTATAGCTCAGGGTATAGGTTCGCTAGATTTTCGTCCACATCCTTGTCAAGGACCAGCGACAGAACGGGTGCAGCAGTATACACCGTGGCATAACCAACCAGGAGCCAATCCTACAACATCAATGTTAGAGGCGAGCGTCAAGTGGATGGCTTGGAGTTCTTTTTACCTTGTATAACCCTTCGGGTTCAAATTTGATCGCGATGCTGTACATTGTCTGGCAGACCGCGACAATGAGACCACGATGGATGACGAATTGGGCAAGTTTAGCGCTGCGTTTGTAGCTGTTTCGCCCATGCCAAACCAGAAGCTTCGTGAGGTGACAAAACTGTTCGATGGAGAAGTCGGCAGCCAAACTCGCCTGTCGTCCTTCCTTTCCAACGATACCCACACCAACATCTGCGGCCTGAATCATGGAGACATCATTGCCACCGTCACCGATACAGCATACTCGCTTCTTGGTATACTCCCTGATCAACTTGGCGACCTCGGCTTTTTGCGTCGGGGAGCATCGACACGCGACAACCGTTGGCAGGAGTACAGCAACAGAGATGAACTCTGTCCTGAAGTGGGTCAGGAACAGAGCCAGGCTCTCACCATCAATGAGCAAGCAAGAGTCAGTCTTGCTTCTGAGAAAGTCCAGATGGTCCTGGGCATTATCCTTCCTCTTTAACTTGGCGATCGTGTAGATATACTGTCCTCGAGCAACCAGCTTCGAGCTGACAGCAACACATCGAGCAGTCTCGACCTTGTCACCTGTCAACATCCAAATCTTGATGCCCGCGTTGCGCAAGAGCTCGAGGGACGGCTTGACATCCCTTTGCAGCTTGTCCTCGACACCAGTAACTCCTAGCAGCTCCAGGTCTCGTTCAAGATGCTCGGAAACTACCCTTTGCATACCTGCGTCACGTCCGTTGATCGCGAGTGATGCCTCTTGATAACTGGAAGCAAATTCTCTATACTGGGCCGGAGACAGTTTCTTGCGACCGACCACGAGAGTTCTCAAGCCTTCCCGGGCCATGTTGGCAGTCTCTTCGTCAAGCCAGTCGTTTGCCGCTACAATGGACGACATAACAGTGTCGGCACCTTTCTGATAGAACCATGTCTCTCCGTGATTGGGATCTGGGCTGGTCTGAGCGCGCTCATAGAACTGGACGATAATTCCCATCCTCTTGCCTTCGGAAGTGAAAGGGAAGACATCGAGGATCTTGACCTGAACAACAGCCTTTCCAGTCTCGGTGGACTCCAGGATCATGCCTTTTCGGTCTCGGTGAGCCAAGCGAAGGCCGACAGACTCAGTCCAGCGAACGATGGCGATTTCATCAGGCGAGGACGCCTGGTACGAAGTAACCGTCTGACCGTCTTCCTCCTCTGTGGTAGGGGTAACATTGTGACACAGAGCGAGGGCTAGGACGACGTCGCGGACTCTGGATCCAATCTCTCGCCTAGTGCGAGTTGCTGTGACACCAGCTGTCGTACTGTAGGCCGATGATGGCGTTACCAACGTCTTCTCGGTCGCAGCTCCGGCGAATCCATGCTTGACGTATGCTAAGACCTCATCCATGGCGTCATTGGCATATGATACTGTACCGACGTGGATCTTCTTCATCTCCATCTCATTCTGGGTGAGTGTCCCGGTTTTGTCGCTCAGCAGATATTCAATACGGCCGAGGTCTTCTGGGATAGTACTCGTTCTCACCACGGCGCCTGGGATCCCTGGATCTCGTTGGATGAACCAAGAATAGACACTCTTGCCCAGGTCCAGGTTGACCCGCAGACTTATGGGTACGATAGTTGAAAAAAGAACCAAAAACCGCATTATTTTGACGTACCACACGTTCCCCTCCGTGTTGCCGAAGCCCTCTAGCGCTACAAGAACAATGGAGAGGCCGAGCGTCAGAGCACAGAGGATCTTAGTCAACGAATTAATCTCAAACTCGAGCAAGCCCGTCTTGGACCGAGATGGTGAAGTAGATAGAGCAGAACGGGTTTGGGGACCGGTGTACAGGATGAGTGCCAACGTCGTAGCCTGTGACGCAATAACCGTGTTCGCCCAGGCCGTGTTGTCGATGGAAAGCGGAGCGGAATTACTCCTATCGCTGTCATTTTCTTCATCTGGGTAAGGATTGAGCGCTTGTTGTCTGGTCGGTAGCAGTTCGACGGTCCCAATGAACTCGTTCACTTTCTTGTCAGGTTTACCGCCATTGACCCTCAAACGAACCAGCTCCTCGACGGGTAATTTCTGCGTGAGACCGGAAGCGAGGCGAAGTTTCCAGTCCGTCTCACCATCAAGCTGGTCAGTCCGGATGAACGTCTCTCCACTTGGGTTCCCTTCGTCGGTTGGGGTGCTATGCTCCGTTGCCTTCCCCTTGCGTGATGTCGAACCATTCTGTTCCGTATCCACCAAGAGCGATTCTTCCTCAACTGGTTCCGAAGTCTGCGGAGGGGCGCCGCCAGCTCCTTCGGTAAGACATTTCAAGATAACCACGTCCGCTGGCACACGTTGTCCTTTGCCCAGCTTCAACACGTCACCCACACGGAGGTCGCGAGACTTCTTGCTGATCTCCTCGACGTAGGAGGACGGCTGGCCTAGCCCCTGGCTTTCGGTCTGCTCCTCTTCTTCCCGAATATCCGAGAGCCTGTCCCGGTTCAAGGGTCGTTTCTGGCCTTTGCGCATAGATGAGGACTTCAACTTCCGAGGTGAGCGCGAGGCTGGGTGATCCTGAGGGCCAGGCTCGTCGAAGCGCAAGACTGTGTATTCCTCGGAGTTGGCCTCGTTGTCCCTCCGCCTACGCTCGATGTCGTCATACGCTTCCTTCCCCATCGTGATCATGAGGACGAACGCTAATGGAGCGACGTAGGTACTCAGATAGCCTATCCTCAGTTGCGGGATGGCTTGAGACAGAGCAACGAGCAAGAAGTACATGTTGAAGAAGAAGGAGAATTCGTTGTACAGTGTGACGGGCAGGAAGGTGAAGGCCGTGTACTTGGCGTTGGAGACGATATTCGGCGGGAAGCGGGTTGCCTGGGCAGCTCCAACCGCGACAGCTCGAGATGCTGAAGGGTCGTCGTCCTCCTGTTCCGCCCCATCGTCGTCGTCGTCTTCGTCTCGATTCGCGCTGGTGTTGGACATGAAACTGGGCAGTCGGAGGGAAGCGCCAAGTTTCTGCATCCTGTCGCCGGCCAACGATCTCTTCCGGCGCGAGCCCTGGCCATGCTCGTTGAGCAGAGGTGCATCGTCGCCGGCGTGGCCGCTTCCGTCCGAGTAGCGCTGTGGCTGGCCGTCGCCGTCGTCTAACAGGCCCATCGCATCCTCATTGCCGTCCCTATCGTGGCCGAGGTCGCCATAGCCCCGTCGTGTTCGTCCACTGGCTCGCCTCGAACCACCCATACGAAGATTCCGTAGCGCAATGCGCGGGGCTCGCTGTTCAGGGCTCGGGTTGCGTCCCAGGAGCTTGGAGCCGGGGCCGTAGGAGGAGGAGGAGGAGGTGGTGGTGGTGGTGGTGGGATCTAGCTCCTGGAGGTCGAGATCGGCGTCCGAGTCGGAATCATGGACCGGAGAATCTGGTGGTTCCGTCGGGCGATAGGGGCTTGAAGACGGCATTCCCGCGTCGGGGTCATCCCCAGCAGATGCCGTCAAGGAAGCCGCCGGGAGAAGGGAAAAGTGTAACGGCTGTGGCGCCGAGGGCGAGGAAGGTTCAACCAGCTACGTGGGCGGTCCGGAATCCAGGCAAGTCGGCAATATGGACGTGTCGGGAGACGTCGTACTCAGGGTTGGCGATGGATGTTGCTAAAGGTACGGGAAATCGCTGTCGAGGTCGGCGGTAAATTGAAGCAGCGCTGCGCCCACAAGGGAACGGTCCGCTGGCCGTACGAGTTGGCAGTGTGGTTTCTACTGTTATGCGATACAGTTTCAAATTAGGCAGAGGTTTGCTTGGAGGCATGTGAGGACACTTCTTTTTGGGAGGTGACGAAAGCATGGGATCGCCTTCAGTGTTGCACCAGACAGTCCTAGGGCGCTTTTCGGGGTCCTGGCTGGCTGGGCTGGCTGGCATTGGGGGGGGGGGGCGCCCTGTCATTAGGCCACGCGTGGCCTCTCCATCGTTCCACCACCGTCCCCGCTAAATTGGGGCGCCCGTAGGTACCTGCTGCAGCGAGACAGCTTACCTACCTAGGTACCAGGCCTACCAGGCCTACCTTAGTACGGCGCGGAGGTGGCAGCACAGGTACGTACCGTTTCTCTACGTATGCAGATGCAGCAATCCCCCCTACCACGACGCTCGGTAGATGCTTACGTAGCTGGGCTGACTCCAACCTGCTGGCAACAACTATGGATAATCAGGCCAAGGGACGAAGTGGGAAATAAGAGTTCTATCAAATCATTGTGTAGGTTACGAGGATAATCATGTATATATAGAAAACCACGTCTGGCGCCCGAACAGTCCAAATTGCAATGGGGTTGAACTGTGTTGTTGAGCGAAAGTTAAGCATCGTCAACATTGGGGACCAGCAGCTTTTTCACTCTCTGGATCTCTGGGTATACGCAAACGCGCAGCCTGTTCATCTGTTTCTCCAACCCGACCTTCACGTCTTGGTCTTTAGTAGCCCTAACAATCTTCCTGATCAAAACTTCCACGTCTGTCGCACAACACATGCAATCTCGCAGCTGGTGCTTTACATCCTTCGGCTCATTGTATTCGAGGGACTCTATCCTCTCCACGATGTTGCAAACCTCGCCACGAAGCAGAGAAAATAGCTTCTCACGTTCGCTGTCATTCTTGGGGTTCGCGAGTTGGACCAGCTCCTGTTCCAGCTGCCGATGATGCCGAGCCTGCTTGGGGTGCAGAATATTGCGTACCAGGGACTGCACAGACTCGATCATTCTGTGTGTCGATATAGGTGAATTCTTGAACTGTAATGTGTGGCCTGAGTGGTGTTATCAGGGGAGGTAGTATTGCATGCCAGTGGGGTGGGCAGGAGTTACAAGCGTAAGGAAATACACACTGGTTCACTGCGGGCGGCTCATGAATAGTGACCCATAAAGAGGCTCCTGTACAACTCGGCTTGATGTTCGCTTGTTTCCATTGTTTGAGCTTCTTTGAATTTTGAAATGCTCTGAAGCCACCATGCTTTTGGCTAGAGCGTTCCTTTCTCTAGCCATCGCCGAACTTTGCATTCGCACCATCTCTATACCAAACTTCAAAACTACCAAGTCTATTACAGGACAGCCTGAATAGTCTACACACTTTGGTAGCCCTTGCCATAGATCATAAACGAGCTACTAGCGCTACGCGGATGAAACACCGTCTATGAGTGGTTGCCGTCTGACAATGATGTTGTTAAGGACTGTTCATTTCCGTTTGGATGATAACAATGTCAATCAGGAGGACTTACTATACCATTATAAAGACCACAAAGTAGCTCTGTGGCTTGCTTCATAACTTATGCATAATGAAGTTGTTATTGCCATCATTACAAACACATATAAGCACCCATTGGCCAGACTCACGCTAGGCCGTTTGTTCCGAGAGTCCAGGCCCATAAGATTTGAGCCTGGTAGCTTGGAAGAACCCGTACCATGGCTCTCGGGAGCAAACAGACGAAACCAGCCTCTCGCTGGAAAAGACTTTTGAGGTCTATTCGCTTGAAAATCCGCATGCGTCTGCTGGCCCGAAGGGCAAAGAAATTGTCCCAAGATCAAGCGTCTGCGAGTAGTGACTTTCAAATCAGTCAACCTCCACGTGGTTTGCGAGGCAATATCACTCCAAGGATGGCTCAGGATGTTGCGAAGCAGCTTCGAGATGAGTACCACACATTAAGCGATGCTTGGGAGAGTTTCTTCCACAAGTATAGTGAAGAATCCGTATCTAGTCCTCTGTCAACCAGACATCTGCTCGAGCTTGAGGAGCTGGAGCGGGAGGTCGAATGGGCGGTAACCCGCTTTGGCCAATATGTCGTTGTCGAGAATGAAATGGTCCGAAATGCTGCCCGCGAGCAGCTCGCTGCGATTGACAGGTTTCTCAGACCGAGGCTTGAGGCCGACCGACGTCTCATAAGTCTCGCGATATCCCGCAGTTCGGACTCCAGCTCAGATTATTTGGTCAGATCACTTTGACCAACTCGGCACGGACTGTTCCAAGCCTTGGGGTTTATTGGGGGCAACTGAAATTTGACAGAGGAGCTGGCTTCTTTTTTCGTCAACTTTAAGGCTGCCGTGAGTATTGAAATAAGCCCTCTTGGAATCTTTTCACATGGGATTTCGTGAAAGAACGTAACTCGCAAGGTAGGGGTACGCTGCAATTGACTAACTTATCGCTAGTCTATATGCGTATTGGGCAACGAATAATTTGTCAAGTATCGTCTTGTCTTATTACTTAGATTACCCTCAATCACGCGTGAGAACAATTCTCACAGCAACCATCAACATGTAGGTTGGTTCTGAGGAATAACTCAAAACATCTTACTCTGGGTGTTCTGGGTTAGGGGCCATTCGCGTCCTCGCTACGGTATCAGTTGGAACAAACCAGCAATCGAGATTCGGTTTAAGTATATGCATCGAACCAACTTCCGTCTCTCCACACAGGACCACCGCTCGACAAGCCATGAATAGCCACCAAACCGAAGGACAAGCTTCTGCCCTGCAACTGAAGTTCTCTCCAACGGTCTTGAGTGTTTCGAATTTCCATGTACCCAGACAGAAGACTTTGCGTTAGAGGCAAGTTCGCTCACTCGCTGTAAGTGAGGCGAGACTACGCACTAAAAACCCGTCCCTCAAGAAATAGAGCAAGTCGCCAAGGATAGAATCTCCATTTTTTATAAAATTTTGTCAACCAATTATCCACATATATCTGTTGTCCGAGTACAGATATCCCCCCTTCCTATCAAACTACCTGTCTGGAAGAAAGTCAGGGTACCTGGGCGATGTTGAGAACGCCTTTGTCACGGCGTTGCACGGCGATACATTAGGTTTATAGGATGTCCGGTGAGGCTCCGAACAATATCCACTACATAATTCCCTTCTTGTCCCCGTCCAGGGAAGAGGGACAAGATTCAGTCTCTTTATGCATACAACCCCATTATTGGCCCTTGATTATACCTGACCTCACACTATCCTGTTGATAGCCTTCACCACCTTAGTTAGATTGACCACATCATTCACGTACCACCCTTTTGCGACGGCTATTTTACGCCCAAATAAGCCAGTTTCTACCCACTGCAATTTTCTATTCTTACATTTTATATACGCTATATAGTGTTAAATATCTCATGTTATATCACGTCAAAACTTGCTTGATTGCCGTCGTCCTTGTGATGCCTGGTGCTTCTGAATCTGTTATGGTGCCCATCCTGGATGCGGAAACGCTCATGTTGAGTGCTGTATCACTGAGCTCATAGTACCATGGCTGCGTGGTATCAAACTTCTGCTTGCGTACGCCGCCTACACCAGCGCTGGCCACACTCCCTGAGGGCTTGGCTGACGTCCTTCTTCCCCACGTTATAATCGACGCAGGCTTTTGGGAGTACGGATGCTCCCCGCCACTGGTGCTGCCGCCTCGACGTCCCCTGGAGATGAGAGAAGTCAAGGAGTGGAAAACCGCGGTGTCGACTATGTAGACTCTTGTGAAGGCGACGAACGCCGGCGTCGAGCTGACAGCAATGGCGACGTTGTTTTCCACGATGCTGAATTTGAGTGGGTCAGCGCTTTGTGGTAGATTCAGCGGGTACGTTCAATCTTGGGAGGGCGTAATGAAGGCAAACGTAGATGGAATTGTACTTGCCACCATATAAATGTGATTGTGCTTGACCATGTGGCATCGTTCTCAGCGTGCAGGAGCATGACGAGGTATCTTAGCGTAACAAGGCTAGAAATCACACCTCTGCGCCATTTGTCAGCGCCTTGTTCTTCGATGTTCAAAGATTTCTGCAATTCTGGGATTGGCAAAACGTTCCACTCACAACAATCCTGTAGCAAAGACAGCCGCAATCCGCAGCCGCTTTTTGAAGGTCATTTGGAGTCCCCAGAGGATGGGAAGCGGCAGAACGAAAATGTACAGATCCAGCAAGACTGTGCAGGGCCCCTGAACGACACCCGTGGGAGCGAGGTGCTGGCCCATGCCGTTGGTGAGGAGGTCTTCCCAGACCTCGTTGCCGTGTGGGACACCAAAGTAAAGGAAGACGGCCACCATGGAGCCGTACAGTAAGAAGTCAAAGACGAGGCCAACAGCGACAGCCACGCGGAGCCATCGGATATTGCTGAAAAGCTGTAGGTACAATATCAGGATTGAGCCCTTGGTAAAGAAACGTGCGACTTGATTCATGGTTTCCTCGACGTAAATTTGCTATTTAGCCCAAGACTAGTTAGTTTCATTGGCATCACAACTGCTTGCTGAAAATACATCATCAATAAATGTGGATGCGCCTAACCTTGACATAGTCAACGTTAAATAAACACAATGGCACATCCCATAAATGACGAGCAAACCTCAGCACTATTCCCAAAGAAAAATACGTTAGTAATACTGCACGAGAATCAGGAATGAAACAAATGGCCACCCACTGAGCAAGTTATTGATCGTATATGCAAGCGAAGCCAAGTAACCGAGGACGGCAAAGGCTATCAACCTCTCATGAGTATGTATGTCTCTTCTTTGCTCAAAGGCCTTTGCTTAATTTACTTACCATCTGACCATCCAAAGCTGTGGAGGTTGTGTCTCAATCTTCCCGCAAGGAAGAGAGTAGCTACTGCAGTCATAATAGCACTAGCTGCAATTAAATCAGGCTCCAGGGTAACTGGATTCTCGAAATTGTACACGCCATCGGGAGATACAGCAGCCGGGATCTTGCAAAGGTCCTGTGGCTCCGAAGACATTCTGTACACAGGTGTGCTAGTAGCTGGCAAGAGTAGACTATAGAGAATCGAGGTAGACAAACCCTTCTTGGGTTGAGGTACGGCCAACAGAAACGCACAAGATAACCCTTTAGTCCAGAGCTTGGAAAAGGGATGAAGATAGAAGAAACCCACATTTCTTACCAGAAGAGCGCAGCCTGATGCTTAGTGCGCCAACAAGAAGGCCATGCCAGTCAACCTGTACGAAGATGTGGCAAAGTGATTGACGTGAGCCGCCTCGAATCTGTACCTATTACTAGGTTTGATACCGTCAAACGCCGTCAACGTCGCAGTAGGATGACAGCTGCATTCCCCATAGTTGTGTTACAAGCATCCCGCTTCGTACTTTCAATGTACGTGTATGTACCTGGAAGTTTCGACAGGCTGCTGGTCTCAGTCACATTAAAATCATCGCAATGACAATTGTGGCGGCACAGAAGATACTCAGGTAAACAATTACCCCAGCTTCGGCAATTGCTACGCTGACATGACACCCTCAGTCCTTGATGGATGCAGGTGAAAGGTGCGCATTAAGAAAAGGCCCGCGGCTGTATGCAATGCGAGGAGCCATGTAAAGCACCGGACAGCAACAACGATAGATGCCATAATCTCATTGGACTACCACGCTTTCAATATATGCATAATGAATGCTTTGCCAAATCATACGTGGCTGCCTGGGATTGTCATACCTTCCAAACGAAGGCTTGATAGCTTTAATAAGCCCCCAACACTCCCGCCACTGTGCCGTACTACTACCACACCTGGGAATTGTCTGATTTAGAAAGCAGCTTAGGCAGTCTGTCGCAACCTTTTGAAGGCAACGATCGTGTCATTGCGAGGAACGACTGACGATCTCCACGTCCTGGATCGAGGCGCTTCTGGATCCTCCATCCTGCACGCCCAATCTTCTAGCACATGCACCATTACGAGCTTGGCTATCATAGACGCATAGAACCGGCCGGGGCTTCGCAGACAGGTCAATCGGTGTCAATGAGCTTGGGCAGTATGTCTGGGTCGAAAGCGACGACGAAAGGACTGGGTACTTACCACGCGGTGTTCCCGAATCCCCATATAGGCCAATCGACGCTGACCGTGGTAAGGCTGGATGGCTTATCACCCGGGACATAGCCCCGCGCCGTTTCTCCCCTCGCAAACTCTTGATTCGCCCGTACGAATCGGAATGCGTCGAAGACGTCTGGGCTGCGATAACGGGTGGCGTCATGCATCAACGCTCGCTGCGGAACGCACACCCAGTCGCCGGCAGCGAGTGCTGATGTCCTGTCGCTGAAAATGTAAGGCGCGAGAGCCTTGCGACGGCCCGTCACTGTGCGGATAGTTGGCTCACGTTACATTGAACAACCGGTGGGAACATAGTAGTCCAAACTGCTGGGACAGTCGTATGGAAGGGTTAGGGGGCTCCCAGGTTGCTGGTCTTACCTGCATCAGAATTATTGCAGCGGATTGATTCCCTGAGAAAGCTATCCAATAGCGGTAGCTGCTTCTCCACGTCCAGAGCCTTCCCCCCAAGTTCTTTACATGCAGCGCGAGCCTTGGTAATCTCAGCATGCAGCAATTCGATGCAGTCATGGTGAAGACACAGATCTTCGATGGCGTAGGCTGTAGTCTGCAACGCCTTGAGCTCTGATACCACTCACACTAGAGACGTGCACACCTACCATGGCAAGCTGGTGTACAGAGCCAAACCACACAGCCATGATCTCCCCCACCATCCGCGCGGACGACCATGGCATCTTGCGCGGCGACGTATCTATCAGCCATTGCACGCAATCAACCTGTTGGCACATGCCATAGACTCCATGGTCAGCAACACATTCCGGAAGCAGGACGGCGCAGACACCTGACACTCTAACTCACCGGTATTGGCAAATCCTTCGCAAATCCTGCTTCGCCGCGCGCATCACGCACTTGCATTCGTTTCGTGACAATGGGTTCCAGGTAATGGAAAATCGTCCGCGCCGCTCTGTGCCGTTTCGTTGCTGCTGCAGCAATGAACCTATAGGCGTTCGTGTTCGTTAATCCTCTGTTGGCAAACCGAAGTTTGGGTTGCAGTAGCTGAGAGTTGAACGCCATGAGGAACTTACGGACGCAAGAACCCCGGGGTGATGCGCAGAAACTCAGCGGCGAATATGACGGCCTGGGGGAATTCCAGCGCAGCCTCTGTGAACTTCTCATTATTGCCTGGGTCGTTGAATGGTATGTAGTCAGCCATCGCCACCATTCAGTGACAGAAAAGAGATATTGCACCATCGAAAGCTTACACAGCTCCTCGCCAAAGAACACGAAGCAGTTGACGTTCGTGACCATTCTCTTGATCATAGGGAAAAGATTCACGCGGGCGAAGCCTTGCGGTGATAGGGGGCCAAATTAGCATCGGTTCCTCACGTAGACCTGGATAGCCGGCAAGTGACAAGACTAGCAGATCCCGCTTAGATCGGCAATACATACCATCTTCGTCTGGGTTGCGTAATTCTAGATCGAAGTTGGCTCTTAGAATACGCTCGAAGTCCGATTGGAACGCGGGCAGGTGGGCTGTCAGCAAGCTGCGTAGGGCGCGAACGAATCCTGTGCCCTCGACTCCCCGCTGATCTTGCCATTCGAAACCGTACATGGTATATCTTGGCTGCAGGATCTGTAATTGGACAACTAATTGGCGGTTGCTAGGCAATCATTTGCCTCATACCAGGGTCTATCATGATCGTGGGGGCGGGAAGTACATCAAGGGACCTACTTCTTTGGCTACTGCGTGGAGTGAGAGTCTTTCCAGGGGTGCATCAATCAGCTCCCTGATTAACTCAGGAGATGTGATGAGCAGGTGATCGTTTGAAGGCGTAGTGATCTTGAATGGTTTTCCATGGGCCTAATTTTCCAAGCCTGTATTAGCCGAAATAGTAAGTTTCTATTCATCTCGGGATTACTCTACCTTCCTGTACGCATTATCGATGATATGGGGACCGTGAATAAGGTACAAACCCCCATAGAGGGGCCTGAATAGGCCGTGTAGGATGCGATTGGATTTTGTTTGCTGCTGCTCCATCGAATGTTTGGTTAGCCCAGAGTTGAAGAAACCCAACGCTCTGGACAGGAAACCAAGAGAAGAAAGAAGTGGCCCTACCTCGCACTTGAGAGCATGATGAACGGCCAGAGTCACGACAGCCACCAAAAAGACACCGAACCAGTGCATAGCTTCTGCGAGGATGGTCATTGTTTTGAGAACTTTATTCGATGAAATCTGGTAAAGTAATGTAACTTTTCGAATCCAGGTCTTACTCCCATGCTGTATTTGCTTTATACACATGCACACTCCTCATAAAGCGTTGGTGCCGGGAACCTTTCTTATGACGTTTGAATAGTCTGCCCACGGTATCATCCCCCGGTCTAATATCCTTAGTGCTGTGCCTTTGAGTACTCAATCGTACTTCATTCTCCCAGAGTTACATTCTTACCAGCCCTACCATACATCACGACAGCTCGATGCTCCAAGTTGCCCGATTAACAGTCATTACGCAATTAGATCTATAATGCATTAAACTATATCGCACCAACTGGGGTCTCGATTTATACCATGTGACCGAGTCACACCGCCCGTTGTGGTATATTGAAGCAGATTTCACCATCAAACGACCATACCACGTTCCCGCCCTTTGCGGGCACTCAAGGATTCAGCCAACCAACTGGTGATCAACCCAAGTCCCTCAGCATCAATGTTGCTGCATTCGATAGCCTTACCGGACGTCTTGAGGGCTGCGGCCCTTGACATGGTAGCCAGCACTTGTGGGTCTATTTTTGGCCTCGCGCTACTCGCATCTATGATGCTCCTGCTTTGGCGGGCTTGGAGGTTCACGATCAATCCACTCTTGCACCCTGATGAGCCCAAAGAGCTGCCTTACTGGATCCCATTTCTGGGTAAGTACACTGTATTGAATTCTTCCACTTCTATTACGAACGTAATTTGGATACCCAAAATATATTTCATGTTACAAAAAGTTAGAAAAACAAACTAACAAATGATAAAAAAAACATAGGGCACCTACGGTCTTTTTTTCGAGACTCCAATGCATTGCTCTCCCAAGCCAGGTATTTTCCTGAATCGCGACAGCAGTGGCATTGAAGACTCATCCAAGTTGGCAGGATACATTTCGGCAACACCAAGGAACCATTCGCGCTCACTATTGCCGGGTCTACCACTTATGTTATAACGAATGCGCAGGATGTTACTGAGGCATATAAGAACAACTCCACACTGTCCTGGACCGAGTTCCTTTTGGAAATGATGCGAACCCTTGGAAACAATGAGATTTGCGTCGAGGCGGCCGCCCGCCCGCTCCCTCGAGACAAAGATGGCTTCCCTAACCCCCATGGAAAGCCTCTAGTCACACTGGCTCGGGATATGCATATTCGTCAGCTTCATCCGGGCGACCAGCTTGATGATCTCGAAAGGCGATTCCTCCGTTGGTTCGAGCGCTGTTTGGAACCCGAAACGATGGCTAAGACGTACGGCAGCAACGTGGCGCAGAAAGACCAAGACACCACCGTCACTGTGTCACTTGTGCAGTGGTGTTCTGAAATTTTCACGCTGGCTTCCCAGGAGGCCTACTTCGGCCCTGAGCTGGCACATATCGACCCACACCTGCACGAGACCTTTATCGTCTTTGATGAGCTCAGCTATCAAATCCTGTACCAGTATCCGCGTCTTTTGACCGGCAAGATGCGGGCCGCCAAGACTCAGCTCCAGCACGCGATGAAAAACTATCTTCAACTGCCGCCCAGCAAGCGGACTGACACTGCCTGGTTCACCGATGCCTTCGAAACCGAGTGCAAGGCACTGGGAATCGACGAAACACAGGTCGCGCTAATGTTCTTCACGGTTTGTATGTCATTCCTCACGATAACCTAGCGGCATTCTTCTATCATATACGTCTAGTGTACTGAATACATGTTTCATGCAGACTGGGGTGCCAATACCAATACCCGCAGGGCAGCGTACTGGCTCCTTGCGCACCTCCTCGATACGCCGGACCTACTCGCCGCTCTGCGAGCCGAGACCGCTGCGGCATTCGATCAGGCTGGTAATCTCGACCCGGCACGTCTTCACGATGCCGACCACAATCGGTGTTTCGAGGCGGTCTGGAACGAGACGATCCGTATGTCGGCGTACGCGTCCTCGGTGCGCTACATCACGCGCGACACCATAATCGGGGGTAAGTTGCTACGACGGGGCCACCGCCTCATGATCCCTTATCGGCAGTTGCACTTCGACGAGGACGTGTTCGGGCCCGGCGTCAACGAATTCCGGGCTGCGAGGTTCGGTTTCGACATCGCTGCTACAGACAGGAAGAACTACAAAGAGAACGGGGCTTATCAGAAGCTCACGCGCGGGGATAGCTGGCGCCCCTTTGGCGGCGGCGTCACTATGTGCCCAGGTCGGTTTATCGCGAGACGTTCTGTACACATCTTCGTTGCGCTCTTGCTACACCGGTACGATGTCGAGAGCGTTGGGCCGAGGTCAGTGCCGGAGGCGGAGGTGGGGAAGCCTGTGCTAGGCATTATGTCGGTCAAGGAGGAAGGGGGGGAGGTTAGGGTGAAGTTGACTCCAAAGACCTGAAATAGAAATTCTAACTTCGTAGCTTATGTTCTGAGGCCTAACCCGCTTAGGCAAAGAGCTTGTTTGAATACTTCGGACATGCGTATACAATACTCCAGAATTGAGAGAACACATTCTAGGAGTTATTTCCAATGCTGAAGCATTGTCTCACCCTCTTTTAGCTGTGTATAGCGCACACTATCGCGCCAGATCATCTCTCTTTTCCTTACATCCTTGGCCTCCTCGGCCGTTTCTGCCAGCGCTGTGCCATCAAAGTACGCCCCCTTAGCCACCGAAACGTCCATTGCACCGCGCATGACGTCACGAGCGGACCGGGAGGTGGTGCGCATCTTCCCGTTGGACTCAGGATACAGCCACATCAGGATATACCCCATCATAGGCATGAGAATGCCGTGCACAATGTTGCGCGCGAACCAGTCGGTGCGGCGGGCAACACCCGCAGGACTGGCCATTGAGCCGGGGTCAACTCCGACCGTGGTAATTCGATGAAGTAGGGGATCCAAATCTAGACGTCGTTGCAGCTCACTTCTGTTTTGCAACCAAAGGCTGTCAGCGTGAAGATTGAATCAATGGGAAAGCTAGCAGGAGGGTAATAACAAACATCATCGTAACCAGGCAAAATTTGGCTGCCCCATAGCGACGCAGGCCATTGCGTGTGCTGGGATCGTCCGCCTTAGTACTCCAAGTCCCAAAGGCGATCTGGTCAATATTCTCGCCGGTGATGAACGGTCTCCATTTGTCGTCCGGGTGTTTGTACGTTCCAATGGCACCAGTCAGCCAGTCATCCGGGTTGTGCGAATCACTCCCGACAATTGTTATCCGTCCACTTGCAAGGTCCATACTCTGCAGCAACATCACTGTCAACAGCCAGTGGCCCAGATAGCTTGCCACAAATGCCATGTCAAAACCATTCTCTTCGGCCCATGTCTGAGTCTCGAACTCGACGAATGCAGCGTTGAGGACTAGCGCACGGATCTGGGGGATACTTCCAGCAGAAATGCGCCCGTTGATATTCGTGGCTACTTGGCGGACATTTGCAAGGCTCGCCAGGTTCATTGAAACGACCTCGTAGGAGACCTTCTCTCCCGCTCCCTTCAATGCGGACGTGAGTTTACTGTTCGATGCGGATCTGTCTCGGACTACGAAGATTGAATGGTAGGCTTGGAGCTCGGGTGACGAGATGATGTGCCGAACAATGGAGCTACCGAGGTGGCCATTTGCGCCGGTCACGATAATGGTACCCTTTAGGTTCGTCGCCATGATGCGCAAATGCAAGCAGCGCGCCGAATACTGATGGTAGTGATCTTTGGCGGTGAAACAGGTGTATTCAACAAATGGCGCGATATGCCTAACAGGCTTTCTAGATGCCCGTGAATGCCAACTATGGGCGACTAACCAATTCTCTGTCTGCACGGCGTGCTCACACTGTTCCTTGCATCCAGTAGATAGGAAGGGCGCTCGGACAGCCATGAAACAAGGTCGTAAGCCTTTGTTGTGTAACCATCTCCAAAACTGGAAACAGGATTCTAGCGCCACCAGTCTACTTACTTTGTGCGTAGCATTGCAGATTGCCATCCAATCACTATGAGTGATACATTTTCATCTACTATAATCCCTCAATGCATGTCAGCCACCCAACCTGAATCTGAAATTGGGGTCCAAGACGTGACACGGGTGGCTGGGTGCAGCTACATCAGGCTCCGGATCCTGTACATAGTACAATATCCAAACAGCCAAGCTCGGAGTGCCATCCAGTCCCGCAGCTTTACCCATGATGGGTGGTGTGCGAGAATCCCGCGCACCCAGCGAACCCTCTGATCAGCTGTGATGCATGAATAGGGCAAGGCTGCAGATCCTCATCCTGGGGGCGTACGAGCAGCGCAATACCTAGGGCAACAGCACAAGACCTGAAGCGAACTGCCAGATTAAGGGTTTACCTCTGTAAGGTGCCCATTCATCTGCCGAAGTCCTCAACTTTGATCATCGACTGTTGGATCAATTTAGCGGTCGGACGACTGAAATGAGCTATTGCCTACCAGATTCTTTCTTTTTCAACAACAAATCAAACCTGGTCACCTCGTTTAGCGCTTAGTGGGGTGTTTTACCATGCCGTTGTACGCTTTCTTGTTAATTGGGGTTGTTGTTGGAACGTATGGCTTTCTGCGGGTACTCATCTGGGTCACACAAGACTCCAATGAGCCGTCTGTGCTTGTAGAAGGAATTCCATTCATCAGTCCATTGATCTGTATGATGACGGAGAAGCAGAACATGTTTACGCGAATCTGGTGAGTATCTATCTGCATTGACTAATCTCACACCGGCGCAAAGTTACTCATGATCATGAAATAGGCAAGAACACCGTCGCCCAGTATATACTCTACGACTCCTTGGGAAGCGTTTCTACGTCGTGAACTCTCTTTCGCTCTACCAGATAATTCAGCACAATACCGACATCATCTCTTGGGATCCTATCAAAGCCCATATAGCAGATAAGATTATGGGACGCCGTGTAAGCACCGTAGGGAACAGAGTAGTGAAAGACTTTGGTAGTCCAGCGGAGGGCGGTACCGTTTGGGGGCTAAGAAAGACCATCTATCCTCTTATATTTCAAGGTCGTCCCCAGCTTGACGAGCTTAATAGGACGGCCTTTCATGCTATGGCGGCAGGCGTGGAGGACTTGGCGGCCAAAGGGCGCACCACTATAGGAATGTACGCCTGGCTCAGTCACCAGCTTTTCGTTGCGTCGCTCGGTGCAGTTTACGGACCGAAGAACCCGCTTCTCAGACCTAAGAACGAGCGTGCTTGGGGGTAAGTCCATCTCATGTCGACAAACTTCACCCGAAGAAGAGCTGTGATCTAACTGCTTTCATGTCAGTGTATTTGAACAGGGAATAGTCATTCTTATGGCAAATATCCTCCCGCAGATTTCTGCCCGGAAGATAATCCGTACCCGTGAGATGCTTGTTAAAGAACTGGAAGAATACCTCCGGGATGGTGGCCAGCAAGAAGCATCTTCCTTCGCCCAAGCTATCTTGAATCACTTCTCCCAACAGGGACTCGGCCCTTCAGATCTCGCTCGGGGTGAGCTTGGAAATATCGCTGGTATAGTCACATCCACAATGCGCTCCGTCTTCTGGCTACTTTACCACGTCGTCTCGGATTCAAGGCTCCTCGCCCTTTGCCGCACCGAGGTTGCCCAACTGGCCCGGAATGACAGCAAACCCGAAGAAATTGACTTTGCACACATCTCTACCAAGTGTCCAGTTCTTCTCGCCGCGTGGCACGAGGTTCAGCGTGCTCATGCCGACCCAATCTTCTCGCGTGTGGTCATGCAAGACTTCCTCCTCGATGGGCGCTATCTACTCAAAAAAGGCGCATCGGTCTTGATACCGGCTGGTGTGATTCACCAAGACAGCGGAATTTGGGGGTCAACGTCGTTGGAATTCGACCACGAGCGCTTCCTTGTGGATGGAAAAATAAAGCAGCGTTCTAGTGCTGTATTGACGTTCGGGGCGGGAGCGGGCATGTGCCCCGGGCGGCACTTCGTCAGCGTGGAGATCTTACAGCTGGTAGCTATGCTGATCATGCGGTTTGACATCCAGCCTACGGAGGGCGGAAAATGGACAATGCCTGACAAGCATCTGATATTGAACGTGGCATTTCCGACGCCAAGTCCTGATGTCGAGGTAGAGGTGCTGCCGAGGGCCGACCCGGTATGGCAATTCACGTTCACGAAGAGTCAGTGAGTTCGCGATGCCAGAACTTGGCCACCTGTCCAATTTAGTCAAATCGGTCTAGTGGAGATAGCTTCAACTTTCTAGTAACTATCGGTTTGCTATAGCCCGAATAGTCGACAGAACTGCCGCTCAGCGATTTGCACGGTCTGCTGTTGCTTTAATGTTTATTATATTTCCATCAGGAAAGTACCTCCTCAGAATCAAAGATATGTTTATTTCCACTTCGTTCTGGTACCGTTTTGACCACTTCTCTTCACTCCGTCGAGCAATTGTAGCGTAAACCAATTGTCCCGCTATTTGCTCAGCCGGACTCGGAATTCAGGAACTTGTACACTTCAAAGTTCATTTACGAATTAAGGGTATTGCACAATGTGGAATAGTATGACTGCTGCAGATCTACCGGTAGTCTTTACTCTGGTGGCTACCAACATTGAGTAGGCCTGCGAATCCGCGTCACAGATTGGCTCTATGTTGGAATCTGCTTTTACCGAGCCCGAATTGTCAGAAAGAAGAGGAGAGTAGCAGATCATACGAACATTTTGCCTTGTATGAAGCTAACCCCTTCCTGGCGTGGACAATGAGTGGTCTGCTCTTATAGCCCTGTTTATTCAAGGAGTTACATCAGCCTCCACCCGGCATCTAATGAAACCGGAAAAGACCATCTTCTACATGCATGTACCACTGGGAGACTTGCGCTACCTGCTGTTGCAGTAGGTTCCCTGTATGGTGCAGCCAATTAAGTGGAGATGTGTCTGGTGGTCCGGAGCCTTACTCGCTCAGGTTACTACCCCTGATATTCAATGCATCCCCCCTTGCGCCACCCGTCAATCGAACGTTGCATGTAGCTTATTACAAATTAGTACCACTAGAGTAGCTTTCGCCAGGTGTGTGTCAAATATAATGAGTCTCACATCTCTGAACCTGACACTCTCAATCCTTCCTAGACTGAGGATGTGTACTTCATTGACGAAAGCACATGTCTTGCACAGTTGCACACAATTGCGCATTAATTTCCGCGGCGTTCTGTAAGCTGCGGCCTTTGAGAACTCCTGAAAAATATGTCTTCCGTCTTGCCCATCGTCGCAGGAACCGTTGCCGCGACCTACATCATCCTCCTACTTCTCCTTCGCCTCACGCAAGATGTGACCGAGCCACCGTCAGTCAATGATGCAATTCCATTTATCACACCTGTATTCAGCATGTTATCTAAGGGTACAGGTCTTCATCGTGTATTGAGGTAAGCTTGCACAATTTTCTCTCTTTGCCATGACCAGGCAGATTTTGTAATAACATAAAGCCGTTAGAGATCAGTATAATCTGCCAATTCACACACTGCGACTGCCTGGTTCACGTATATATGTAATCAACTCTATGCATCTTCTCACGTCGGCCCAGAGCCAATTTCGAACACTTTCGTTCACCGCTATACAAAGCGGCATTGTAGCGAATATTCTAGGTGTCAACAAAGCTACCAATGAGATCATTAGCCGAGGTGCGACGAGCCACGGGAGCTATTTAACGAGCTTTCCCAAGTACATCCATCCCACTTTAAGTGCCGGTCCTGGCCTCAACGACATGAACAAGAGGTCAATCCTCGTTATGGCCAAATCTATGAACACATTGGTGGGAAAAGGAACTGCGACTGTGAAGATGTTCCAATGGGTTCGCCACGAGCTTCTGCTGGCATCTACTGAAGCAGTTTACGGCCCCAAAAACCCCTTTCGTGACGCTACTATGGAACAGGCTTGGTAGTAAGTTTAACATGGACTTACGGCACACAACAATTTATTACTAATTGATTTAGTACGTTTGAGCCGGGGGTTATGATATTCGCGTTAAACTTGGTCCCTCGCCTGCTTGCGAGGAAGAGTTACAAAGCTCGTGAATATATGGTCAAAATCTGGGAAAACTATTTCGAAACAGGCTCATATCACCAAGGCTCCGAAATGATAAAAGCCCGCGTCAAACTCAATAATGATTTCCAGATTTCTTTAAAAGAGACGGCAAGACTGGAAGTGGGAGGTACCCACGGCATCCTCTCTAACACTCTTCCGGGAACATTTTGGACGATATACCACATTTTCTCTAACCCGGTAGTCCTCGAAGATATCAGGAATGAATTATCTAAAGGAGTCCAGCAAGAGGATAATGGTTCCTATACTATTGACTTGACCTACGTCAAAACTTCCTGCCCCATCTTGCTTTCAACTTTCAAGGAGACAATGCGCATGCACTCCACTTCTATATCCACCCGTCAGGCTATGCAGGACCACTTGCTGGATAATAGATACCTTCTTAAGGAAGGAAATACCGTCATGATGCCGTCAGTGGTGCAGCATACTAGTCTCCCCGCCTGGGGCGACACTGTGGATTTATTCAATCACAAAAGATTCGTCTCGGGCGCGAAACGCGTTGATCCAGTTGCATTCCGTGGGTTCGGGGGAGGAACGACTTTGTGCCCTGGGCGACAATTCGCATCTACCGAAATCTTGATGTTTTCAGCTCTCGTTGTTCTTCGATTCAATATTCATCCCGTAAAGGGCAAGTGGGCTACACCTTCGACAGTCAGTTCGTCCATGGCGAGTGCCCTTCCTATGCCTGATTGGGATTTCGAGGTTGAGCTGCATCCTAGAGATGAAAAAACCTGGAAGGTGTCCTTCTCAGATTACAATAAAGAAACTGGGATAGGAGCGGAGGAAATCCAGGCGTTGAATTAGCATGTATATAAGGCAAACAGCTTGGTTTGACCATTTTTACTCAATCTGAGCATGAGTACTATTTTATACAACTATAATTATAGATAATAGTGGGAAGTCTTCAGTAGTTTGAAATTGATTGATGATGGTGTAAATTGACGGCTCGTGAATTAGTACGGTCACGTGAACCCTCACACTCTCGAAATTAGACACGAGAGCAAAGCTTATCAAGCCTAGTAATTTTGCCTGTTGGTGCCTTGGACGAAGTACGTCATTGAAGGGAACCAAAGCGGCTGAAACTGAATGTTCGTATTGGTTGAATATCTTCTTTCGAATGCGACCGTCATGGACACGGGGTAGAACTGCGTTTTTTGCAGAGCTTTTCATAGGAATACGCAATTTCTCAACACTAGAGTTTCCATCATATTGGCTCTCAAAAGATTCGAGAATGTCAGATGGTGAACCTGCTGACTCTGTTTGAGTTAACCAAATGGCCTCATTGTTTTCGGTAATGATGCGAGTGAAGTCGGTACGGTGCAGAGATATCTGTTCTTTGATCTCGACAACCTTAACACGATATCTTCACTGAGTTGACAACCGGCACCCACAAAATCATGATACCAGCTTTCTGTAAGCTTCTGGGATTCAGAGTCCAAGTCACTGGCTGATAGATGATTGTAAACCTTCGCAAAACTATTGTACAAGCTTTGATGTGGGAACCAAGACTCATATATTTTCCGAGAACTTACATGTGCTTGATGTGCTGCCAAGCGCAGCTGTTCGTTATCTGAAGCGGCCGCCGGCAATCCTGCTCTTTGGCCGCAGATTGCCAAGTGGCCCTCGACAACGGCCATAGGAAGGACAGTGTTCTCGAATGTCGCATATCCTGGCTCTACAGAGGCGACGATCCTTTGAATTAAGCTCTCCAAAGCAACTTCTGCCTCTGTAATCCCTTGATTTAGGGACTCTGTCGTTTCTGTAAAAGTGGGCAGGTTCGAGGGGAGTGGAAAGTCTGAAGGAAAAAGTGTCATCTTGAGTTGGTGATACGAGTTTGTGTTATAATGCGCATCATTTATCGACGTTCATCGTGTCAAGCTGAACATCAGCGGGAGAATTCTAAAAAAAACAACGAAAGTGCAAAAGCCACAGAATATACTCAAGATGCGTGTTGTCCAGGGTCGCTTACAATATACACAATTGTGGGGCGACATCATTGTCACGCAGCTCATGAGCTGCAGCCCTGCATGTGCCTGCATTAGACCGCATTAGCTTATTGGAGAATGACAAGCATCGTCAGGACTCTTGCAGCATTTTATCAGGTCATTTTGCAAAGAGGCAGATCATTTCAGCAGACTCGTGATCATGCAAGCGGGAGGGTTTGACTAGCATTGGCGCAGAGTGACGAGCAAGCACGAGACAAGGGACATAGCGGTAGCGGGGAGATGAGTTTTTCCATTTGTTTCTGATTGGCTACAAGAACGAACACATCTGCAGAACTCCAAGAGATGTGTACATGTAAGGTGCGCATCCTCGACAGCAAGTAGATAATAGAAATGGCTGGATTATGGCGCCCAGAAACATCTGTGTCAGTCCATGTTCTCGGACCTCAGACCCCGCTGCTGCATAAATGACCACTCTATGCTGGGCCAGTGTAGTATGCGGCAGGACGGGCAGTGTACACAGACTTGGGGTTAATACCAACGGAAGCCCACCCAAAAATGCCATCTTTAACTTCAGCGCCAAGATATACGTAGTTAAGAACAGGATCGCTGGTGGCTGCTTCCTGAGCCATGATACCATCCTGGCTATTTATTGTGAAAGATTGTTTGTTGGTACTGTACGGCGAAACCTCGTTGACAGCTTGGTTGAGGGTTTGGTCGAAGAATAGCTGGCCGACCTGGGCAATATGGCCCCCAGCAATGGTGCCATTGGCAAGGGTGGTAGCTCCGATGTGGGCCATAACTAGAATGTGGTCAGGCAACAGCCTCCGTATATTGCTGTATTATCACTCACTATGTATGTGGACAGCACGACCGGTGTAGTGACCCGGCATGATGGCGTCGAAGGAAACAATGCCGTCGTCGTCGGAAAACTGGATACCACGGAGTGCAGCGTTGTACTTCGCTTTCGGGTCGTTGGGGTTTCCATTTCCACGAGCACTAACACCACCGTATACGCCAGTCGAGTTGCAGTACCAAGCTTCAAGAGCTACATTGGAGAGGGGCTCGCAAGTAGTGGTGTCGATAAGCTGAACATCGAAAGTCAAGGGAACACCCGGCTCGCCATCAGTGATGTCCTGGCGAACGAGTTCACCAGCAACCCCTTTGAAGAGTCAGTAGACTAGAGTCAATCACTTTCGTAAGATCTAGCAGCTTACAATCTGCAGAGAGGAACATATGTTAGCCCTAAGTTTTCTCTTCTTAACGAAATTTTCGAAATACACTTGTTAAGTGCCTATGGGAAATACGTGGAAACTCTACTTGAAATGCCACTTGGCTCCAACTGGAAGCATGTAGAGTGTGGCGATAAATGGAACAATACGGGATGTTGGGGGTACTTACAGGGTCCTTCGGTAGTTTTTGGTTGCAAGATGCAGGAGTTGTCGGATCCGAAGATTTCCTCAGGGGTGCTATCAGGAGTGACGGTCTTGTTTGAGTGGTGGCTGGTGAGCAAGACGTCACGGAAACTGCGCTTGGCCAAGCCTCTCTTCTCCCGAAGCTGGTAGAACTTATCCACACGAGCATCTATATGACAGCCAGAGGTTAGGATACCTTATTCAAGATATGCCTCTTGAGACAACATAGTGAATGAATCAGAGACAAGAAGTGGGACTTTGGGAGTTGCATACCAACTAATTTTTGGTCCCGAGACTTGATGGAACTTTTGCAGGTATCAAGCGAGCGGTACTCGGGGCTGTTGATCCACGCAGCACGCTCAGCAATCTCCGCCTCGATATCAGCGCCAGGATGACCCATAACGCTTCCCATGAGGGGATAGGTTGCTAGCAGGGCAACGGTAGCGATGTAGCGAGCCATTGTTAATTTCCAAGGAAACGTCCTGATATCGGATCTTGCGGGGTTGGTTGGAGACAAGAAGAGTGGTTTGAATCCAAGAGGCGGCAATAGAAGAGCACCACGGGGCTATGTACGGAGGCTCTTATAGTCCTCTTTCAGATGTGTGATGCTCCGGGAGTTTCCATCTCAGAAATGTTTCTATTCTATAAACACTTTACCTATTAAACGTAACCGAGCTGCAAACGCGTAAGTCCTGAGTGCAGTCCAGCCATGACCGATATGGTATACCGTCAGCACTTTGGGGTTGAGTGCCTTCCTGTATAGTGGACCTCCGTTTGTGGTCCACGCGGGAGGCGTTTCCCAGAGTAACACCAATGCTAGACCCCGCCGGGAATCGCCTCTCTCATCAGGCTCGTGAATGCACCAGACAGTTGGCGCCAAGGACCTACGCTAGACCCCATCGCTTAAGCTAGACTGCCCATTGGCATACATAGAGTTGCCGGATACCCCTTGCACTGGGATTTCCTGTTCTTTTGAAATACTCCTCTTTTAATAGGCTGGAAGTTGCGAGTTGACAATATGGATTAGTTGAAGCCGTGTGTGGTGCTTACGCGTCCCGCCTTGGCGTTGTATATCTGCTGGAGAACTAATCCAAATAGGCAGGACCTCATACGGACAGCCCCGAATTAGACTCTTCTCAATGCTGGGTGCCTTCGAAGACAACGCACAAGGGCCACATAATGGCAATGCTTTTGGGGCTACCTCACGGATAATGTGGGGTCATTATCCCGGCGGCCGTTGATATTCGCGACTACATAGGGCGCGACATACTTTACATTGGGGCGAAAAGAGGCATGAGTAGTTCATGCCAACCCTTCAATCCTAAAAGATGCATGCCTAGTTCTACTAGATGGCGAGTCGACTCGTTTGCAAGATTGGCGGTGTATCTACATGGTCCATTGAATGCGGACTTCTACGGGGCGATCCCCATTGCTGGCAAGTACTGGATACCTCCAAAGTGCAGGTAGCCGGCGTATGTCATGTGACAGTGTCTCGACACTCGAGTTGGGCTGTTGATTTGTGGGAGAATTCATACCTTCATACATACGATCGAAACAGTGAAATTCTTCAACCTTACGAATTCTTGTGAACAACTTGAAAGGCTGACCACTGAGTTGGTATAAACAAGACCAGGGGAAGTTTGCACTACATCCATGCCATGCCCTAAATATCTGGAAAACCACGAGTTAAACTCGCATCGACACTAGATAATTAGCAAACATTGAGATGGTTTGATGGAGCTATTTGTAGTTACTGTTGCCACAGTGGGTGAGAGTGAATATAGCCATTGTGACAGGGGAGGGTGCTGGGAGGGGGGAAAAGAAAAAAGAAAGAAAGAAAGAAAGAAAGAAAAGAAAGGGCATAAAATATAAGTCGGAGCACCCACATATGGGCCCCCCCTACATTTGGGCCCCCGGTAATTAATAGGTCTCAAAACTCAACACCACAACTCAACAATTATTATTAAATTAATTGACCTCTACCACGATACAGGATG